CTCAGCAATCATTTGGAAAAAGCACAAGTTGTTCTGTGTTTAAGCATGAAAGCATTTTGGATTTAAACGTTTCAAAAGAGAGGCAGTGGGGGTTACCACAGGGCAGAGCCATATGGTTCAGAATCCCATCAGGTTTAAGCTGTCATATACAGGCACATTTACACAGTTTTCAAACATTATTTCCTCCAACGTTTGAGATGCATTCAGAGTTTTGAGAAAAAAAACATCGATTCAAAAAACAATCCTGTTTGAAGGATGACTGTATTTTTCCCGTATTCGTATTTTCTGAAGGAAACAAGTTAACTCAGTTGAATCTTTTGTAGTAGCCAGAATAAAAACCTGTCAGCGGCTCTCGCTGCCGTCAGCACGGGCGTCAAGGCCAGGCTGGTGGAATCCTCCCGGCTGCTGCTCTGTGATAACACGCGGAAAAGTGTGAGCGGAGTAGCTGCAGAGCGCCCCGGAATACACGTGGAAAGTTAGAGGTGTGACGGTTTTTAACGGACGAACGGGAATTTCATTTCCGTTTTCTCAATGTGGCCTTGGTGGTTGGATCAAGAGAAGACAACAGCGATTTTTCAGTCATTCTTTTGATGTTTCACAGCCTCCAACGACGGATCAGTTAGTGGAGAAAGCAAACCTGTAATAGGACACAGGCCTTAAAAGCTGTGTCTGCAGCACTCTGAGCTCCTACTGAAGGCTGCTGCTCTTGATGGGAAGCATCACTTTACCTGGAGGGTCATTACCCTGACCCGCGGAGCGAGACAGCTTTTGTCTCCTTTTTCTTTTTCTGCCTCGGGGTCTCTCCGAGCTCCTAGGAAAAACTCTTCCAGGCCCATACCTGTGACACCCCGCTGAACGTCTGAGAGAAGCCGGAGCTCATTGGCCTGCTCAGAGATGAAGACACGCGGCGTGGGCCGTCCGCAGATATCAGGCCGACATTAATAATGCATGCAACAATAAATACCACCCAGTCAAAGTAGCCTTCTCCACAACCCGGCCCCGTCGTTACGCCTCGGCATGGCAACCGATTTGATTTGACTCCCTCATGACATCATGCGCGCATTAAGAGGAGGTGTGCTGCTTGTGCCGCCGCAATCACTGCAGCATTATTATCCAATCGACCCGTGCCTTTTCTGCTTATTACTCCAAAGGGGCTTCTGCACTCCACCCTCACAGAGACGGGATATCGTATTACGGAGCTCAGAGCAGACCTCCGCCCTCCTATGATTTGATCAGGCTCACGCTGTAACTTTATATTCCATAATGTGCACTGCATGACGTGTTGAGGGACGACTCGGGTTTTTTTGCGGATTTTTAGACAATCCGAGAGCTTTTTAAGAGTTTTTTTCCCCCTCTGTCAACTGGTAATAGGACTAGTCAAAAAGGCGAGTTGAAGCCATTGAAATGCAGGAGAATATGCACTTTTATGGCAGAAAGTCATGTCTATATCGGACTGTTTTAGTGTGTGTGTGTGTGTGTGTGTGTGTTAGTGTGTTCAGGCCGAGTTAAATATTTCGCCAGGCCTGTTGTGCTGTTGTGAGTCTGTGTGGGAGGAGAAGTGTGCGAGAGTTAGAGAGCTAGTAGCTGTAGCTATGGTGAGTAGGGCGGCAGGCTCGAAGGATATTATAGAAGGGTTTTTTTTGGGGGGGGGGGATTATTTGTTAAGGGGAGTGTGGGGGGGGTGGGGGTCCTCCAAGATGCCCTTGTCTTTCGCCCGGGGGCCGCTCTTTCCCCCCTCTGCTCGCGCCCCCCTCTGCTCCCCCCGTGGCCCCCTGTTTGTCTTCTTTTTTTTTTTTTTTTTGTCCCTCACACTCGTTTTGGTCACCCACTCAGCCTCGACTCGCTGTAATTTCACAGGGCCAGGAAAAAAAAACTAAACGGGGACAGGTTCTCACAGAGCTGAGGGGAAGGGGAGAGACAAACAGAAGACGGGTCAAAGTCTGACATTCTTTTCCCCCCACTTTTTCCCTTTCTTTCTCTCCCTCCTCCTCGGTCCATCCCCCCTTCCCTTCTGCCTCTCCGGCTGCTCTTTGTTACGTCATCTGTCCTCTCCCATTATCCTCTGAATCCCCCCCCCCTCCCCTGTCACCCCACCAGTGAGTCACTACCTGTATTGTTTCCTCAGTAACAAGAGGATTGATCAGCGGCACTCACAGTGTTGCTGTTGTCTGGGCTCCGTCGCTCTAATGCCGGGGCTCCTGGCTGCTGTCCTGGAGAGAGATGGGTGGAGGATTTGGAGGATAATCGAAGGAGGGGGGGTTTACTCTGCGGAGCCTCGACTAATCTAGGAAATGGCTGCACTTTGCTAACTTGATAACCGTCATACTTGCGCGTGGGTCCTCATTCCTGAATGTTCTGGAGGAGCTCTGCGACATCATCAGAGCTTCAAAATCACTTTAGCCCTAATTTCCCAGACAAATGCAAACGGAGGGTTTAGATTGGCTTTTTCAAAGCAGCAGCTGTAACAGCTGGAGTTAGTAGTTATATATCAGATTAAAATGGACATAAAAAAAACATTATCCTTTATATAGCTCAGTGTATTTCAGTCTTTTTACTCACACTTTATCCACAATAAAGAAAGATTAGCTGAAGTTCTGTTGCGTCAGCAGAAAGCTGTGTGTCACATATTTAATTAAAATCATAAACCATTTCTTCTGCTGGTTGAATGTGTATTTGCTTATTAACTAAATAGGAAATGGCACATACAGTGGTGCATTTCTACAATGAATTAGAACATTCCGTGTCCTCTTTGATACCGCATTACTTTTGCTATATAAATTCTCTTTTTAAAGTAGACGGGCCCCCACAGTGTTAACCGCTACAATTTGTGGAGAAATGGCTGTGGAACGGCAGAGACTGTCCTACAAATTGTGAAGCCGAATCTATCAAAGTGTGTAAAGAGAGCGCTGATGATGCAAGCTGTTGATGATTAAATCTCCATCAGCTGTGAGCTCCGAGTGGCTGTTGAGGTTGCCATGGTGAGGCAAAGAGCAATATCTGACTCACGCTGAAAATCCCAAATAACTTTTCAATTGCTATATAAGGAAAAAACGCTGCATCCTCTCTGCACAGTTATGCCGGAAAGCTTTTATGCACAAATGTCTGACATGTCTTTTTCTTTTGGGAATACAACGTTATTAATCTTACTCTGATTTTCCACAGTATTAGCCTGGCGGGGATGGTTGGGTTTATATTACCAGAAAAGTAATAGTCTGTTGGATTAGACAGTGACACTGTGGGAGACACGACAATTTCTCTCATGTGTGATCTAACCATCATATCTGTAGAGTGAAAATTGCTGGTGCTGGAAATAAATGTTTCTGTTAGGAATATTTCAAGACTCGGCCTCTTATGTAATCAGCAGTACAACAGACTTCTGTGAAGAGTCATCACAGTCATCCCATGTACAAGCTGGTGGTTTTAGTCATGTGTTTGCATCAAACTGTGTGACTAATAAGGCAAAAGCAAAGGCAGTGTTTATTATTTTATTTTTTGTTTTTGGTACGACATAGTCTGTGCAGAAATATCATTAATAACTGAAAGAGGTTATAGAACATATTGACGTTTTTTTCTTTTGTTTAGTTTTTTTGGGATGGATGAAAAATACATTCGATTTTTCCACTTACTCAAATTTTTTTGTTGCATTCAGGATGCGTCTCCTTCAGATTTAGTGGCGCTGCCCTGTGAGAGCAGCCCAGAGGACTGCGGCAGTAGCTCCGGGGATGTGATGGTCCACTCCTCATCGGGCAGGGGGAGTAACTCACGATGGTCCACTCTGTCCTGGGACGCCCCTTCTGACCTGCTCTCCCCCCCGACCCCAGACCCCAGTGGTACGATCCACCTGGATAGTGACTCTAGGCCTAGTTCAGGTAAATACACGCCTTGGTGTTAGTGGTCCAAATTGCAGATAACACATGTGATAACAGCATTGACTTGTACAACGAACAACAGTTTGCCACCTTTGGCAAACATTAACCATTCTCCTTTTTTAACTTTTATTTACTTGAACTCTGTGTGACTTGGCCCTGACTCACTCGTTCTGTGGCTGTAGACCCTGCAGCATTTCTTGACAATGATTCCTTTTTTTGTCATTTACTAAGACGTTTATTCTTTTTTAATATGAAAGCTAAAAAACTACAACACATCGGGTATTCCAACTGAAGAGACATTTACAGAATTATTTGATTAAATTCAAAATCTTATTTTCAGCTCTGATCCATATAAATAAACCCCCTAAGTAGCTTTTGCAGTGGTTACTACTGATACTGTCAGTCAAACAATGAATACATTACTATGATGCCTTCTCCTGGAATTTTCATGAAGTTAAAGTTACTGAAACTGGTGTCTTGTCTCTGTTTGACTCTTTTTTACTGACTCAAGTAATTACCCCTTTATGCATACAGACATCCCACATAAATTCCTCCCATACGTGCTGTCCGACACATCCGGTCTACACCTCATAGGTTGTTTGTGTCCTGTTCAATTAATTTCTCTCCGCTGCAGGTTTCTACTCGGTGAGCGGGAGCTCTCTGTCGGACTCCTGCTACTCAGTGTCCAGCGAGGCTGCCCACGGAGGCCCGGCGCCACCTGCCAGGCCCCTGAAGCAGTGGGAGCAGGTTCCCGAATCTGCCGACCACACTGACACCCTGTGGTCAGAGGGAGCAGCGCAGATGCAGCCGCCCGCCCCAGAAAACATCCAGGAGGACGCCGAGCCCAGAGAGAAGTCACCGGTTCCAGGTGAGCACAGGTCCTGGGTTTCAGAGACAAAGTGTCTGGTCCCGGCCCAAGTTGGTGGTAAACTACCGAAGAGTGGTCACTTTCTCAAGAGGCTGAGAACTGAATGACTGAGAGATTAGCTGAAATTAACTTTAAAAAATGGTTTTCCTCTCTTTTCTTACAGTCCCAAGTGACCTAGATCCCACTGGACTTGGCTTCCTCTCTGATTTTTGCTCAGGATTCAGCGACTCCCTGATTTCCTCCATTGCCCTTCTTCTTAACCCCACTCCACCCCCTTCCTCCTTTCATTCAAAACCCCAGCTGGACCCTCGCTTCTGCACCGACCTTGTGTCCCGCCGGACCAAAGAGGTGTATTCCTACCCCAGCCCGCTGCACGCCGTTGCCCTCCAGAGCCCCCTCTTTACCCCGCAGAACCAGGAGTCGCCCCCCTCGACGAACCCCGATGGAGCCCAGGACGATGAACTTGTCGAGCCGAACGCTGACCCGGCTGTGCCTCTCGATCCTCAGCAGCCTTCCGCACTGACCTCCGTCACCCATTTGGAGCAGTACATAACACGGCTGGCCCGCCAGTTCCAAAGCCGCGTAAGCGCCTCCACCTCCGATCTATCGTCGGCTGCAAACTCCGGCCAAGTCACGTCCAGGGGACTCTGTACTCCTGGGAAGGGTCACGGTTCCACCCAGTCCCTGTCGGCCTTTGAGAGCCGCAGCACGCCCTCCGCCCTGCTGGGGGGCAGCGTCACTCCCTCTAAGTCAATGTTGGGGAACTCGGCCAGAGTCAGCCTCAGCACCACGGGGAAAAAAGGCACCAGGAATTCAATCAACCTGGGAAACCTTCCCTCTGCGACCGGGGAAGACTTAAACATAAATCTGCATCTTAACCTCAACTTTAATCTGACCCCTGGCTCAAACTCCAGCCGGGGGGTGGCAGACAATCCTAAAAATGGCAGTGGCGGTGCTCTGAAAGCCGACTTTGCTGCTGCATCTTCCAACGCCTCGGCCTCTTCGCTCTCTTCCTCTACGCCCACCCCAGCGCTGAGGTCCCGCTCTCGCATTTCCACCTGCCCGAGCAGCCTGTGCCACCGCAGCTCCCTGGAGGTGCCGTCTGGCCCCGGGGCCGGCTCTGGATTTGGCTCGTCTGCCTTCTGTCGCTCGTTAGACTGGAGCAGCGGCGCGCCGGCTGAGGCTGGCTCGTCGGTTTTCGGTACCGGCGCCGGATCGGCTCCCGGGTCTCAGAGAAGCAGCTTAATCCAAGAGTCCGGCAGCAGTAACAAAATAAGCGAGGACTCCCCCATGGTGGGGGAAATCTCCCGTCTCTCTGGCCTCTCAAGGGCCGTCGTGGTTGGACTGATGGAGCAGGGTGTGGAGCTGGACATCGACTGCTTCCAAACGGACTCTGCGGGCGAGGTGAGGGGCCACAGCAAAACCCACCTGGCGGCTCAGAAAGATCAGTCGCATGACTACGCCAGGCTGACAGAGGGCAATCCCCAGAGACCAATACAGCTCTCCCTCAGTGTCACCCATTCTCCCCAGTCCCAGTCCAGCCTCACCCCTCCCCGCTCACACACCAGCAGCCCCATCCACCCCTACCAGTCCATCCACGTCCCGTCCCACTACTCCTCACACTACCACTACCAGCACGCCGCTTCCCCCTCGGAGCTTCCCTCCTCCACGGCCTCCTCCCCCGCTTCGCACCCCACCGCAAGGGCCCACTCCCCCCCGCGCCCCCTCCAGCCGTCCCCTTTAGGCGCCACGCCCCTCTCGGTTTTCCGACGGGATTCGCCCTTTCAGTGCTCGCTGCCCCACTCGAACAGCAGGGCCTCCCCGATGGAGCACGGAGGCCTCCAGCCGAGAGGGGGGTCTCTTCGGCAGAGTGGGGGTGAGGGCGGTGCCAACAGGTGGAAGAGGGCGGAGGGCGAGGGGCTTTACAGGGGGAAACATGCCTCCCACAAGCTGGTCCGGGCGGCCACCGTTAGCATCTACGCGAAGAGGGAGGACTACAGTTCAGTCTGGGCCGAAGAGGAGGAGAGGGAGCCGCCAGCGGCCCAGACCCCCAGGAGGTCCACCGGCAAGCTCTGGAGGGGCTTCGAGGGACGGCGCTGGGGCAAAGAGCCCCAGAGCGAAAAGGAGGAGACGGACAGAGCCGAGTACGGCTACGGCTGGAGGAGGAACAGCGTCGGGAGCTGGAGACGGGAGCACCAAAGGGCCAAGGCCTCATCCGGATGTAGTGACAAGAAGCCAAAAGTGGACCACTCCCCCGTCTTCTCCAAGAAGAGAGGCAAAGAGGACGGGGAGAGACGCAGCTCCAGCCTCAGGCTCTCCAGGAGGGCTCTGTTCAGGAGCGAGTCCCAGGGCCTGCTGGTGCCTCGCAACCACGGCGACGAGCCCAGGAAGCGGGCCCACTGGGTGTCCTCCTTAGACGTTGGCCACGGGGCGATGGGCATGGGCAAAGACGGAGGGATGAGACTGCTGAGAGCCAGGGAGGAGGACAAGCGCCTGTCTTCCACCGCCAGCCTCTTCAACCTGTCTCGATCTCAGAGCCTTGAGGGAAGCTGCCAGTCCCTCTCACCGCTGTCCTCCCCGTCTTTTTCTCCTTCCCCTCCTCCCCAGAGGACCCTCCAGCGCTCTCGATCGCTGAGGGATTTGGGGAGGAAAATGTTCGGCTCCATGAGGTCCCTGAGCCTCAAGCGGAAACCCCCCAAAAAGTGACTCTTGTAAATGAACATCCTAGCAGATGCATCTCCGACATGCTACATTAGAAACACCAGTAGTGCTTTGCGTTATATTTGATGTAAAGAAAGTGCCATCGGTTCATAAGTTTCAATCGTAAAAGTTTGACTCAGAATATCGATATTATACTTCTCAAAGTGGGCGTTTTGCCCGATTTTTAAAATGTATTTCACCAACATGGTGGAAGTTTCCCATCATGAAGGTCTGCTATTTGCTTTGTTTTTGGCTCAGCATTTGTTCGAGTGGTTTTTTTTCTTCTTCTTGTAGTCTTTAAAGACATAGCCAATTTTTTTTATCCTAAAACTAAAACAAACGGCAGTCAAATCCCCCCACCCAAACATATTCTACACCTTGAAAAAAGCGCTGACGCTCAATGAGTTTTGCATTTGTGAAAGGTGCAGTGAGGAAAGACGGGTGGTGCAGCACCAACTGGTGATCAACCGATTCATTCATATGTGAATAAGACATTTACAAATCTTCCTGCATAGGTGTTTTTATTTTTTGATGTGAACGCTGTTTCTGGGATCTGACAGCCAAACGAAAATACTACTCTGGGATGCTTTTGAGGAGAAAGAACTCCATTTTAAAGATACTGAAAATGAGCTCATGTTTAGCTGTAAGAAGCTTCACTGCATTTATGGTTAAACCCTCCTTGTAACCACAGGTATGAATGTGTACACACATAGTACTCCTCTGCATGCTGCTCTGTGAATTGTTACGTGGTTATTGCTATTGTGAGAATGTAATATTCCTCTTTGATTATTGGCAATACTGCCTCTGAAGTACAATCATACTGGCCGGAAAATGACCAAAACCAAGCAAATACTCTTTAACTTGTTATTTTGCTCAGGATTTTGAAATAAATATTGAATTGATAAACTTCAAATGTGTTGTATGAAAAGAATTTGACATCTGACTAATAAAAGCAGCAAATATGAGAACTTGCAGAGTACCTGAACCACCACAAGTTTGTTAAGAAAAAGTCAGAGATGGGAATAATTTAAAAAATACTTTACTGTAAAACTCACAAGAATCAACATTTGCATCATTGAACAGACAACCACAATCAATCGTTTTCATTTGAGTAGTGCATGAAGAGTCCCTTCAGCCTTCTCCAGCAGAGAATCGCTGGACTTTCTTTCCTTCCATGTTGCTAGGAAACCGACTCCTCTGTCCTCGCCTTTCTATTTTCAGCTGCAACATATTTACTGTCCTACCAATGGATTTCCAGCAGTCTGTATCACGTATGCTTCTTACTTTCTTCTCCCCAGACTCACAAAAAGCGAAGAGTCAAATCAGAATAAATGTGAGTGTCAGTCTGAGGTTGCACGTTCCGTCTCAGGAGGAGGTTTCATTTGGCACGCTGAGCTGTTCACCTACAAGCCATCGCCTGCTCTGGGGTTTTGGTTCATTCCGTCTCCAGAGCTGTCCTTTGTGCTGGAGGGGAACATGCCTCGATACATGGCTTTCTCTTTTTGCAGCTCCTGATTCAGTCTCTCCTCTGCCTTGTGCAGATACTTCCTCACATTGGCATCTGCGACAAATGGAAAAACGTTAAGATCCCATACATTATTCCATATGGGAAAAGTCCACATGAGAACCTGATAGAACATTCCATGCAATGGTGTGGGTCAAACATCATGAGAAAATCACTAGCAAAAAGTAACATCTGTAAATGGAAATTGAGGACGTCTTCCTTCTTGAATTGGCGATCAACAGAATAGCCTCAGATTCATTTTTGAACCTCTAAAGCTTAAGAACGGCTCAACTGATACTGGCCTTGTTCTTACCATTCGGCTGCTCTCTGCAGGCTTGGCTGAGGTACTGTTTGGCTGCCTGTGCATCTCCCATCTCCAGAGTGGCCACTCCCGCCCTGTACAGTGCTTTGACATTTCCCGGTCGCCATTGCAGCACCCGCAGACTGTACTCCAGCACACGGCCATGGTCAACACTCTGTCTCTGCAGCAAACAGGCTGGAAGGCACACAAGCATACATATATTTTGAGACCTTTTCAGCTAATCATAAGATGTTATTTTGTTTAGGATTTCAACCAGAACCTGATGAAAGTGTTTAAAATGACCATTTACCAGCTAAGTTGTTGTAGCAGTCCACTTGTGTGTTTCTGAGTACAGCCTCCTGATCTGCTGTGAGAGGAGGTTTTTCAGGTCCAAACCCTTTCACTGACGCCATCACATCAGAGTCCAGGCTTCGGAGCACCAGTAGAGCGCGGTGATAGCGACCGATGGCTGAGCGGATATTCTTCTCCCTGTAGAAAGCATTTCCTTCTGTTTTCATTTGGGCAGCCTCTTCCAGCAAATCCCAAACGGATTTTGCAGAACCTCCCCCGGGTCCTGGGAGACTTGGTTCGGCCGCTGCTGCCCCCAGCTCATTCAGATTGTCAACTGCTCCTGCAGCCTCCATTTCTGCAGTGGTTCTAGACAGCTGTTAAAATGAGAAGAAACACGTACATCTGTCAGTTAGGACACCACTTCCCCTATTCAATCTCAATGTTTGCCTAAAATCTGGAAGATCCAGTTGGTAGCTGGACTTTTATATAAAGTTTCCACACTGCTAATTTCCCCTTGTGACACTGGCCATTTGTTATCAGACATGTAACATTTTCCAGCTGACAGGACGCTGACATGCACTCACTACTCAATACGACTGACTGTATATGTATTCAAAATATTTTTTGTCTTGGTCTAGATTTACAAAACATAACACTGCATTATGTGACAGTCTAACTGAATAGCTGGAGTATTTATTTTGGTGCGAGAGAGGTCAATTCCCATGTAATGCTTTCTTTGAAGGTACCTTCTCGGTTGGCGAATTTTAAATATATATATTTATATAAATCACATTTATTAGCATTTTCATCCACAATGAGAGAGAACTTTAGGGTTAAACTGGGGACACACTCAAAAACGTGTCAGCGTTGCTAAGTAACGAATAGATGCAGCGTCTTAGCTGAACAACTCATAAAGCGATTTTTTGTAGTTGTTTTTAGTGAACCACATCTAGCAATTTTAGAAACAAGTTGTTTAATCCCGTGCTCATTTTACAACCTTTACATCAAGTCGAGCGAATGCACGTCTTTTATTGCGTCAACTGACAATAATGGACGTTGTGTTGCAGAACTCAAATGTTAGGCGCTTGAGCTAACCCAGCTAACAGCTAACTTTGTCTATTACACCACAACGTTTCCAGGGATTATTTCACACTGTTTGCTCGGATACGAAATTAAGATAATTCAAATGTGTAAAACAACTTGTAATGCATCTTCTCACCCTACGCTGATTAAGACAACATCAACGGGAGGCTACTTTCGACAGTTGACAGCCATGCACACGTTAAAAATGAGCAGGTCTGCACATGCGCAGACCTCTGGGTAAATTATATTCTTCTTCGTGGGAGTGTGCGATAGACTTCCTCATGGCACATTGCTGCCTCTCACAGCTCAGGAAGTCGAAGTTCAGATTTAGACTTTAGTTCCTCATATAATCCTAAATTAAATTATTTGTCTAATCCGTTCAATTTCCTTTTTTAATGCCCTTTTTTGTATTTCAAGCCTATTACATATTAAAAAACAAGAGGAAAAAACTAACATAAATGTAGGGGCAATTAATTTTTCTATTTCCATTCCGCATAGACCATGCAAAGAGCTATGAAAGAATCGATTATTTCAGGGATTCTACTTTTATACCAGATTCTCACTACCAATCCAACCTTTCTGAAAATGGGTGGGAAGAAAATTTAGGATTGGAAATAATTATATAAGTCCGTCTAAGGTTTCTATGTACTGGATGAATGACTTTTAAATGACTATATGGGGAGGCTATTAAAAAGTCAGATAAGATGTAAAACAAACTAATCCTTGTAGGTGATTGCATTGAATATTCGTCTACAGTTACATGGTGAAAAAAGCAACACTTTTGTGAATGACTGTACTGAATTGGCTAGTTCTCCCTGAATGGGGGTGTAGGGTTTGTCTCCTCTTGCTGCAGCACCTGTGTCTGGCAGTGAAGCTGCCTCAGATTCCTACGAAGCCCGTCAGGTGACAAGAGGAAAAACTACAACTCGTGCCCACGACTTACTAAGTCTTAACCCATCTGGCTCGACCCAATAAGTCGTGGGCACGGGCTCACTCGGGTACGAAACAAAACTCAGTGCCTATCAAAGGTTATGTCCTGTATTTGATCAGCCAGAGACTCACACAGTTGACTTGATCTATCTGCTATGAAATAAGGTTTTATCAAAAGTAAAATACTGTTTTTACACTCACAGTATTTTTTTTCTTCAGTGCGGGCTGAGCCCCCGACGCGTCTGAGGACGCTTTTGAGACTTTACACAGGTAACTGTTGGCTCTTAAATGCTCACAGCTTGTTTTTTTTATTGTCGGAGACAACAACGGTCAGTACCATCTGTGCGCAGGCGTAGTTGCACTTCAGAGAACCGCAGTAAGCAAATATGGCGGCGGCCGTCGACAGTGTTGTTAAAGTGTAAGTTTACCTTTATTTGTTCTGAGTGAATGGAACTGCCGCACAGATGTAGGTGCCCGGTTAGTTGTTAAGATTCCCAATGCGTTTCTTGGGAAAACAGCATCAATTATATTCCTATTGTGGAATATACAGATTTTCCCCAGAGAATTACGTTATCTTTGTGCTAATGTTAGCTTGTTAGCTCGCAGTTAGAAATAAGCGGACCAATTGTGAAGCCACTATTTTGTCTAAGTTCGTTCTTCATGGATGTTTTCAAAGGGATGTTGCACACAGCATTAATAAACTGTTTAGTCAGTCGCTTATGTATGAAGGGGCTATTAAATTTAATTGTAAACTGTCAGTTTGGCGGGCGCTTTTTTGCTAACAATCAACCTTTTGTTCTTACAGCCCTCCATCGTTTGCGTTGATGCTGGCAATTATCTTGAAAACAATGCGTCGTTATGCTTATTCTGCGAATCAGTAGAACAATAAACATACACATTTGGGTCAGTAAGCATTCTGATACAAACCTGGCCAAATATTTGGAGAGTATCTGGACGCAATTACCACATTCATTATAAGCACAGTAATTATTATCTTGTATTGACTCAAAGAAAACATAAAATAAATCCGACGTAGTATTGCAATTACGTTTATATTAAACTGTTTATTCTTTACAAATGATCTTACATTTGGTGCACAGTTAGCCAATAATAGTTTTAAAAAAGAGGTCTAATTTAGGCCAGTCAAAAACGTACAGTATGCTCTTTAGTCAATGATGAATTGCTTGTGGATTAAAAGTTTTCTGTTTAAATAAGAAACATACTACCATTTAATTAGTATGTTATTGGACTAAACGTTCCCAACTACCCATAAAAGAGCACCGTTTGTTGAGTGGTAATAGTTGCAAATAAGAACGAATGAGTTAAGTTTAAGGAAATAAGTTTTCAATGATATTATATTCATGTCCTACAGTGTGAGATTTTAATGTTTAATACTTTTTAACTATTTCGTTTTCATTTATTAGGGACAATCTATTTTTGTCTGTCCAATTTGACCTGTGATCATCCACATTTCAGGCTGGGAGAGCAGTATTACAGAGATGCCATGGAACAGTGTCACAGCTACAATGCTCGTCTCTGTGCTGAGCGCAGCATCCTCATGCCTTTCCTAGACTCCCAGACTGGTGTCGCACAGTCAAACTGTTACATTTGGATGGAAAAGCGACACCGGAGCGCAGGTATATAAGAAATAGGACAATCAGCAACTGACTTTCAGCACACTGAACTATTTATTTTCAAGACTGTTTAAAAAGTTATCATTCAAGATCTTATCTTGTTTATTTAAACTTCACTCCTGTGTTCTCATCAGGTTTAGCTCCAGGGCAGCTTTACTCGTATCCAGCCCGCCGCTGGAGAAAGAAACGGCGTTCACATCCCCCTGAGGACCCCCGCTTGGCCTTCCCACCTCTCAAAGCAGGTACCATATGCTTGGTGAAACAAAGGTTTTCTTTACAGACACATTTTAAGGGTTTGGATTAGTCAATATGAATGAAGCCATTCCTAATATATTGAATCCATTAACAGTTATTAAAAGGCAGAGTAAACTAAATTATTGTATTATGCTCTGTAAATAAATTTTGGCATTTGCAGCAGATTTAGAGTTGGGTCTTAAGCGTGATGCCTTGGGAGCCGTGGATGGCAGCAGCTTGGAAGCCCTGCTAAAAGGGGAGCCTCTTGAAAGGAGGACAGGTGTGTCGGAAATCCGTGGCCCTGAGGATGATTCAGCCACTGTGGAGCCTCCTGCTACATCAACAGTTACTCATACATCTTCTGGACGCATCCGTAAGGTTAGAATTCACACCAAAAGTACTCCTGATTCCCATGTAAGAAATCATATATATATGAGTTTACAGTAAAAGTAAAATGAAAAAAGCTCCATACTATTTTTTAAGGAAGCAGTTGAGTTAACGTCTCAAGGATACTGCTTCTGTATATTTCTGCCTAACAAATCTGATTTATGACAACAACAAAAAAATTATGGTGAAGTATGTTAAACACTGAAATAATCCAGATTCTTGCAGCAGAGAGTCCTCGACCATGACGACTACCTGGACGATCTGGATGATGAAGACTTTGAAGATGAGACCCCTAAGAGACGAGGCAAGAGCAAGTCTAAGGTAAGTGTCTTAAGGGTCACAGGACATCTTCATTGAGCTTCATTGCTTGAGTCACAGTGATATGTATTTTTTCACCCCGTTATCTACCAAATCTGATCAGAGCATTTCTTTTCTTAGCTAACTAAGTAAAATTAAGTTTTTGTCAAATGTTAAATGTGACCTTTAGGGCCGCAGTGACAAAAATGGCAAGAAGAAAACGGAGGCTGCAGCGGCAGCCCTTGAGGAGCGGGACAAACCGTACGCCTGCGACAGTGAGTAGCAGCTTCCTTTGAACGTCCGTATGTGTCCTGCATGTCGGCAAAAGAAGCTTTTGCTTTTTCCTCCCTCTGAAAGACAAAGACGAGCCTCTGCCCATGCATGGTGCGATCTGAAATTCCCCACCTGGAGTTTGCAACAGAAAGAGTGGAGAAGTTGCTCTTCTGGATTTTTTTTCTTTTTTTCTGATGCCCGTGTGTGCTCTGTAACCTCCTGCTGGGCTCAGCTCACTGTGCAGATGCTGTGTGAGTCTGCTACTTGCGTGTCCACTACAAATTAATCGTGTGAAAATGCGGCAAAGAGTCCTGAAAAAGATGGGAGGCGATGAATGGCTAACTTCTGCCTTGGACACCCCCCTTTTTATTTTTTCCTTTTTTCCACCCATTTTTTAAACGTTTTTTTTTTTTTTTAAGAAGAGTCTAAAGTTTCTCTCCGATAACATTTTTGTGTGACTGCGTGTGTGTGTATCAGTCTGCGGAAAACGCTACAAGAACCGCCCAGGCCTGAGCTACCACTATACACACTCTCACCTGGCAGAGGAGGAGGGCGAGGACCGAGAGGAGATTGAGGCACCACCCACTCCTCGCCAGCCTGAGGAGCAGAAGAGTGAGTCACTCCCCAGTGCTGAGAGAGGCGAGAGGGAGGGGAGGGATGTTTGGTTGCATGCTTTGTAGCATGTGTGTGTTGTCCCAAGAAGTCGCTCCCTCTCATTCCGTTCTTTTTTTATTTTTGTTCTCTTTTTTTGGCCTTTTTTAAAAACCTTTTTATTTTTTAAAATTTTTGTAAACATTTTTTTTTTTTTTTTTTTACTTTTCATGGTTTTTGATGATTAGATGTTTTTGATCGAAACATACTTGCGCAGTGGGACATGTGGCTTATTTTCTTTCCAGAACATCATCCATCGTTTTTTTTTCTTTTTCTTTTTTGAATCCCCAAGCATATCCATCGCACAGTCATTATTTTTTCTTTTGTGTACGTTACACCATCTCTTATCTGCACGAGCGTTGTCATTCATTTGCTCAAATCACGACACAGTGAAGGAAACATGTTGCCGGCAGAAGTGATATCAACTGGTTTGTACTTCAATGTGTGTTTAATTACGATAAGACAGGTACTCTGTAGTATTTAGACGAATGTTTATCTTTATTATCTTAACTTTAGGACTCATAAAGCCATTGACACCAGTCTGCTGCATCATGTCTCATTAGATTAAAAAAACAGTTGTTATGTGCATTGAACACTTTATTTTTCTCTCTCTTGCTCAGCAACAAAGAAGGGTCCCAACGGACTGGCACTGCCAAACGATTACTGTGACTTCTGTCTGGGAGACTCTACCTTAAATCAAAAGACTGGCCAATCAGAAGAGCTGGTATCCTGTTCAGACTGCGGGCGCTCGGGTAGGAACTTGTCTTCTCTTATGTATTGCTGATGGAGCCTTCAGTAATCTCCTGTAGTCTGCAGCTTAGTTACATTAGAGATTTGAGTTGATATTTTTAAAAAGAGGATCTTTAATTTCAGTAAAAAGCAGGTGTGGTCTTTACAGTCTGCTCGCACCTCAGACTTTCAGTGGATGAGGACAGTTTGGTCAAACAGATGCTGGACGATTCCCATGCATACTTTGGAGAAATTCAAAGCCCGTGCTAGTTACTGTTGCTAAGCAGTGATTTGTGGGGCACTTGGTTGGGTAGGCTTTGTTGTCGAGTGTCTATAAAGTGTCCCTGTCTTCATCCTTTAGGCCACCCTACGTGCCTGCAGTTCACGCCGGTGATGATGGCCGCAGTGAAGACCTACCGCTGGCAGTGCATCGAGTGCAAGTGCTGCAATGTTTGTGGCACCTCGGAGAACGATGTGAGACGCCCCCCATCCCTTCATTAGGCTAATTAGGTGTCTGAGAAAGGAGCTTGTTTTTACAGCTTGTTAGAGGCCAGTTTACATGGTCTGAATATATTTTATTTATCCTCATGATAGTATGGTAGGTGTGGGAGAATAGTATTTTTATAGAATGGACCTTATATGAGATATTCTCTAGCTGTGGAAAGCAAAAGGCCAACCACAGGCTTCTGCTGTTTATAGCTTTTACCACCAGATTGTCTTGGTCTACTTAATTTGACACTCAGGAGGTCTGAGGGTTGATGCAAGGCAATTTGTTTAAATCGTTTCATAGTGTCTTGTTTTTAATTTAGTGGGCAGTTTATCAGCCATGAGGCAAAGCTGACAGAAGGCCAGTTTTCCAGCATCCTGTCAGAACAGACTTATGATTAATTGTTGCCTTTACATGGCCGCCGGTCCAACGTATTCTGCGCTCTCATCTTTCAGTTATGTAAGAAAGGGCGTCAGTGACCTGCAGGCTCTTCTTCTGTGGTTTGGATAGTGACGGAGCCCGTCAGAAAAAGGGCAATTACACAAGGGTTTCCTGTTTCAAAAGAAACACTTGTTGTTAGATGTTTGGACTTGTCTTTTAATAATCATTTTGGCCTGACTGTATAAATGTCGGTAGGATGGTTGTAGGTGAGGTAGATGGCCAGCTTTAATTCTCTGTAGCTGATTATTTATGTGGTTGAGAAACAGAAGAGGCGATGGGCCACTTACTGTACGGTCCCTCACTTTTATTAAAAGACCATTCGTACGCGTTAATGTAACGCTGTGAAACTTCACCAGAAACATCTTCCACTTAGGTGGCTTAAACATTAATGTACATAATAGTATTCAATACATGCTGGGGCTCTTTAATGGCTCCAAAGTCTGGTGTTCTTCTAGAAATGGTCCAGCGTTTATCCACATGTCCTTGTTGAACGGAACATGTTGTGTTCTCCAGGACCAGCTGCTGTTCTGTGACGACTGTGACCGAGGCTACCACATGTACTGTCTAACTCCACCCATGACCGAACCACCAGAGGGTAAGCTTCTGCTTTACTGCGCTTTTACTTGACTTGTGAAGCTCCAGCATGTTGCATTCTGTTAATGTGTCTGCAGAAAGAGCCCCCCCATAATCCTGTTGGGGATGTGTGACCTTTTGGACAGATGTGAATTGGCTGATCTTGACAGTCAGGAAAATTATTTAGAAATAACCAACTATGGCATGAGCTTCAGCTTTAGAAGTTGATGGAGCTAAACAGGCTTTGATCATTAAGCTGCTGGAAACGTGTAAGAAAACCAGGAGGAAAGTAAGAAAATGTAAATAAGAACTGACCCAAATGTGTTCTGGAGGCCCATTGAGACTCATATGGTCCTCAACTATTGTTCAGTGCTGGTTAGGAGGCAGATTGCAAATGTAGAAAAATGATACGCTGTTTTCTTTCAACACATCCCCGTCACGTAGCATGAAATGTATTTTGTTTAACAAAGTGAGTGAGGGTAGAATGAGCACTGCTCCTGTTTGTTCCAGGGAGCTGGAGCTGCCACCTGTGCCTGGCTCTGCTGAAGGACAAAGCCTCCATATACCAGCAGAACCAAAGCTCTGCCCCCGAGTGACCACCCCCCCCCCGCCAACCCCACCCCTCCGCACCAGGACTCCACCCCAGTCAAAGTGTCAGACCTCCTCAGTCCCGAGCTCCAGGCTGTCCAGATGTAGCTGAGCCAGATCGCAGTTCATCCTCGTCAAGTCTCCTCCACAGTGGGTGGGCTCCAACCTAAAACAGACCTCAGATCAGTCACCGTCACTACAACCTGCCTGCAGAGCCCCCGGGGCTGCTGTCAGACATGACATATCGTACAAACACTGTCTTCAGGACTGTTACGCCAAACAGAGGCCAAGCATGTGCAGTAACCACGGTAACTGCTGTCTCCATGGGAGCGCCCCAGAGAACACGGATTAGCATCACGGCTAATTCACACAGGCGGACTGTGGAGACACCGCAGTTTTTCTCCAGCCAGATGATCTATTTTTACCAGCTGAAAGTGACGGAAGGAGGGCGTCACCACGTGTACGGTCCGGGAGTCGTGTTCTAATCGTTATCCTTTCTGGTTATTAGTGGGCTTTTGTAGTGGATTTTGTCTGTGTGCTATTGTCGGAACCATTGGAGTATTTACTGTAAGTTTTCAAGTTTTTAATCTCTCAGCCACCTACCTACCCCCCTCACCCCCCCCCCCCCACCCCAAAAGTGCATCCAGCCAGTGCCAAGGTCAGACCAGACACATCACAGAGGCCTCGCTCTGCTCAGAGGGAGCTCATCACAAGCACCATTAAGCTGGAATTGTTAAGTAGAATGAAGGCAGTTAGCCTCAAAGCTGTGGCTCAGTCTTAAAGAGGCAGCGTGTCTCCACCGAGTCTGTTCAGACACAGACCAGTGGCTCCAAACACTAAACATTTGTGCTCTAAGCTCGGCACAGGAAACACGTGCGACTGTAAGCTGGCATCACGTTCTCAAAGATGTTTTTCTTTTTTCTTTGCTCATCCTTTCACACACATCTCAGCTGCTGTCGTGCCGCCAACACACTCGTCTCCAAACTGTAGCTGCTTTTGTCAGCCGTCACAAAGAGGCCCATTTGCATGCAGATTGCACCTGTATGAACGCACACAAACCCACATCACAAGTGTTTCTTCTGTTGTTTTTGTTTTTTACATTTTATATTACCTGATGTTCCATTGGTATTGGGAGTTTTTCTAGTAGAAATTTGTACAGTCTATGGTATAGCAAACACTTCGATATATAGCTCCTAATGCATTCTATGTACTGTATTGACTTTTTCTATTTTTGTTATGACCGTGACACGTTTGAATTCATTTGGTTATTCTGATATGTCAGACCTTCATCATGAGTATTTGTAAAATGACGTACTTTGTTGTACTCTTTTTATTTTTGCATTTCTTTGGTATTGAAGCCAATTTAGCCCGACTGAAATAAAAATCACTTCCAATTGTGCCCGTGTTTCAAAACTATTTACTATCATGTGTAACCATGAAAATAACTTTAAGGTAATCAGTTGAATTCATAAACATGTTTTGGATGGCTGCCTGAGCTTTTTATATTTATTTACTCATGTTCAGAAGGTGGACGGCTTCTGGTGGGAGATGGCTGTGGAGCTGTCCCTGGTGCTGAAGTTCAGCACGTGGGAAAGTTTCAGTATTGGACATTTTATTATGAAAACAAGAGGAAGGCACAATAAAGATTCATCCATATAAAACCAGACTGTGCCACAAAATACAAAATTTCAGACTCCCACTGAGAGTCCCGCATGGAACGATGGCAAATAGAGGTAGAAAATCAGAGGAAGCACAAAAGGTAGTAGGTACCTTTACGCATTCATTCTGTTTGAAGGTACACATTTAAAGGTGCAATTGTGTTTTTTGAGGCTCACAGGAAGACAGTTTTAAATGTATCCATTATGTGGTCCTGCTTTCAGTTCTCCGTGTATTGAATTTGAGTGCAAGAAAATTCTATTAAAATGAGATGAAAACAGGCGCAGAGGAGACACAGAACACTGAAGTGTTTTATTGCACTCATGCCTCAAGAACATATACTCAAGGACTCTTCAAAGAGACATTCAAAAACGATGCGTAGAAGCTCTAAGGAAAGGGAGGGGCCCTGCGCTATATGTACAAAGCCTGGACAGTGCAATTCTGTGCAGCGTGCTGATTGGCCATGCTTTCTTTTTTTTTCTGCTACCGAACATCAAGGCGTGATGGAAACTGTGACATATAACATCAGGAAAGTGCACAAACCGAAAACCAGCTACATAGAATAACTTATAAACATCTTGTTGAGGTTATTTGTGGCAGTTGTACAATAGTAACAAGTAAACCAACACACTTTGGGGTTTCCTTCAGATGCCTCGTACGTTTGTTGTTAGCGAATAGTGCATTATCAGTGGGGCCTGATTTCACAAAACCTGGGCTGGAGGTGCTTCGGTACAAAACTATTGAAAATACTCGTTATCAAAGGTAAACATTGTCACTGACGGAGAGCCGGTGTCGCGACAGCCACCGTGTGAAAATGAAATCAAAAAGCATCTCTGCGTACGCTTTACTGGCAGCCGTGACGGGGAGGAACACGCGTGTCCTCTACAGCCTCTCGAAGCCGACGGAGCACAGGAGGAAGATGGCGTACAGCAGCAGGAGGCAGAGCCCCAGCCGGCGGTCCAGCTTCCAGCGGTTCAGATGGACGCACAGCACCTGCGGGCGGACAGACAGAGGCACACAGGTTCTACCCGCCGCCGCCATTTAAGAGCGGAGCAACCTCACTTCCTGTCTGCTCCCCAGAGATCTACGCAAACTGAAAAAGGGGCTGTCAGGCTGCGACGGACAAAGACGATGAGATCATAAAGACGCAAGAGGACACGCGGGCGTCTGATCGGAGCCCGTTTCATTGGTCAACCTCAGAATGAGCCCTGGTGTGTTTTTAACGGCAGTGGGCAGGCGCGGGGAGAGTTACTCACTGTCAGAGTGACGGAAGCCAACAGCAGAATGACGGAGTACACCAGGCCTTTGCTGTTGATTGTTACCTGCAAAAGGAGAGAAAAATAAACTTCTGTGCCCACCTCTGAAAGGGACAAGAGAAAGAGTTTGGTCCTGGCCTAAAAGGATGGGTCAAGTCACAGACTTTGCAGATTCCCAATTCAACGTTTGTCTTAGAAATCTTTGCTTTGATATTCTCCTTCGTGGTTTACAGACAGTGGCCAAATGAATGCCCCTTTAACCACTGGCTTTAATCCATTCTGAATCAGCGGTTTATGAAACAACCCCAGGAAAACAGGGAGCAGAGATCAGGGGTTTGAACCCAGCCACTGTCAGGAGGGATGGTGTGAGGCAGAGGGAGGTACCACGGATCCATAGCTGACTACGAGAGTCCTCAGAGCCCACGGGAAGCCCAGACCCAGCAGCACGTCGAAGATGTTACTGCCGATGGAGTTGGAGACGGCCATGTCGCCCATTCCTGCAACATTCAACACCCAAACACACACACAGATTCCAGTGAGAAAAATGCAGCCACAAACAACTCGAGATTTTTTCCTGAACGTTCCCTTCGGTGAGTCAAAAAGCACAACTGACCCGGGCAGAAAAAACTAAAACCAAAAGCACACAAGATGCGACACTTGGAGATCAGAGCCAGGTGTGTGGAGGGAAAGACACAAACCACGAAACAGATTCTTTCTGGTAACGGGAGCCAGTGAGGGAACCACCTTGGCGAGCGACGATGAGACTGGCCATGCAGTCGGGAACGCTGGTGCCGGCCGCCAGGAACGTGATGCCCATGATGACGTCCGGAATTCCCAGCGTGTAGCTGATGATGGTCACCTGCACAGAGGGAAAACGAAAAGCGGGCGCCGGTGAGCCCCTTTGCGTCTGCGTGTGTGTGGGGGCTAATTACGGGGGGGGGGGGGTCTTACCATCCAGACCATGAGGTAGGAGAAGAGGGCTATCCAGAGGGTGGAGGACAGGAAGGTGAGCAGGTACCAGCGTGCCCAGCGCGGCCGGCTGCAGTCGGGGACGGTGAGGTGGAGCAGGAAGCTGACCGGCCAGGACAGCAGCCACTTCAGCCGGACACTCCAACCGTCTGAGGGACGCACGCAAACGCCGGAAAAAAACACATGTAGTTCCTCCACAGGCGTCATTACAGATTCACCTTTTCAATTATTCACACGTCTCCCTGTCATCTCGTTTTAATTATCCCCTAAAAACCATGCTTTGGGAGGGAGGCATTAATGAGGGGGGGGGAGCAGGAAGGAGTCGAGCTTCATTTGGACGCACTAATGGGAAATGAGCTGTCAGATCCTCACTGTGTCTTTTTTTCTTAAAAAAAAAAAAGAAATGGGCAGCTGAAAGCTGCAGGTGTTCAACAGATGACTTCATGCCCTCTCCCTCAGGCTCTATCTTTTCCGGCCGGCTGCCGACAGGCCACTCTGTGCTGTGTTCGCATCTGTCCGTTTAAACTGGACATTGGGTTTTATGTTTGTCGGGTCAAAATCGAAAAAGGAATGGCTCGTGCAGCTTCAAAGGGCCACGGATAAAATCTGTTCTGCCGGTTTGTGAGCTTTGGTTAACTCACCTGGGACAAAGAAGGGTTTAAAAGGAGTGTTCTCCTCCTCTCCTTCCTCCGGCTCTTCCTCTTCCTCCTCCTCCTCCTCCTTTGCCGGCGCGCCCCCGCCTGCCTCTGCCTCCGTCTCCCTGACCCCCTCGGCCCCGGCCTCGGGTCCGTCCCCCTCCGCCACCGTCCCGTTCTCCCGGCCCCAGGCGCCGCTCGCCCCCGGAGCCTCCTCCCCCCCCGCCGCCCCCTCCTCTGAGCCGGCCTGAGCCCCGATCAGCCTCCGCCTCTGTGGGGGGGGGAGAAGCCGGGGGAGAATGGGCTGATAAAAATTAGATGGAAAACCAGAATGGAAGAAGCGAGGACTTAATGCAACGGACTTCATCCGAATTAGACTAACAGACTAAAAGGGTGGGGGTGGGCGGGGGGGGGGGGGGGGGGGGACCAGAGGGGGTTCAGAGAGTGCTAACTGGGGGGCATGAGCCAGAGCTGGGACAGCATAGGCACAAGCAGTTTGAGCAGCCTCAGAAAGTGGAAAAAAGCAAGCAGGAGGCAGACAGAATGAGGAGGCAGATTTGGAGATTAAGTTCTGGTCTGTCTGAGTCTTAATGCAAAGCATTAGGCAGCACTTTGTCTTTATTTTTACTTTATTATGATATGTGGGTATCTCATTGGAAAATGGGATTTGGGTCGGTCACGTTTTTACAGCAGACCATTTTTCCTCGTCTCATACCAGCTCCAGCGGCTCAGACTCTGGGCATCAGCTTATGCCCCCAAAAGTCCTAAAGTAAAGCTCTTTGAATTTCAAACACATTTCATGTATCATAAGATGAGGGGAAACAGAATCAAATCACGCCAAATGCCCTGAATAAAATAATAAGAATGACCCTCATTTTCATTACATGAACAAGTAAACTGTACCATGAACTACGATCTGCTTCATACTGGTCAAGATGAGGGTCAGTTGGGATGCCAAAAATGGGTTTTCACTTTTTTTTTTGGAGGGGGGGAAATGTGGGGTGACGAGAAGGCGGAGGCTTGCCTCTGAGAAGGTGAGCTGGTGGGGCTGCGGGGTCAGAAGCTCATCCACCGTCCCCGCCGCCGGGTCCTGGCCGGCCACCGTGCAGGAGTCTGGGGGGGCGGGCGAGAATTGGGCGGGTTTTAGCGGGGAGTGAAGGCAGCACGCGCACACGCACAAACGCCGTGCACACACCGGGCTTCAGCGGCACCATGTCGTTGTCGCAGTCTCCGACGCTCCCCACAGCCGTGGTCCGGCGCAGGCCGCCCAGGCACGGCCGGCCGCCCAGGCCGCAGTGTCGCTCCACCAGGCAGCACAGCGGCCGGTTAAACCTGCAGCGCACGGTCAGAGGCACGGTCAGAGGCACGGTCAGAGACACGGTCAGAGACACGGTCAGAGACACGGTCAGAGACACGGTGACCACGCCAGAGGAGGACTCACTTCATGATGACTATGTAGATCCCATAGGTGGAGATCAGGATGATGGTCTCCCACCTGAAGAAGGCCACATTTGTCACAACTGGGGCCATTTGTTTAGCTCGTTTTCAAACAGGTAAAACAAAAGTGGTCTTACCACATGACTTTTTCATCGTAGATCACCTACAAGAAAAAAAGTACATGTGCTCACACTGTTTTGCAACAACAATATTACTTATAATGAATTGTTATGTAATTATTACTGTAGAGTTAATTGACAAGTTGTTCTACGGCGTCACGACAACACAGAACATTGAGTCATCTACAAACGGGTCTTCTTTTTTCTTTGCAGTTAATGAGTAGAAAGCAGAAATGAGCAGAGGAAGCTCCGATGCAAGAGTTTTTAAATGCGAGATGTCCCTGACATTTGACTAGAAGGCTAAATCTGCACTTTCCATTGAAGAAACTGGATGATTCCCCCCCCACATTTGTGCTTTGTTATCAAAATCTGTTTAATTCAAAAATGAGCTGCAAACTCTGGTGTCTCCTATACCTTAAAAATTCTGAATTTTCACATCTGTCTTTCCAAACATTCGGGAGGAGACAACACGAAAGCTACTGTTGTTTCACTGGAAGGTTTTTCTCACCAGAATGAGCAGCACGATGGACAGGATGTAAAAAGAAGCATCCCGGAACAGAGGCCACCAGCTCAGAGAGATGGGCTGTAGAGAAAGACAGGACGAATTAGACCTTCAAAGAGTGGAACCAGTTGTTTCAAAGTCCTCCTAAAGCTTTCCAGTGTATGCAAAGCTTAAACAGAACTTTAAAGGTCTTGAACAAAATAAATCAATAAAAACACAACAGTCACCATAGGAATAAAGTCCGATTAAAGATTAACGATTATGTTCTGTTGTTCGTGCGAAAAAACAGGTTGTTGTTTTTAAACAATGACCATGAACAAACCTGCCCAGAGAAGATGCCGCAGAGGCCGATGATGACCAGGATGTTAAACACAGCTGAGCCCACAATAGTTCCTACACCAACATCTCCCTTTGTGATGAACACCCCTAAAAGCAGAGCGTGAGAGTAGAAGCGCAGACAAGATCTGCTGTTATGTGACAGTGTTAATGGATTTGGAAAGTCAGTCTCCATTTCTCTTTTCACTAAGGAGAAGTACAAAAGAAGAAAGGTGGCACTGTGTATCATTATAATGTCTGCACATCTGGATGATGGCCTGATCATGTTCTGAAAAGTGTTCTGAAAACAACCACCATTATAGAATAACTAATCCATCCATCCATCCATTTTCTGATCTGCTTATTCCCAAACGGGTTTGTGGGGGGGTCACACTGGACGGTCTCCCTGTCCATCAGGGCCACATCAGGGTCAATTCATTTTTATTTTCATTTAATCTATTTTCCCTAAATTCAACCCTGGAAACGTTTATCTCTGGTTGAATTTCACATTACAATAGCATTTAGGGGAGGGAAAACAATCATGTATGGGTAGGATTACAAACCATCCCATTAAATTGTAATCACCATTGTGTCTCTGCCTTTGCTCACTGGGTGTTTAACACTCAGGCACTCACTTTTCTAAGTTTTATTCAGACTGTATGATCTTGGAATCTGACTTCAGTGATGAGTGATCGATGAAGCAAGCATCATACTGACCAATCAAGGAGGTGAAAAGCTCTGGAGCGGAGCTCCCCGCTGCCATGAAAGTGGCTCCGGCTACGTCCTGACTGAGCTGTAGGTTCTAGTGGACAGAGGTGAGGAGATCACACCGGTCAAAGGAGAAGCTCTGAGACATTTCATGTCCAGGTAACCAGTGTTCTACCAAAAAACACATCTTGATTCGTAGTTAGTTGAATGCCTTTTCAAAGTACCCCAGAGGGGATCAGAAAGTGTTGACAGGCTGATGTGCTGTCAAGTTATTTTCATTTTTCAATGACATTACAGACAGAAACAAATATAAACATGTTTTTCTGATCACTTTATATCTTAGATTGTTCTGTTCTGAACTGTGCCTTGTTCCTGCCGTTCTTACCTCGGAGACTTTCTCCAGCGAGGGTACAAAGTAAACATCACACACGATAGCCAGTGCATGAAACATGTAGATGGCCTGTTAATGCAGGAGACACGTTATTAACCCCGTGGCTTTTGTTTGTGGGTTCAGAACAAGAAAAGAGAGCTTTGCTGGTGCTCACACAGAGAACATGAAGGAGCACCGCTCCCTGCCTCCTCTGATCCAGAGTAAAGATGTCCTCCGGAAACTCATTGATGGCTGTGGAAGACACAGGCAGAGGGTAATCTCATTATCGGGAAAGTGGAAGGAGTCACACAAACATCTGAAAAGTATCCTTATTAACAACAATCCCTTAAATCATTTTAAAGTAAAACAGGGAAAAAAATCCCTGGTATTAGATAAGTTGCTTCCACATTAAAACGAGCTTTCACCAAAAATCTGTGCAAAGCTTTTAAAAAGCTCATTAAAACCCACTGAACAGATAGTCAAACAAAATCGCTCTTTGATGGATCAGATGATCTTTTGGGGACACTGTTCAGGAGAAAACAATGAAAAGCAGTGCTTGTAGTGCTTGCTGGGAACCTGGAAGTCGCTTTTCCTCACTTTTTGTTTGTATATGATGTTGTTAGATGAATGCTCAGCGTCTCCCGGCAATGGGCACCAAGACTGTAAAAGCTCTGACACAGTCCCATTACCTCCAGCAGTCATCTTTGGCACCAACGTTCTTCTCCGAAATGCGACTCAATGCAGAGAAAATATTCTGTCTTTCCTCACAAACCTTTCTGGTTTGTTTGTGTTCCGTTTCTTAATGGTCAGAGACAAGCTGCTGCTGCTAAATGCTGCAACAGGGCCATTCTCAGTTGAGGTCTTTAACTGAATATGTGCTCCCACTGGTGGCAACTTTCTCACCGCCGAGTAAAAAAGCATGTCGGTGCATTTTCAATGACTGGCGATAAATCTCTTAATCTCAGCACCAGAGCACCTGGCTTCTGCCAGGGCTTTACCTCTGAGTTTTTCAAACATGCAAACCATGAAAGAGATGCTGATGAGGGGCTGCGGATCAGCAGATCATCACGACAGGGTGGGCACTTTGAACCACTACAGACACACACCACATCCAGCCACACATTCAGCATTCAGTTTCCTAGCAACTGGGTCCCTCAAAGGCCTGGCTGTGTCTAAGAACCTAAATGTGCTGAGTTTTAGGAGAAATTAAGAATGAAGTAGAACACGGAAGTAGATCAATGCAGAGGGGACAGGGACTTGGATTAATCAGATGGGGGGGCATGCTTTAACTCTGATCTAGCACACAAAATGGTGTCACAAAAACATTGTGATGAAATCATTGTCTTACCAGATCTGGAGACACTGCCATTCTGGTTGTCCTCCTTTTGGTGGATGAGCTCTCTCTTGTACACAGAGACGTCACGATGCACACTTTGGCCACGAGAGCCTAAATGGAGAGGTTTGGGTATAAATGCATGTTGCATGATCTATTTTATGCAAACTTTCATGCAAAATGATATTCCCACAGTTGATATTTCGTTAGTTTCGTTTAATTTTTGTGACCAGAACTCAAATGCCATTACTTTGTAATGCTCAAAACGCAATTTGATGGTATTTTTGGGGGGGTTTTAAGTACCTGTAACGTCATTAAAGTGAAAAATCCAGGCGGCGGTGAGCAGAGCGGCTCCACCGAGCAGGCAGTAGCGGGGAAGGAGCAGCGCGAGCCCCGGTCTCCTCAGAGCTCTCATCCCGCCGCCGTCCTCCCTCCGCTCAGAACATGCCTCCGCCACGGCTCCCCTCCTCCTCCTCCCCCACCCCCCCTCCCTCCGCCGGGTCCCCGCGTATCCAGACAGGATCTGACTGGCCTCCCTTATTCTTGTTTACGGTCTTTCGCCGGCTCCGGTTCGGGGCTCCATCCGCGCTGGAAGGGGGGCGTTCCGGAGCCGTGGCCCCGTCGTCAGCATCCGGCTGCGGATCTGACAGCAGGCTTCTCCAGACAGAGCTTGTTTTAAACGTCTGCCTCAGTTCGTGCCGTCTCCGTGTCCTCCCCCCGTTACCCCCCCACCCCTCTGTCCTGTAGCCGGTCCCGTTGATATTTCTCCCAAACCAGGAGGGGGGGTTTTCTCCCCCCGGACTGGAGCGCCTCCGGTAGTCTCTGCTGGGTGGGGCGACCGGCGCCAGAAAACGGGGACACGCACGACTCGGCGGGATTTGACTGGCTGGAAAAGATTGGAGTCGATTTGCCGAATGATATTTAAATACAGCGAGCTTTCAAAAGCTAGGGGACTGAAACCCACTTTTCACAGGATAAAGCGTCCAAACTTTCAGTGTCCAGCTGTGTGTGAAGGTCCATCATCTTCCCTGGTCCAGTACCTCAAGTCCTCTAGATCCCATTTCTTTCTCTTTCATTATTTGTTTACAGCACACATCTCTTCCGGTGGACTTATTTATTTTTTTCCATTGCAAACCTGTAAATTTCCCCATACAACCTTCCCCATTGATCTGTGCTGGCTCCAGATTTCAGATAAACAACTTAAACACGCTCTGATGTCTCCTCTGACATCGGTCCTGTTGGCTCCACGTTTCTTCTCTTTTAACTGTTTGTATATTTGGCTAAGCAGATATTTTCCTTAGACATGTAGAATTTGGAGGTGATTCCGTGCTTATTCCCTTTATATGCTGTTTTTTAAGCTACATTTGACATGGTATGGTCAGCTCTTATGTACATTAGTTTTCTTACTTATTTTTTAAATCTAATCTTCTATGAAGTAATACAGACTAATGAACACCATCTAAGAGAGGGCATTAGCAAGCGGCTTCAAAATATGCTCAACAAAGTGAAAAGCAGGGTTTATTTTTGCTCACTTGCCTCTGGTGTGCTGTGTATGATACAGACAAACTAACTCAACTCACACTTCGGCGCAGACATGGAGTAAAGACGAGATCAGATTGGAGGTAAAGTCCCGTAGTGGACACTGAGATAGGGCTGCAACTTGAGGCGTGCACTGCTCCAAAGAATGCTGGAAAAAAACTCTGAGTCTCCTGTGCAGCATCCCAAAGCCAAGCAGGCCAAAACATAGAAGCTGAAGAGACACAGCATGAGCAGCCCTGCCCTCAGGACCGGGATCTTTAAGGCTTCTGGACATCTGTCCCCAGTGGCGCAGCTATGAGTGGAGGAAAAACAGAGAGAAGAACAGATACATGAGGCAAAGACAGGGCAGGCCTTTGGAGCAGAGCTCTTCCATCACATCATCCTCATGTACCTTTCGGTGTTCAGGTCGACTGGCAGACTCTGAGGTTCCAGCAGCTCCTCAGCCTGCACACACACAGAGACACACAGAATTGATCTTAATTTGGAATCCTATGGTCACTGCTAGCATGACAGTATGATTAGATGGTTAGTTTTCAAAGGTTTTAGTATGATGAGCAAAAATGTCTCAAGTTTAAAGGCCACAGCGTTGGAGTTCATACGGGTCCGAGCTCTTCGATGTCGGTTTGGCTGGTGGTCGTGTCAGGTGGTGGGTCCAGCAGCTGGATTTCCTCCGCTATGGACAGGCGATTGATAGAACGTTTGTCCCCTTTATCCATCTGCTCAGTCTGAACATCCCTGGACACAAACAGACACACAGATGACTTAGTGCTCGTGGTGTGCTCATCCTTTGAAGCGTCTGTGTGTTCGCTTTACAGAGAGGCTTCGTGTCGTTTCTCCTCCAGCTGCTTCACCAGCTCCTGCTTGGTCATCCTGAGATCCTGGAGCAGAAAAAACAGCTGTAAACATCTGGGAGCATTATATTTATCCTGTTAAGAAGAACAGCCAAGGCTGCCAACGTGTTTTACCACTGGTTCCTGACATGCATTACACATCCTTACATGCAACCTGCCAGAGGATGGAAGCAGATTCTTACCTTTATGACTCTGGAAAATTCCTCCACTGTGTCCTCCAAATGTTTTAACTTCAGGCTTTTCTGACATAACCAAACAGAAACAGCATGTGAAGCTCAGGATGAAAACAGAGACAGTGGTGTTTGTGGAAACCCTGATTCCTCATTTACTCTGTGGTGAAAAACGCTCTCACCTGATGGATAACTTCCTCCCTCTGCTGCAGCGTTAAATTAACATCCTCCATTTCATTCTGAGGAAACACAGCAGGCGATCAAACAGGAGACGGCAGATGGTTGCCAGTCACATGGGCCATTTCATGTCAATTCACAGAATGTTTTAAAACTAATACTACAAAGTTTTATGGCTTTGTTAATACTTGTGCATCAAAAGCAATAATTATACACTGAAAAATCCTCTATGCCACAAACATTATGACGCCTTACTGCCAGTTGTGCAGATTCAGGTGAATCAAACCTAAAGTATATGCCTTCATTAGTCAACAAATCTAAGGATCCAAAGGCCACTTGGTTCCCTGGCAGCTCAGCAGAGACTGTTTGACATGCAAATACACACCAACGGTGTCATTTTTATTATATTATTTTGGAGGTTTCTGTGTAGATTTTAAATGCCTGTAAGGAAAACTTTGGAAGACCAAGAATTCCCAAACAGATCTCTTGTTCTAAAAGTCATAGATGTACCCTTAAATGGCTGAATTCTACCAGCCAGTGAAACTGAAGATGCTGTGTGGCTGACAAACACTGGTGAGGCCGCCCGAAAGACCACTAACTGGACTCCTCTGTGCAGAAACCACTGTGATACCTCAAGGGTTCGAAGTGCATCCCTGAGCTTGCTCAGCATCATCTTGTCCTGGTCTCTCTCCTGCTCTAAGCTTTTTATCTAAAAGGGGGCAAAGCAAATTCAAAAGCGGAAAGAGTTTACAAATGTCTGGACTCCCTATAAGCATGTGCCACTCAGCTGGTAAACTAGCTCATCAGCTCAACTGACTGCAGCTCCAATTCCACGGCATGCATCACCACAGTATTACCAGAGCTGTTCTGGGAAAGGCAAAGGACTCCTCTACCTGTGCAGCTAGTCCCTTGTTTTGTTCCTTCATCTTGATGGATTCCAGTTCCTGCACAACAAAAGAAGCAGCACAAATGTGATCTGAGCACCAATACTACTGAGAGGAGCATCTGCAAAGAAACTTCATCTGTAGGGGGATGAGACTCCTGCCACGCACCAAATCCCGAAGCTTTATCTCCCTGCATCTCTTAACTTCGGCGTCCTCAGCTAGGAGGGAGCCACAGGGCTCTGCTTCCTCCTCCTCAGCTTCACTGACAATCTTCTCCAGGCTGCAGACGCATTAACGCATAGTTAGAAGAAAGCGTCAGCAGCTCAAACTAAAAATGAAGCTGAGGGTGAGGGATAAAGAAGGAAGAACACGCAGATGACCCTGTTACAACAGCTCACTGCAGCCTACTTTTTCACTTGTTTTTTTAAGTCGGCGTTCTCCGACCGCAGCGTCGCCATGTCATCATCTGCCACGTCCAGCCAATGCCTCATCTCAGCGTTCAGCCCCCTCAGCTGACTCTGGCTGTAATCCAGCTCGGCTATTTTCTCCAGCATCTCCTCCACCGATCTACACAGAAACACAGAACCAAAACAGTCCACATGGTTCAGCGGAAACTTTTTTTTGTTTGTTGGTGAGATTGCTAGTAATCACTCACATATTTTCAATTGTGGCATCCATCCTTCCAGCTGACTCCCACCTTGAGCTTTAGCTCAGAACAGATTCACAGAAACTGAACAAAAAGAAGAGGCACACAGTTTTTAGGATAAGCACTCTGTCTTTCCTTAAACAAACCTTAATTCTTTCTTTTTTTAATAATTGACAGTGCTTTCGGTTTAGGATTCTCAATGTAAATATTCATGATTTTGAACTAGACAGGCAATTTATGTATTTAGCTAATCCACAGTCACGTTAAACGTTTGGACATAGACAGTGTTTTTCAAAAGCCATTCATGGTAAAGAGGGCTTCCTTTTTCTTTGCCTAAACTTTATCAACATCCTTTGTCAAGGAACCACTTTTCACATTACACCATGAAATGACTAATTTAGAGGCCTCTTTTCTCAAGGATTATCAGTCCATTGCAGCTGAAATGGACTTAATGACCTACAGAACTTTGATCTGCTGAAGTAATTAATAGATTATAACATAATAGCCACACCTGTCTATGAAAATGCCAGTAATAATTTCACTGAACTACTTTGGGTTCCCTGAAAAAAAATCCCTTAGCTAAGTAAGATAGCCAAATTCTTTACTGCGATTTTCAGACCATACTAAGTATACAAATTAATTCAACTAATTAACTAAGACAGCAGTTATGTCAACTAGTATGACTACATATATGAGCTACAAAACAATGAAAAGAATATATAGCTGCTTTAAAAATAATAATAATGCAAAATGAGCTAATTATGGGTGTCAAACTAATGCTAAGAGCAAAGTTGCTAACTGTAAATAAGCCAATTTAAAAAATGTAAAGGCACACCCAAACAGTCAGTCTGATAAAAAAAAGATAAATACAAAAAGATAAATATTTGAACCTGTTGAACACATTGAAAAAATAAAAGAGGAGCAGGAGATATTTGTTGAGCTTTCATATGCTAGGGATTAGGCTAAACGGCTTTCAACAGTTAGCATCCGCCATGTTTGACAAATTCAAGTTCATCTTTGGTTCCGTTTTCACTTCTAGTTATTTCTGAAATAATAATGTAATTAATGTAATCAATGAAACTGCTAACAGCTATAAGAGCTACAATTAAAAGTCCTTACCGGCCAGATGTTTCCAGACTTAGCTTTAGCCGCTACATCGACGCTGGGCATGTTGCACCTGTTGGCTAGCTGGGGTGAAGGAGGAGAATGGGTAATTTCTTCTTTTTACAACAAATTCCGAAAAATGTTTTGTTGTATTTCGACAGCCCCCAAATATGACACTTACTGAACTGAGTCTTTTGGAGTCAGACATACGCAGTGAGTATCAGTATACATAGTATTACTTCAATAAATACTTCCTACTGTAACAAATTATAAACTGAATCTATTTCAGGCTAAAAGCCATGTCTGCATGTCTGTTACATGTTAGACATACATCCGTGTGTCTAAATCAGGCTGTAATTAATCTAAAATCCATTATTTTTGTTGTATTTTTCTTGGCAGAATTGTTTTACATTTACACTTTGGATGTGCAGTAACAAAAACTTGATTTCAGGTTAGTCCATTAGTGGCAACATGATAACTTCAGAAATCCTTCAATTTTTCCAAAATATGTACTTTTTCCAGAAGCCAATCATTTGAAAATTTGATAAAGTTCTCATTTCCTACTAAGGTCAGTACTATTAAATAAAAACCTTTACTTTCCTTGTATTTAATAATCCTTTCATAGCTCTATGAAACCTTTGTGAGATACGGAAGGAAATCAGCAGGGATACAAGTCAGATCAGATATGGGTGTTCAAACAATCTGAACATCAGAAAATGTTTCCAATCACACATAAAATTATGACAGAACACGGCTTCCAACACAACAGTTTTCAAAATATAAATACACAATAAATGAAAGAAAAGGTATCTCCCTTCAAGTAGTTTATTAAGACACTTTGAAATGGCAAATCCCAACACCACAAATAATGTCAAACATCTTAAACAAACAATTAATTCTTACATAATCAATGCAACATATGTTTTGGCTGTTCTGTATCTTTAACAATATGCCCCCTCCCCCAAATAGTAATTTGTCTCCATGAAAAAAATTATATCAAGAAAGATCTAAACTAAAAAAAGGACTTGTGAGGTCATTAACGTCCAGTTGGCATCAAGTCAAGACATCCTAGCGTTGTCCCCTGTCTAAATTTCATTCTAATAAAAGCAGGCAGCATCATCTCAAAACATTGTAAACAGGTACGTTTTTTTAGAAAAACATTTTGTGTTCTCTTTGGGTGTTTTTTTTGTATACCATGAAGACAGGTTTATTTCTACAATCAGTAAACAAAGGTGAAACAGGAACAAAATAATACAAACAATGTAGGCAGCCTGCTTACAAACCAGAGCGATGTGTATTTTAAATACTGTAATTACCAGACTATCAACAACAGGTGAAGTGAAACATGGGACTCTCTGCTTAAGGCGTGCAGACGGGACTGACTGATGGCTTTACCCGACACAACAAACATCCAAAGAAAAGCAAAGGGTAAGAAACTCAGATGCAGCTCAGGAGCTCATGTAAACAAGGGAAAAACATAGAGATCCTAGCTGGAAATACACAACAGCCAGTAAGACGCTCACAATGACTTTATGTGCCCGTGGTCTTCAGGTCCACATCCAAATAGACGTGTCCAGTCCATCTGCCCCAAGAGCTTGTGTCAGGGACTTTAAAACTACATTTTTTTGCATTCTTTCATCATCTCTAAAATACATTCTTATTTTAAACTTATCTTCAGTGCTCAGTATCCACATGAAACTTTGTTCATTATAATAACAATAACAATGAATATTCTGAGGCCAGCCTCAATCAGAAGGACAAGATCATAATACCTTCACAACAACCCATTCATTTCCCTATTCTGCACTGCAAAACGCCACAGGGGACACGGGCAGACAACCACATCGGTTAACATCTAAACAACCCCACCGTCCCTGCACCATCCCTGCACCATCCCATCCAAAGCTACATTTTCTTCCTCTCTGCTGCTCCCGAAAACATTAACCGCCACAGCTAGAGCAAGCACTGAAGAGCCCGGAGGGGCCTCCTGTTACCGGGAGGGCTCCAGCGATCCAGTGACCTGGAAGGTTAGGCCGTCTCCGGGCAGCGGGGACGGGATGAGCGGGCAGAGCCAGCAGATGTACCAGCGGAGCCCCAGCGTGTGGCGCAGGTTCCCCAGGAGTCCCAGGTGGTAGGGGCGGCGGGACGAGTACCACTCCCGGGTGGTCTGACCCCGAAACAACAGGAAGAGATGGAAGAAGAAGAAGGCGGACACGAGGAGGAAACCCACCACGCATGTGTCAGCGATGAAAGCAAAGGCGAAGGCACGAGCCGAGACCTGGCCTGGAGACACAGGAGGAAGAGGAGGTACAGAGAGTATTTCTGAGATTCTGCCTATTAACGAAGAGTTAATGTTTAATGACATGCAGCATTTTTAAGAAAGTGGTGGAATGTTGTAATACAAAGCCTCTAAATTATTGATATAATTCAAAGTAGGTCAGCCTTAGGAGTGCAAATGACAAAGATAACTGCCTACCACTTAATTCCTGTCAAGGAATACAATGTGGCTATTCATAGTGATTAAAATGAGTAATAATTAAACGTATCCAAACGCAAACAGCAGACTTTGCAAACAGACAGCTATCAAGGAAAATATATATATTTTGCTGATATAAAGACGTTCATGAGAGAGAGCAAAAATGTCTCACAAAGTCAAGTTCATAAGAGAGAAAAAAACAGCATGTGTTCATTAACGTTCATTCATTGTCCATACCTGAAACAAGCATGATCCAGGGAATGAGGAGCAGCAGGACGCTGTGCAGGGTCACACCCTCCTTCAGGATGACGATGAACACCTCTGCGTTCATCAGCATGGCGTACAGCAGCCCCGACCACATGAACAGCAGGCAGCTCAGGAAGAAGCGGTAGTTCCGGAAGCCCACGCACTGGCCGAAAAAGACGCAGTGGTGGTCCCGCCGCAGTACGCACACCTTACAGTCGTAGCAGTGGGAGCAGCGTGGAGGAGTGTGCGTCTCACACGTGTAACAGTACCTGTTAGGGGAAGAGGCCGCTGTTCAGGGAGAGGTCGCAAAAACAAGACTGCTCAGCATTAAGAATAAATGTTCGTCGTTTTTCTGGTAGTTTCATCCAGTTGTTATCACATGGAGCAATGGAAATATTTTCAGATAGGGCGACAGTGATTATACTGATTAGGACAATGACTCTCTCATCACTGTACTATATTATTGCCAATTGGAATCTGAAATATCTATTTAATACTCAGTAGAAATGTCTGTTTCTGGAATTAATGTTTATATTTATGATCTGAAATTATGAAAAAAGAAATAAATCAAAGGATTGAAATCGGAAAACTGGTCTAAACCATGACAATGAGCTTGTAAGTATGCAATGCTGTGAAAATGTTGAGTTCCAGTGTGACAAACCCATTAAGGTGTGTTCCAGGCCAACAAAGGGCGGTTTGCTCACCTCCACCCCTGGCCCAAGCCATCTCCACCCAGGAACACGCCTTTGATACTGGGGCTGGTCTTTACGAAGAGCAGGGCGTTCCAGCAGATGTTCCCCAGCATGAAATACTGTGCCAGCAGGTGGATCAACTTCCACCAGGAGGACCACTCCGTCTTCTTTTGCTCCGCCTCCAGCGGTGCTTCGACGAGCACCAGGTAGCTCACCTCCCCAGTTATGGAGAAAACCAGGAAAGTGTTGAGGACGACGGGGAGCTGGTGGCACAGCTTCTCGGCCCTACAAAATACTTTGGCGGCAAAGCTCGTCATTTTTTGGACTCGTATACCTCTATTTGGCGCTTGAATTGCAATTAATTTGGTACCGTGGTGTAGAAGGAGTTATTTTGCAGACGCACAGTGGCTAGCTTGATTGGGTAACTAGCCAAACAAATAGTCAGTTTACCACGTGGGTTTAAAATCAATCGTACAAATTATAATACTCCATAAGTACTTCAAACAATCGAATGTCATATATAGGTTTAATGACACCTGAAATTCTCTCTCAACGAGAGGCTCGACCTACCGAACCATTTACGAGTCACGCCCACCATTTGGTTCTCTGCGATAATACTTCCGCAGAGCAACAATACTAAATGGTTCCGCTGTTTACATTAAATTGACCATGAATGCAGATTTGAAACCTTGCAGATCAATGCAGATCATTTTAAACCTTTTACTTATTCAGTTTAGACTATTGACAATTCCTTTTTTAATGTTTTTTTCCCACCTACACCAATGCCTTTTGATGCATCTGCATACATCCCACTCCAGTCAGCACCAACCCATTTTAATTAAACTATGAGGTGTTTATTACCTCGTTTACTTTTTGCTTTAAATAGAATGAGAAAATACAACCATCCAAATGTTGTGCCAGTCCTGGTCTAAAGGAGTTACCAAATAAATGAGGTTCCTTTTGTAAATTGTATTGAGTAAGAATTAAAATTGATCTGAGCGGTATTTAGGTGCCATGTTATCAGTGTGACTCTGTTATCTCAAATTGCAAAGATATACATGGCCCAAGAAATATTTGGTGATGATTAAAGAAAGGATGTCACATATATGAACCCTTTGTTACTGTATTTATGTCAGAACTGGTAGCATGTATGTGGTCCCTCCCCCTTCTAATCTTTAATCCCTGTTAATCTCAGCATTAAATGAAAGCTGGTAGTCATGGCTGTGCCGCCAGAGAATTTGCTGTCCTTTAGCCATCTGACCAACGCAAAACCAAACACTTTTATGAAAAAACAAGAACATTATGTACCGAGGAGGTAAGAAACTTAATATGGCTATAGAGGTAGGACGTAACACGTGAGTAATTTCCTGCTTTTAAAATTGCAGAGGCATTACAGAATGATTTTGCGGGAACAGTTATTTCAGTAATGTGGTACCATAAAGGCTTTGGTACAACATGGTTCTAAAAAGGAATATGTTGTGTTTTTATTCCATTTAACTGTAAATTACCGTAAAACCCCGCAGACCATTGTCTGAAGATAATTGCATGTTTTCTCTGTAGTAGAGAGCTGCAGCTTCAGCAGCAGTGGCTGGAGCTGAAGGACCGAGAGCGTGTCGCCCAACAGCACAACAGACAGCTTCTGCAGCAGTTTGAGAGGGCCCAGGAGTCCCTGAGAGACATGCTGGCCCGCAATGCCGCCATGAAAACCATTCGGGTGCATAGACACACGGAAAATACATGCTGCAAACTGGAAAATTAAACAAACCAACTCAGGAGTTGATGTTCCTCCATCTGGTTCTGTATACAGATGGAGTATGAGAGATATCTGGAGGAGAACACCCCTCGCTGGCAGCAGCAATTCCAGGAGAAGAGACAGGCGGCTCAGAAAAAGGTACGACCACTGCACCGAATCTAGAAGCTATTCGAACTCTTCCAAAATGACAAATACAAAGATAAATCAAACAGGTAGTTTCATTGCATCAGTCCACCTTCAATGTAGTCAAACATTGTACATACATACATTGTTTCTATTAGCACAATCTTCTCCAGAAGATAAAACCCCCATTAATTTCTGGTGATCCATCATTCACATTTCTGTGTGCATCCTATCAACAGAAAATGGAAAACTATTTGAGGTCATATAAGACAGAAGAAGAAGATGTATTGCATTCTGCATTAAATGGGTCTCTACTTTCACAAGGTTTGTTCTCCTCTGCCATTTTACAGCCCACTGAACCAACTTTATTCCTCAGTATTGATGCTGTGCTCCAATTCAACATGCCATCTCCTATCTGATATGAATGTTTTTTTACAGGTCTTCCCACAGGGACACAAAAAAAAGTTGCTCCACACTCATTTTCCATGCACGAGTTATCTGATCACAACCCAGATGTCTCTTCCCAGCATCCCCTTGTACAGTCCTCCTGGTTAACCCAAACTCAGACCCCGATTGGTAGATTTCCTATGAGAGCGCCTGCTATGCCCCAGAGCTCCCCTTTTCTCCCTGCAGCCAACTTCCCACATCTTCACCCATATATGCCCCCCCACCCTGCCTTCATGCCCGGTCCTCATCACCCACAGCCCAGGCAGGACTGGGCTCCCCCACTGCCCAGCCACCCCTGGCCCTGGGGGTCTGGGATCCCTCCAGAGTCCTGGGACCAGTTCTACAACGAGGAGCCTCCTCTTGAACCCAGGGTCTCGCAAACTGGGAGGGAGGAATATGAGCCCGGTAGAGCACTGAGCTCAAAGAGGGAGAGTGGCGGTAGAAGGGACAGCAGTGGATTGTCCCAGGAGCTGGACGTCAAACCAGGTGGGAAGAGAAAGAAAAGTACAAATCTCCCCCCTGACATGTGTTTGTGGCTGTTGCATGCTAACCTTTGTGCATGATCGCACTCTGTATGCAGTTCGTCTTCCCAGCGGTCACACAGAGAGCAGTGAGAGTGGCAGAGATTCCAGCCTGACCTGCAGAGAGAGGAGAAAAAAGGAGAAAAGAGGGAAAACGCAGCATTCCTCCTCTGACAGGGAAAGACATGGCTCCAAGGAGTAAGAGACCCCCCCCGAATGATTTAACTTTGGCATCTGTGCTGTACGAAGTCTTTTCCAGTGCTCAATATCCAAAACCACCCTTTGTGTTCATTTGTCAACAATTCTGGCCTCTTTGAGTTTAGAAGGTGCCACCACAAATTAAATATACATTAAAGAATGTATGATTTTAAATAGTGGTGTTCAGCAGACAAGAACAGGGCTCACTTCAGCCAGTGGAGGACGCATGTCTTCACACATTGTTTAATTAAAAGGTGTAAGGGTTCACATTCATGTTCATATTCAGCTCTCCCTCTGTCAGGTCATCCAGGACTTCGAGTGAAATCATCATCGCATCTGCCGCAGTGGCCAAAAGTTCAGAGAGAGAGACCTCATCTGAGGCTGGCAGCACCAAAAGCAGCAGGAAGCCCAAAAGAGGTGGGGGGCTTTTAGTTGAATCTCCAATACCTGAGTCGGGGGCAAACCAACAAAGCAAGGTGAAGGAAGATGATTCAGAACGTCACAATCCAGAGAGTCGGTCTGACTCTGAAAGTCCCGGAGAAAAAGAAAAGGTGAGGGATCAGAGCCATGCTGACGAACCAGAGACATGTGGAGTGGAGGAGAAACCAGGAAGTGAGAGCACAAGAGCTGGAAATGGAGTTAAAGATGAAAGAGGAAAGCAGGAGAGCAGCAGCTGTGAGCAAAGCAGCCCAGAGGAAGAGGAGGAGGGAGAAGGCCCTAAAAATCAGAGAGATGAAGATGAGAAAGACAACAGCCATAGAAATGAAAAAGACAGCGATGTGGAAGATAAGGAGAAAGAGGTTTCTGATGGAAAGAATACAACAGAGGAAGAAGAAGGAGAGACAGCAGAAGAGGATGAAGAGGACGAGGAACAGTCAAAAAGTTCGAAAAATGAAGAAAGTGAGAAGACAAAACAGATTTCCGATTCCTCTCAGGATGAAGAGGAGAGCCAAAGCATTGAGGACAAGAGAGGATCTAATGAGGAAGAAGATGGGGAGGATGAGAAGGAAAAGGACCACAAAGGCCAAAAAGAGGACCGAGATTCAGACGACAGTATCATCTCACCACAGGAAAAGAGGTGTGAGGATGGAGGATTCAAAATAATAATCTTCCTCTAAAAAAATGCCAAGCCAGTCAAAAACAATCCTTCTCTTTTCAGGTCTAGACAGGTGCAGACTATTACTGAGGAAGCTGAGGATGACGATAACCATGAGGAGGAAGATGAGGCAGGATCCTCACCAGACTGTTCGGATGAAGTCAGCGACGGGGAAGAGATTGAAAATCTTCTGGCGCCGCACAGGCAACCAATCGAGACCAAGTGAGTACTCCCGACTTTTCCCTCCTGCTGGCGCACGTCACCCTAAGACTTACTGAGCTTTCCCTTTTTATTTATTAGAGAAAAAGAAGAGACACCTGATAAGAGGCCCAGGGGCTCCAATATGGACATCTTTCAGGTGACGAGTCAGCAGAGTGACTCCGATGAGTTCGATCACTTTTATGACTGAATGTCAGTCCAGAGAAACCTACTTCAAATACATTGCAGATTACTTGAAAGTATTTTGTGTTTCCGTCAAAGACTTGGAGCAGGTAGAAGAGACAAGCAGAACTGGAACCTATGCTATTTCTGCATGGCACAAAATAGACTTTTTTTTGTAGGTTTTTTGTCATCTACAGGCACATGCAGTAAAACAGATTAACACCCTTTCTTTCATTAAAAAAAAAACAGACGTTGAGGAAAAATCTGTACAAATGATGACAATAATTTATTATTGCTCCAGTATTTGAATGATTGATGACACCATAAAGCAGAGGAAAAGTAAATGTACTGGATGTTGTCTGTCTGAAAAATGGCTGTGGTCGACTCAGCCCATTCGTGCCGGCGATGAGGAATTGAGGTCTTGGTTCCCGTCAGATTTTCACCACCTGAACGGCCACGCAGGGGCTCACCCTCTTCCCCTCCTCGCTGCTGCGCTGGATGAGCAGCCGGCTGTAGGTCCCCCCCACCTGGCCTTTGGTCAGCCGTCCAGGGTTCACGCACACGCAGCCCACCACGTCCTGACAGCGGTTCAAGATGTCAAGCACTCATATTTTGGAAAACTTTTCATCTAATCTCTTTGAGGTAGAGGCCAGAACGTTCTGTACCTTCACAAAGTAGCGCAGCTCGGAGGGGGTGATGAGCACGTCCGGGGTGAGCGGCATCTGAGCGAAGCTCTGGAACTTCTCATAATCCATGTTCACCTCCTCCGCCGGCGGGTACAGCGGGTAGTAACTGTGAGTGAGCAGCACGCGGGAGTCGTTAAAGCGGTACTCTCTCAGAACAGAGCGGACAGTGCGGCTGATAAGTCTACCTCCTCTGGATCAGCATGTGCTTCAGGATGCGGGAGAATCTGTCCGAGCCGGTGCCACTGCAACGCAAACACAGCTGGTTTGGAACACAATCAGTGGTAGATTTAGCAAATTATTTAAAAAAAACAAACATTTGCAGCTCCGTTTGCGCTTGGACTAGCTCATGCTGGTTCTTAAAGGCCCCACGGAGCCCCCCACCCCCAGCTGCACTCGTCCTCACCAGCTGATCTCCTCGGCACCCATGTGGAACAAGATGTCGGTGGACGTCACGCCAAAGGTCACGCCATCCATCAGCAGGGTGCACGGGTCGGGAGCCAGGGTGACACGCTGGAGTGCAGCGACAGAAAGGATCGGGTTAACGCGGCGGTGTGGCATTCGCGTGACCGTCGCGCTGCTCTAGGACAGGAGACCCGGGGCCCGAAACACGCGCTCACAAAATGTTGCACACACGAGCACATCGTTCACACGCACACACACATCCGACCGGACCTGGTCCTTGCTGAGGTGCGGCAGGATGAAGGGGGGCTGCGGGTAGATGAAGTGGTGGTGGATGTCTCTCTGGGACGGCACAAACACCAAGTGACAGCCCACGCTGTGAAAGGAAAAGCTCATCTTTACAAAGTCCAGGCCTTCTCATTCACTATGTTACTGTGGAAATAAAATGATTTCTGCTCTTATGTTAGAGATAATAAAAACAAAAAAATCTAATAAATATGCCAATCAATGCTAAAAAACTCTTTCATCATGTATATTTATTTATATCAATATTTTGTTCCTTCTTTCCCACCTTATTTTTGAATAAAATGTGTTTTTTTTTTCTAATTTCATTTTTCATTGTGCTTTTTTTTTATTTGACAAAAGTGTAAAAAACAGTTTTAAAAAAAAAACTTAGTCTGCACAAACTGAGCTTGGTAGTTATTGTGTAGTTTAAGCACATAAACAGGCAGTTACAAAGACAGTCCTTTTCATTCTCTTTAACATCTCATTCTAGCTGACAAACAAGTCTAGGATTGTGGGGGGAAAAAACATAAGACACAAACCTTTTGGTGCCATCCACAATGCTTTCAATGCATCGAGAGAAAATGGCCCCGAACGTCTCTGTCACCTTAGCTTTCTGTGTGAGAAGCCGATGGACACCGACATGATCACTCACAAGCCTTAATCCTACAACTGTAGGTTCACATTTTACTGTTAAACACAAAACATCACATTGACCAGCAGAGGAAAACGTCCATTTCACACCAACCTCGATCTGCTCGTGTTTGGAATCCACAAACGGACCCAGCTGGAGAAGAAAGGCGACAGAGAATCAGAAGTCGGTTTTGGTTTGGACTGTGAACAGAGAAGCATTCAGGAGCTTTTTTTGAACAAATGTACCAGCAGACAAACATCCGGACGATCTCTGTTAATGACACTGATGAGATCCAAGAGGGGGTCGAAGGTCAAGCTGTCAGAGGGGGCGTATGGCCCACAGGCCACCAGCACGTTCAGGGGCTCTGCTGCTGCTGCAGGAGGAGACCAGTGTGCAGGGATATGGTTACATTTCTGCTCACACGCTCTTCAAGAAGCTCGCAACGATAATTATTATCATTAAATATAAACCAATATGGCTCCTCACCTTCATCAGGCTCCATTGTTGGGGTGTAAAAAGGAAGGGGAACTCCCTAATTAAAGAGAAAAGTATTATCCAAAAACCCCTTACAGCCTCAATTTCAAAAGGTGTAATTAAGATGTCACTGAAGTGGTAGCTGACCTCATAAAGTTTGGAAGCCACAAGTTTTTTTCCAGTAGTGTTCATCCCCTCCATCACTACCACCTGGACAAAGACGGTTTACAAGATCAGCACTTTGGAGCACAAGGCAGAAGCGAACAGTAGATCTGGACCAAATACGCAGCACCGTCTGCAGTTATGCTTGATTTTTTTTTTAATCCAGTGTCAGAGCTCTCGGTCAGACATTGGGTTAGTCTCAAGCCCAAGTCCTTGGCATGCTCTGTTACTCTTGGTGGCTATATAACCTGCAGCACACTGACCTCAGCGCACAGGCAAAGGAGAAACCACCGCGGCGCGTCTTTAACAGCCCACCCGAAAGAGGAGAACGAGACGGCTGTTTCTATGATGAAACTTTCAGAACACACACTTTTCTGACCCGAGTCATCGGACTGGGTTGTTTCGTTCAGCTCACCTGACCAGGAAAGAGGGAATACTCTTTAAGCTCGGACAGGTCGACGGAAACTTGCTGACCACCTTGTTCTGGTCCCGCCTCCAACAGAACGGACTGTGCGTTCAGTTTGCCGTTGCTGTCACAGCACACCTGACCCAACACGGTTATCCTGTCCTGGAGGGGGGCGGCGCATAGAAAAGGATTTAAAACTGCAGTGCTCCACATAAACATGCTCTTTTTAACAAAGAGGGTAACATCAGAGCTGGCAGCTAAACCCGTGACTTGTACAGCAAGAGAGGGAAGAGTTTTGGGATATAATTACTATCGTTTAACACTTTAGCTGTAACGGTTCAGTACCTGAGCGGGAAGAGAGACGGGGGAGAACTCTTCAATGCTGAACTGAGACCTGAGGCTTTCTCCCAGCTCCTCAATCTTCTCCGTCAACACTGAAGAAAAATGTATATAAAGACTTCAACCAAGACGTTTCACTGCTTTGAAGGTATTCTGCACTTAAGGCTTTTTATTTTTTACAGAAACTAAATGAGTATCTGACAAAAGAGTCTCTGTGATGAGAATGATTGGAACCTACCATTTCGAATGTCTCGTAGCCTTTGGAACATGAATTTGTAGCTGCAGCGCAGAGAGTCTTCAGGTCCCTCCAGGAGCTCAAGCTGGACGCCTGCACCAGGATCCTTCCTGCCTGCCCATCGGGTGCCCTGCACAGCTCCAAACGTGGCCACCACTTCCCCTTTTGCTCCACGTTGGTTGTACTTCTGTGAGGGCGTTGCGCTTTAAAAAACATGGGGAGAGGGGCAAGTGAGTCACAGAGATAACGGCCGACAATCATTTCTCCCTGTGGCCCCCAGTCACACACACTAATTTTCTACAAAGAGCTTCCAAGTCAGTCCTAACAACTGTCCCAGATACAGTCGCAGTATCTTACTCTTATCTTAGCTCACTCTTATTTTAGAGTGTCTGATTGGTCTCCACTGTTCAAAAACCATCCTGAGGCAATGGGTTACATTGGTTCTGGACGTACCTGCCAGCTCAGAGGTGCAGCAGTCTGACCTGAAACGTAAAAAGAGAAGGCCCACGGACGCGTTGCGGCACAGTACCTGGGGGAGAAGCTGGCTGGAGACAGCAACAGGCCTGGGCTGGCCAGCAGAGCAGCACTCCTCTTAGACTGAGGATGCTCTGGAGTGGTAAGCGCCCGTTTCTGAGAGCCCTGCGGCCAAATGAACAAGTAGCAAAGCGCAACATTTTTTCAAAATGAACACAAACTACTGCACTCATCCGCAAACGTGTAAAAGAATAAAGAGACATGACTGCTTACCTTGGCTGGGGTAGAGTAGGAGTCAAAGAGATCATCCTCTTCTTCCTCAGCTTTAATTCTGGAGAAAAAAAACTGTCAAGGTCCACTAGACATCGATCACACCAAAGAAAACACACATTCAGACAGAGGCACAGCTTGACAGCTGAATGTGGAATTTTGCTGTAAAGGATACAAATCCTGCACCATGTACATGTCTCTGGTTCTGTTATGCCCTTCTTCTTTCTTGTAACTTGGTTTAGACTTGTTCTTCTTGTGTGATAACTGTAAAGAAAGTCCAGTCTTAAGTACAAAAAAAGGTTTACAATGTGTGTTTCATTATTAAGATACAAAACTACAAACTTCACAGGAACTTCAGGAAATAAGAACTTCATATCATGATGTTCTGGCTCATTTCTCAATTGGCAAACCTACTTGGCCAAATTGAACCACTGAAATTCATGGAACAGATGCACAAAAAAACTCAAAAGACAGGATCCTGTAGTTAGGCATGGACACACATCCTTCACCAATTTACATCTTTCTGTTACCTCATGTTCAAATTGCTCCAGGTTCTCTGTTGTGAGTTTAGAAATACTTCTTGTGCTGCTGTAAGCCATCAACTCTGAAACCATGTCTTCTGCCTGCGTCCTAGTACAAATGCAAAGTTCAACCACTGTAGGGCAGAAAAGACAATGGGGAAAAGGGTTCAAATTGGCTTTCGTGTGAATAAATAAGTACAAACAACAAATATACGGCTACAAGATTCAGAATCTTGATAAAGATCCTTTAGTAACAGTAAATAAATATCTAGTGTGAGTGGCATTCTGTACGGTCCAGCTATTAATAACAGTCTGTGCAAATAAAAAACATTATAACCATGCACTTAATTGTGATCAATGACTTCAGAATAGCGTGTTGCTATCACGATTGTTATAAACTTAAATTAAATATAATTGTTACAATTATTTACCTTTGTCGAGGACGGAGTCATCTTGGAATGTAATCCCGAACACTTCCAGTTCGGACTTGAAGAAATCCGTGTTCACAAGAGCCATCGTTTCAGACTGCATTATCTCTGAATTTCAGTTCCTCAGTTCAGTGTAGGACGATCGAACGCTGTAATGCTACTTTGGCTAACGTTAGCTCTTCATGCCAATGTTTACAATCTTATTATTCAAACAACTCAACCCAAAATATTCGCAAGTGTCTTTAAAGAAGCCAGCTGCCGAGATAAAATCCTAATGACACAGTCATTTCATTTTACCGCGAAAAAGTGCTGCTGGTGTTGGCGGCCGGAAGTGACGCACAATACACGCGGCGATTAGCGGAAGTCACGCCTTTGTTTATATGCTCCACAATCAGAAAAATATCTCTCTCTTCAAGTGAGATAATCACAAAGTTAAAATAACCTAGGTTTTAAAGAATATATATAAGTAAAACTAGTTATATATATTTTAATGATTCTCTTTGCCATGTTTGTTCACTCTCTCTTGGCCTTAACTACACTTTAAGTATTTTTTTATGTGTTTTCTATCTATCAGATGTTCTGTTTCAGTTGGAAATCATTGACCTGATAAATCACATGCACAAAACAGTGAAATTGAAATGGTTCTTTATGAAGATGTGAGACAGAAAAGTACATTTGTTAAAATGTTTAGGTTTTAATTTCTTGAAATGACTTAATAACAGTTTAAAAATTGGCATTCAGTTGTTGTGACTATGACCTGTCCAGAGTGTACCCTGTCTCTTGTCCAATGTCAGCTGGAATAGGTTCCTGCCCCCCCTTATAGGAATAAGCGGTATTTACAATGGATGGATGTTATGACTACTAAAATACCAATAATCAATCTGTTTCAGGTGAACTGATTTCCCTGTTGTGTGGGTAAAACAGTAAAACAATGGGTAACATTGTACTCTATAGATGACTGTTTAATACTCAACTAAGTGAAGCAAGTGTAAGTGAATTACGAATATGAATCAAAGATTTAACAGTTCTTTCTCTATAACACACATACTCAGATTTCTGTTCTGGTGGGATCATGACAATCAGGATGTCCCTCCATCTGCCAAAACAAAGCAGTGTTGTAAACTTCAGTCATAAACCTGTTGTGCGGCGCATACTAATGTAAAGCGCATCCCTCACTTACCTGAGCATAGTAGCACCTGGACCTTGGGAAGAATTTCCATGATGTCACTTTCCATAACGATTCCCTGAGGGAGCCTGACAATTCATGTGTGTCATGCACCTAACCAACACAAAAGTAATGCATATAATATATTATATTATATTATATTATATTATATTATATTATATTATATTATGTCAGACCTTCATGCGGTTCAAACAAGCATTTCTGAAGTCCATGTTAGTGCTGCTGCTCACTATACTGATGGTGGAGCTGATGATCATTTCAATTGATGAATACACCTTCTCTTGTTGCTAACAAAAAAAGCACACAAATACTCATAAAATAATTTCAGTTACAATGAAGATTCTTTTGTTTGGTTTTCATCTACCCGACATATATCGAAAGTACTGTGTATTTAGACTCGTTAAGGCTAAATATGCAGCCAATTTGTGATTATTAAAAAGTGCCAGTTTTCACCTACTAAAAGCTGCAATCTCACCATATTGGAAGTTTTTTTTATACTTGTACCCCGTTTAAAAGCAGTGTGTGTTGGTGTGAGTTTATGGGTCTCAGTCTTACCTTTTTTCTCCGATTTTGGGCTTTCAGCGTGTTCCACAGTTCAAACTGCAGGGCTGCTGTGACGGCACGCCTGTTGTTGCAGAGAATGTCCTCCAGGTGTTGCTCTATCAACACCTCTGTAGCTGTGGGACAATCAGACACATTAGTTACCTTCTGGAACTGAAACCCTGCTGAAAGTCTGACTTTGGTTACGGAAACAATGTGGAGCCTAAATTGTATTCAACCCAGAGTTTTGACCCGCAGTGGTGTCTCACCCAACAGATCAGAAAGCTGGCAGGTGAAGGGATCATTATGCTGTAAGAAGAGGAAAAGTACGAGACTCTGCTGAACTGGCGCTGGAGCTCGGCTGGATTCAAGCTCTGGGTATTCCCAGCTGTCTTCTTCTACTGTGTATTCTGTACCGCAGCTGCGTTTAAGATCTGCAGCGGATGCTGAAACATTCAGAAATAAACATGTGAAATATGATCATCATTAAGCACGCTGACTCCTGGACACCCTTCAACAGGAAGGTTGGCCGCTCAATCAATCTTCTTAACTATAAATCTACCCGGTGTGTTCACAGGGGCATCCTTGTAAAGGAAAAAGTGATGCATTGTGTGTATGAAGGACAGAAAAAGTACTGACTGGGATGACTGAGAAGAAACGGATGACCAATCCATATGTAGCTGAGAAAAGACTAATCAAGTCTACACTTGAATGAGGGGACATTCACTGGGCTGTGGCAACAAGGTTTACTGTGACACGCCTTTGGGATGGTCGAATCACTCATTCCAGTTTCTTGTTGTTTTTATTTCCTAAATTTAAGCGTTTTTACAACAAATAAGATACCAACATTAAACCATTATGCCTCCCTTTTTGGACTAAATAAAATGCTATTTTTTAAAAAGTGACGGATCATCTTTCTGTTAGTCAGACAGAAGCTGTAAGAATGAAAGGTACAGTAAACAGTTACAAGCCATTAATGTAGGATTGTGATTCACATTACAATCACGAAAAAATCTATATTATGTTAGAGCCCTTTCTGAGAAACTATCTGCTTTCTTGCTTTTCAAGATGTAAAAACTGATCGAAGTATACTGAAAAATCTACTAAAAATCTACTCTAAGTTTGGACTAAATCGTCTTATCAAGTTGGATTTTCTTAAATCAGCAGTGAAAATGGGATTAGGGAAGAAAAATGAGGTAATTCAGCTGTAAATGTAAAAAAAAAACTTGTTTTCCAACAGCCTACACCACTGACTTTTATGAGTAATTTTTTGGTTGTAATTTTGAATGACAAGGTCTAGAAATTTGTAGAGAATGCAGAAAAATTGGCTTTCACCCCAGAGATAATTTAAAACAACTGGTATTCCCCCGACTTCCAGTTTATGGTCTGTTCGCTGCTTTATGACAACTACAAAAACAGAAATATGCTTAGACCAACATTGTGAACTTGATGGACTTTTAAGAGATTTCTGTTGTGATGATGATGACCTCATAATTCTTTTAACGCAAAACACTGACTGTTATTTTTGGGTGGAGCCATTTTTGACCGTGGCTTTAAACATAAAGCTGATTATTTTCCAATATCCATGTAAAACTCCTAATATTTCAAATGTTGTCATTTATTTTTGAGAAATCATGTGGGACGGAAGTGCTGATCATCTTCACATGAACATAATTTACATGTGACAGATGCTCAGACTGCTGAGAAAATCATCTCAGGCCCTTTGTTAGTGGTACCCACACAAAAAGCCTGTAGACAACTCTTTTCAACTGTCTAATTCCAGTCTCCCGGTTGTTTGGTTTCCCTCTGATTTAATGATGTGCGTGTGGAATCCATTACATTTTTCCCCTGCAGCTTGAGATCTGTACACTCTTCCTTACAAACATAAACATGTGCTCTAATTCAACCCTCATCAACTCAGACCCTGTGGAAAACAGGGTCTGAGAGAAAACAAAGTTTGTGTCTTAATAGTTACACAAAGAATTTTAACAACAGAGGATTACATTTCCTGGATGTCAAACTAATCCTAGCCTTAATTTCCACCCTTTTTATTGGAAAACTATCCCCTGTGGCTAAAGACCTACAATGTATCTTTGCCATCAAGTACGTGTTGTTCTCAGTGGTGGTTGTTGTTTACCTTTGAAAGAAGAGCAGTATACTCTGTCCAGACCAAGTAGTTGACAGTCAAGAGCAACAGGAAGGGCTTGCAAAAAGCCAGATGGCCCTGGCACTGGAATATTACTCGGGCTGTATACCAACACCTGGAAACACGTCAGGTCAAGGATCCCTAATTCAAGTCAGATGCCCCAAACGTTTTAGTCAAAGAACAGCAGAAGAACTCTAGAGTCCTAACTGGATGCCTGAGCACCCGTCCCCCCACACTCAGTGCCTGTTTAAGACTGCTTATGTGATTTCTGTGATTCTTTGGGTTGTTCTAATCCTAGTGGCTGGAAGGTGAGACCAGGAATGCGGACCAAGCAGCACATAAAGAGTAAAAAGCATGTGGGATAGCCGAGACAACCCCATAGTCAACGGGCTTTCTGACGTCTGACCCCCACCTCACGCTGTGATTGGACAGCTGTGCGGGGGCCACAATGTATTCGAGGTTTGAACTCTATGTGCAGAACTTTACTGTATAAAACCTCTTTACTTCTTTCTCTGTGATGGCCAGCTGTTCGCTCCAGGAGTGACGCTGTTGGGAACAGTCACAAACACATCTGGCTGTTAATAAGGTCAGACGGGATGTTTCTCAAACTATTTTTTTCCAAGCAGAACCTGTCAACAACAGTTAGACATGACCATGAACCAAAATAGTTGACTGTCTTCTCTTGGGATGGAATCTTAAGGGAGAAATCAACCAATTTCTGGCAGAGGGCCGTGGCCTCAGATGCAGAGGTGTCCACTCATCTCTGCTTTTTAAACCAGTGCACCGGAAGTCACTTCAGGCTAAAACAACTACAAAATCCCATCTGTACAAACCAGCACAAATCTGGAATCCACTTCTGATCTATACCCAAATACTCTGCTGTGTACATCTCCATCACAATTACTGTATGCCAAAACCACAAACAAACAAAAGGATATCTGGACGCGTGTCAGCTCGGTGGGCAGATTGGGGTACTGCAACAGGCAGGGGCTCAGGAGTGACACAAACTGGATACTGAGCTCCCCGAACAAGCCTTGATCCATGGCTTGGGGTGGGATGCTGAGAGGCAGTCTGGATCCGATGACATGATGTGCCCCCTGACACCAAGAACTATTCCTCACACACTGTGGAAGCCTTTGAATGAAACAAAATATGTTTCTGTATGCATACCTCTAGTACATGAATACATTAGGAGACTCTTTAGAGTATATAGTCAATTTGGATCCATATTCACAGTAAAATGGAATTACTGTGCAGAATGAGACACATCCAGGATGACAGATGCTTGGAATACTTGTAGAATAATACTTTTGACCTTGACTCTGCAAAGTAAAGAAAAATGACATCAACACTTAATAGAATCATATGCTGATAATTCCAGGGGTTAGATCATTTTATGAACAACATCTGCATTTTAGACTGTAAGGTTGGATGTTGTCTTTATACGGTATTCTAGCATTATAAAACAAAGATAACAACCCAAAATATGGTAATGCAGACAGGGGAAATACAGAAAAACTTGTTAAATTAGTCTTCTAAGTGGCGAGATTATATGTGAAAGGAGACTGAGCAAAACTATGACTCTTGCCCACATTGCTGCAGACTTACCTAAACTCACGCTGTGAGGTCCTCTCATTAAACCTGAACTTCAGATGGATATTTATCTGGGAAAAACACAAGTATCACAAAAAATATAGTCTTTTTGCTTCCCCTTTTAGCATACAACTAATCAAAGAAACAGATTTTTTCTTACTGCTGCATTAGTCAAATTGAAACTCTGAAGAAATGCCTCAATGTGGTCTCCCCAGTCTGCAGTGGAATAGCTTTCATCTGTAATCTGCATGGAAACAACATATCATCTATAGAATAAATCTATATTTAATTAGGTAAAAAAGAAAACATGAAAATGTGACGTTTCAGTAATTCTGCCACACCAACAAAGTACCATTTTATATCTTATGTGAAGTAATTATGCTGAAGCTGACAGTTACCTGAAAGCCCATGAGTAATTTGAGTGAACCATAAAGATCGGTGAAGGCACTCAGCTCCTCGGGGTCAATCTCAGGACACGGCCACACAGGCGGAAACATTCTGTCCCTCAAATCTGGGAGGAATAAGGACAGTGAGGACTCAGGGAGACACACAGAACATGTGTGAGTATTAGCATACATACCGGGCTGCAGGGAAGTCATTTTCATCCCAGCACACCAGCAACCAGCAGCTGCAACTAGAACAACATTTTGGGTTCCTTTTATTCTCTTTATTAAGCAGGAAAATTCAGACTATGCCTAGATCAAAGTGCAATTTAATATGTATACCTCGATTCAAAACTACTGATTAATTGCACTATTAAGGGTTAAAACTAATATATCCTACATTTATAGAGCAGATGTCACTCGTTCTGCCAGATAGCTCTGAATAGTTGTTTTCATTGTGGTCTGTCTATTTAATTTAGTCATGAAGATGAGATTTGGCTTCTTCTCAAACATTAACAAAACTCATTTAGATATTTTAAAAATGTACTTAGATATATTAACAATATTTGCAACCACCATCGGTGGTTATCTTTCAGAACCATATGTTGATACAGAAATAAAAATGGATACGTCTAGCCAAAAATGGGAAACCAACTGAGCAGCTCATTTTTACAGTATGTTTTAGCATTTTGTCTCACCAGTACAGTTTAATATTTCTGGAGAACTTCCTGTTCCGGTTGACAGAAGTACCAAAAGCCCTCCAGACCTCCTGAACCGAGTATTATTACTTTGTTTTCCCATCATCAAGATGAGCCGAAGCACCTGAAGAACAAAGGCTTAGCTTAGCATACTAACGATAAATGAGATTAAGATTAGTTTAAAAGTTTAGGTAGACATCATCGCTTATTTAAAAAAAGAATCGTATATTAGCTAATGTATTGTTTCTATCTTCCAAACAACCTCTTCAAACCATTACCTGCCGTAATTCCCGTAGCATTTTAAACTTTTTAAGCGTCTGTCACGTAGGCCTGTGCGCGCAGTACACTGCTCGGACACTAATTATGCTAACTAAGATATTTGATGTGATCTCAAGACTTTTTTCCTCTCTTTCTTCTTGTGATACTTTTGGGTTTTAGGGAATACTTATCAACTAATAAATATTATTTTTTAATAGGTCAATTAGTTACTGATTTTTAAGTATCTTTAAACATGAACCTGAAATACTATAATAGATAATTGTTTTGTTTTTTGAGGAACCAGTAAAAAGAAAATCCAAAAACATACTCTGAATGAGTTTTCATGAATTATCAATGCTGGTAATGTTGTTTATTTAACAATGGAAAGGCCCACAGTTGTACAGCTGATTAGTAATGAAATTAGTAGTTTTTGGTACACGCCAAAGAAAGCTAATATAGGAAAGTTAGTAAAATATTCAATTCAGCTAATTCAAAGAAATATGGCAGGTGTATTTTTTCATGTTTCAGTATACTCATTTCTCTGTAAAGATCCAGACAAATGCATGTTTTCAGAGTCAATAAAACATTTTAATTGTATTTTATCATATTTAAAACACAATATTCCATGTGAATCAACAATGGCATTCGTGTGAATTTAGCTTCTCCATAGGTTTCACAATTAGTATAAATACAGCACTTTGTGAGGCTCTCCTTCAAAAGGAATTACTTTCCTTCCCTTTTAGACCACTCCGAAAATCCACCAGTGTAATTACGTGCGCTGAAACAGAAGACAAATTAATTGTGTGTAAGAGTTATCATCATTTCACAGGACATGTTTAAATTCTAAACACATTATAGCAATGATTTGTTATGGATGGATAAAAATGTGGAACTCCAAAGTTTAGGCGCAAGACAAATCCAAATACAGTAAAAAGCTATCTAAAAGAATTTTAGCATCTTTACTTCACGTATCCGAGTTCATAGGCCTTGTTTGTGGCCACTGCTCCTCTTCTGCCCACTTGGCAGTGAAACACCAGCTCTGGTGCGTCAGCTGGTGGCTTGGGAACTCCATACTTGGCCTTAAATTCCTCTGGGTCCATTGCAAAAGCAGTCTCGACAGTTTCAACTGATGGAGAAGAAGACAAAAAGATAAGCCTCAGGGCACCGGTGATAACATGCAAAAAATACACTGTACATCGAGAACCTGAAAAACAAGATGAGGGTGCACTAACAACACGCTCTGCGTGTAAAACCACACCCCCCAGAAAACATTAGACAGAACATATAATTGTCTTTTCTCCTCCTGTCTTGATTTAACTGCAAATAAAATACACTCACCTGGAATGTGAATGGAACCTGGAATCTGTCCTCTATCAACCTCCTCCTTAGAGCGTACATCAACCAGAATCAGATTCTGGCTTTTTCCCAGAAGTCCTTTCAGATCCTCATAGGAGATTTCCTTGGTGACTGCTAATTAGAGAGGAGGCACATTAAGGGCCTGGACGGCTTCTGGTGAACACTCCCATGTAAACGCATGATATTTCTTTTATCTAACACAAGTTTAAATCAGACATATGACATATCCAAGTCTATTGACTGGAAGGCTAAACTAATCTCTGCAAAATTCTAATTCATATTAAAGTATGTAGGATAGAATATATAGGATAGAGGTTGTTATAGCTGAAGAGCTGTTTATATTAAGCAAAAACTTTGATGAAAAAAGGTTAAATAGAAGCATCATCAATAATTTGTGTGATGGTGGCACACACCATTTATTCCTTATCAGATAAGTTTTGTGTGTCTGTGTGTGTCTTTTCAAACAAATTGTAAATACACAATACCCTTTGGCCTGTGGTGAAAGATGTTAACAATTATGTCATAACTATGTGAAGAGATCTGTCTATTGATGTAACCTAGGAGACAGACAGTTTCCGGAAAGTCCATACTGCTATACTAAGTACTGCTGAGTCATGGTGAAATAAAGCCGGTATGCAGAAAACAAACAATAATACAATCTCATAAACACAATGACGGGCTTCCTATTATCACTTTTATTTACCAGAAAAGCACTTTTCTTACTAATACTGATAACTGGGACTCCCGACTGTCAAAGCAATTATTTTCTTGAAGTCTTAAAGCTTGAAAAATGATTGCGATTACTCGCGATATAGTAGAATTTTTACGCTTAGATTCGTTTTTTGTTTTTTTTCTAAACGAATTTTGATAAATAACGTTGAACTTTTAGGGATAATTGTGTTCTCTCCGTGTCCAAGTTACTGAATGAAAGCAGACTCACCTGTATTGGCCATCTCGGTGACAAGGTGCAGCTGTAAATATGAGTATCAGGTTGTTCCAGAAACCGTAGCGTAGCTCTGCTTCCTCATTTTGTCAGGTGACACATCATTGGCTGAGACACCGAGTGGGCGTTCCTCAGCGTCAGCGTACAGGAAGCGTGTGAAGGGTTTGGCATTGGTTGAAAAAAATTGGACATCCATTGAAAATATGAGTGCAACATGTAGCTGTGCAGAACTTTGCAAAAGTCCCGAGCCACAGATTTTTGCTTTACTTATTGGAAAACACTAAACTAAAGTTGTCATTAACTGTAATATGTATATACATTGGGAATTTTATTAGAGGAGGCACACATAGAGCTTCTTATTTGAGTAAGAAGTTTTCATGAATGGCTCTCAAAGCTTCTTGGAGGATATCTTAAGGCTATTCTTTGGATGTTTCCCATGTTTCCCTTGCTCACTGACAGCTCCACCCGTTCATGGAGACTTGATGAGGTTTCAGCACACAGGCTAAACAAACAAAAGAAAGTGATGGTTACAGAAAAGCTTAAACATCTGGGACTGCCTTTGTTTGCAGATCTTTTCCTGTGAAAACAACTCTCTCACACAGTTTTTGTTTAAAGAATTTTATTACAAAAAATGACATCAGTAGTTGACCAAAAGAATTAATTTGTAAAGTTAAACTCTAAAAAGAATCATAATACCCTATACAAAGGTTTCATTTGCCAGCAAACAAACCTGTAGTTCTTGCCCACAAAACAACACATACCTGAACAGTTTGTCAGTGGTTTTCAATGACTCACTACTGATTGTGCGATCATTTGCACAGACTCCTTCAATTAGGAGTTTAAACTATGTCTTTGTTGAGTAATCAATGACAATACAATTGAGAACTGTTAGTCCTTTGCTCCTGACCAGTCCGTTACTGTGGGAGACCGTTACTGACCAAAGAGCTGTAACTCAAATGAATTGTCCTTGCTCTACCAGTTTGGATCACAGTGTCCCCTCTGTGCTGTAAGAAAGGTTCCCTAATCCATTAGTGGAGTTTATTTTTTATTTTTGACACAGCTGATATTTCCAAAGAATCACAGACAGTATCACAAGGAGCAGAAGAAGGGCCGCTCCTCCTCCTATAACCCAGAGCAATAAATTGTTGTCAGATGACTGAGGATGTTCGTACCGCTTACAGGAGAACTCAGAGGGACTGCTGGGTCCTGCCGCGTTCACTGCCTCGACGCAGACTTTCGTGCCCACCTCCAAAGCCCCCACCAGACCTTGCCGAACAGCTTCCCCAAACTCCAGGGCATCGCCTTCTCTCCCCTCGACCACCACTTTGTATGACGACACAGAGGAGGACGGAGCACACCACTGTACCTGTATCTCCCCTGTGTTCTCTCCTTCAGTGGCAGGCAACAGTGCTCTAATTCGTGGTGCGTGAGGAGGCTCATCAGATCCACTCATCCCGGGACAGAGGCACTTGGTCCTCTCTGCGATGCGGTGGCATGGCTCCTGGGTCTCCGAGCAGGAGTCATACGCACAGGGTTTACGCTCCCGTTGCAAAAGGGGTGGTTTCACAGAAGACTCCACTTTAGGTGGAAGGCTGTAGTTTTCATCGTAGTCGTCATAGTCACGTTCTGAGCCCAAGCCAGTAAAGAATATGATCCGGTGACGGGTGGTGGGGGTGGAAGTAGAGGCGGCATGACTGAAGCGATGGGAGTGAAAGAGAGGTGAGGCAAGAAGCGCAAGTACAGCCAGGTTCCGACAAAGTGACATCATTGCTGCGGACAAAAATGACAAAAGGGATGGACATGAGGTCAAAGAATAATAATAGAATACAGATCCTGACAAAGCCATACTGTTACTGATGTTGATATCCAGCTTGTTTAGCTAGAACTTAAAAACTAAAACTTCCCTGGTTCTTACTTCTCTTATTACATTGTTGTGTAATTTATTCAGACAGGCCATTGTTCAGGCTGAATTTAAAAAGTACATGAGATGGATCAAAAGTGATGCATACTAGGCAGTTACACAAAGCCAAAATTAAGAAATCTAATAGAAGATGACAACAGCACCATGCAGTCAAAGATAACTCCAATTTTTCAGATTATCTTTTTTTTCTTTAGTACATTAATCAAGAGACAAGAGCACTTAACTTTGGTGGCCAAGTTAAAGTCACAGTTTACAGCTCAAAATGCCCCTGAGCAAACCCAAACATCTGTAGTGTTTCCTGCTATAAACACTGTTAGATGAATACATTCTTTGTGCTGAAAGTTTTTGAGGTGACCACAATCAGGACCTCAATTTTCTGGGCAGTAAGCCAGAGGAGGCCTGTGGGAACCCAAAACTGAAACCACAAACTGAAGATATCAATTTGTGCCTGTGGCTGACTTTGAAATGACAAAAAACAGATCAAAAACATTTTCTCATGCCCATAATTACACTTACAGATGACCAAACAGCTAATAATAGACATCAGTCTGTTGTTTTTACCCCGGCTTCAACGTATCGTCTCAGTGATAAACTGAATGAAAGGTTGGAGACAGTTGGACTGTACCTGCTTAGTTCTGGTGTGTGAGTGTGTGATCTCTCTGTCCTGCGTTCCCGCTCTGGCTGCTCTCCCCGCCTGCTCTGTTCTGTCTGCTCTTCTCGCTGTTTTAAGTTGTTTCTCAGGCTCTCTCCTCCTCTCTAACACCCCCTCTTTTTCTCATCACGGTGCCTCTCCCACCCCTCTTTGCTCTTTCAAGCTGCCTTTTTTTTTTCATGCTACCCTCAATTTCTCAACCGGGCCAGCCATAGCGGCTTTCTCTCTGTTTTTTTTCTTCGCCTGGAATTTGAGTGTAAATGTGTGTTGAGAAGGAGACGGGGGGCGGGGGGGGGGGTCTGCCATGTGTCTGTGTGCTGCACAGCATTTTAATTTGCAAAGCCGCAGAAGGAGGCAGGCTTGTGCTTGTTGTAGTACGTGTTTGTGTGACTAGGTGTAGATGTCTGTTTCTGATTATTTGTTTGAAAGTTATACTTCCTGCATTCACTGCAGGTGCTCTTGTGAAGACAAGCAGGACATAAGGTCACTTCTGTGTGTTTACGTGTGCGTTCGAGGGTGGGGGGTGAGGAATGCACGCATGTGTGTTTATGATAGACTCCCTCCACCTCTTGTGTGTCCCCATTGTGGCACAGGCGAGGAACGATAGGGGTTTCTCTTTTCTAGTCCTTTTATGGGGTAGAGCTGGCCCACGAGGCAAGTTTTTTTTTTCTTTTTCCAAATGCCATTGAGGCAGACAAAAGGAAAGGTACCAGGGACTAAGCCTCCTTTCAGCCTGAAGGGATTTACTCAGCCTACACTACTGAAATTCTTAATTACTTCTCAGACGCCTCCAGTTTTTAAAGCTGTTAAAGTGATGAAATATTGAGAGTGATTGAATATTTATACAGCTATGGACATGCTATATCAGGAACAAATTCAACACGATCATATTGGTATAGAATGTATAAGAAGGAAATAGGAATTTGCTCAGTTGAATTGATACGTTTAGATTCTTTCACATATTTTTTGTGTCTATTAAAGAATATTGTAAATCTGTGCATGGAGTGGTTATCGTCTTCAGTGGTTCATTCCTTCACTTGTCAAAGTATAGTGCACAAATTGGATATCATGTCATAAAAGGTGCTGTGTGAATAGCTGAATAAGCAACATATTCTAAAGACTTCCGTTAAACATAGCTCATGTCAAAAGGTAAGCTAAAAGAGTTGAACTTTACTACATATGGAAGGCTGGACAGGTTGAGTGGGCTTATATCAAGTGTATAATAGGTCCTACATTCAATTGAGGACAAAAATGCCCATGATAAAAATGTAATGTAGTGCATGTTTTTGTATGTATAAGATTTGAAGCCCAGTCTTTCAAATAACTTTTTTTTTTCTTACAGACAACCAAAAATGATGTTCCAATGATCTCAGGGGTCAAACTCCTCCTTCCATATAAAGACTCAGCACCTTAAGACTGGAGAATAACATTTGCTATGATTCGGAAAAACTAACTTGAGCCACTCCATAAAGGAAGGTGTGGCAAAATGGCCATGTCATACCAATTATTTTTTGTCAAACTCAAAATACCAAGAGTGACAAATGTCTTCATCACATCTTAGTTTATTGTGCAAAACCAAAATATGTTCAATTATTTATAGGCCACATTGCAATCTCCATGAGTCATACAGCTGTCCAAATGGGAAGGAAGGAAAATATGGGCAGTGGAGCTTAATTGGTTACACATTAACATAAAAAAAATCTGTTTAATGAAAAACCACAAAATGGAAATAACAAACAAAATGTAAGACTTTTTATTGAGAGATTGACGTGAATGTTAAACTTTAGTTTAAATGTTAAAGTTTGAAGTTCCACTCGAAATCTAATCAAAGTAAAATTTATCGTCAAAATATTCACATCATTTTTTATTTTTAATACTAATTCCAAATCAAATAACCACTAATACATGAGAGAGAAAAAAAGTTGGCCTTCTGTTGACTCCTGTCCAGTCCAAACCAAGTTTGGAAGAATTTGTGATTTGTGATACTGTCGTATATAATTCTATTAAACTATTTAATGATAGTTGGATTTGTCACGGACAATGTCTGTGGTCAGGTTGTTAGACTGTGCTCTGTTGTCTGAGTTTTGCCTGTTAAACAAAAAAGAGTCTGCACGATGAGAACCTAAATTAAATCAAATTACAATGAACTCATTTAATCTCTTTATCACTACTGATAGTCTGCCACTTCTGTGTTAAATTGATTTTTCTTTTCCCCAACAGGCTATATTCTAGCACAAAGCGCAAAGACGCTACAGCCGAAACAGTTCCTATTGTTGGCTTTTTAAGTTAGAGCAGCAGCCATCCATTTGCTACAGCTTATTCCTTATAGCGTCATAGAATAGATGTCTCTAGCGGAATAAGTGTGAATGCTGGGCTCGGTTTTTATTCCGTCAGCTATAATACAACAACTCTAAGTGGAAAAACTCAGAAATATGATATTACTCCTTTCAAAGTTTTCCTTGTCACAGCTGTTTCATAGCTTTAAGATCCAGAATGTTTTGGCTACATCAGACAACGATCTCCCCCACATGCCCTATCTGTCCCCCAGATGAAAAAATGTCCGAGGCTGATAGGTTTCAACAACTTGCTTTTAACTGGCTGGTACAGGTTGCGGTGGCATATCTTATTACGGGGCTGATATGCCCAAATGATTCATTTCAACCATCATTGCTGAATGAAACAATTTCTCCCGAAACTCTGACGTCAGTTCCGTTTTTTGTTACAGAAACGTTTTTACATTTTCAACACAGTGGTAGATGTTTGTTCAGTTCACCCACTTCTCACAATAAAGGGTAGTGGAAGAATTCTAGAGGTTCTGAAGTCTTTTTTCATTTCATACAAAGTGGGATTTTTAAGGAAACAGACATGTAGGAACGTTGGAGAACTGTGGAAATGTTTTACTGTAAGCCTGTGGTTTATTAGGGTAAGGATTTTTAAGACAATGGCAAGCTGAGACTGAAATAAATTAAGATAAATAAAGATGCACTTAAAGGCTTATGTGCTTTCGGTATGAGTGATCTCACTTTTGTATGGGCATCCTCAGATAAAAGGGAAAAGGAAAATGGCTTCTGTTTACATTTGAGAAGAAGATGGAATCATACAAGACTAACACGTGAAATGTGTTTGCATTTATCAATTAATCAAATCGTTATGACAAAGATGTATCAAGAAAAAACACAGGAAGGCCCAGAGTTTTTCAGGTTTACTTTAAACAACGTTCAATTCTATAAAGAAAAAGCATAGAAAGTAATAAAGCACATTGTGAGTGTTAGACACTGTCATGTAGGACTCCTGATCATAAACGAAGTACATCATCCAGATTAATGTCCGGATTTCTTATCAGTTGAAACCAAGCATGCATACATAGCTTCTTATAGATTGTAATGCCGATACAGTCAACTGTTTTGTACTCAGTGGATTTGCAAAGTATTTTCTCATCTACTGATGAGTAAACTGCTCAGCAGATTTGCTGAAAAGTGGAAAAACATAACCACAGAGACTGAGTTTGTTATATGATTTTCTAGTGTCAGTGGCAGTCCAGCGCGGTTAAGTTTAAACAAAGTATGTTTCTGAAGTCGCTGAGGAATAGAAGGAGCCACAGAGTGTGAGTCATACATCTTGAGATAATGACTTGCCTGCCAACGCAGATTGCTCTTCCAAAACTACAGCGTGTTTGAGCAAGTAGCTGGACATGTGTCAGACAACCTGCACGTACAACCAACGGACAACATGATTTCAAAATTCTCCAAAGGAACAGAGAAGCAACATTTCATATCAATAACAGGAATTAATTCTCCAACAGCTGTTTGAAAAAATTGCTTTCATTGTCCGGCCTTTCATTTTCAGTAGCCTTAATCAAACTCAGAGCTGTGTGGGCCTCATTCCCCTTCACACCCACACCTCTCTGAGGATTTAAACTATTTCACTCTGAACAGGAAGTGCTACTATTGGCTGGATCCCTATCACCTTTGACCCCCCTCTTCATTCAAAAGGAATCCTGGGGTAACTTCATAACCACACTGTGAGGGATGACTGAGCTGCTAATTTTAGGTTAAAGACACTTTGGAGCCAGAGAACCCTGATGCTTATGAGTCAAATTGGAAACACGCATTTAATGGTGTCATCGCTTCACATGATGGCAGAGCTCCACAATACATACCACAGTGAATTATTGTGGCCTTATAAAGGACAGTAAGTTTTGTGTTTTTATGTGTAAACAGTTTATTGTAAATAAATTGTAAAGCATTTCCTTTAAATCCTCTGTGGAAGCAAAATAAGTAACCAAAGCAAAACTGTGGGTGATTAGTGGGCATGCAGACAGTGTTTCTAGGGGATTATACGAGTATAGCATAAATATTTACACCATATACTGGTGGGTGAATTCGTCACGTGTAACATTATCCTATTCTACTTGAGAACAAGTTCCGAATTGTTTTTAAAACAAAGTACTATTTAATGGTCTTCAGCTGTAATCAAAATTGACATGGGTAATGAGACATTTCCCAGAAGAAGCAGCCTAATTTGTCATCTCAAAGGGAAAAGTGCTGCAACATTACTACTGAAATTTAATGCAATTTCGACATTAAAATGAATCACCTAAACTTCTGCTTTTATTGCTGTGTGTATTTTAAAATATGGGCCATACATAAAGAGTAGAATGCAGCATTTTCACAAACACTAAGATGAAAAAATAAATGTATTACATCCCCGTATTCTGCATTGCTACGTATGATGAAAAAGTCTTGGTTTAGTCAGCTCAAACTGACAGAATGAAAATGGCCATTCACTGCTGGATATCTTCTTTCTTCCCTGGAGTCCTAAGGCACTGTTGTGGCTCCCCTCGGTGGTTTATGCTTGTTACTGTTGTCTTAACTACATGACTCCTATAAAACAGAGACTTCTTGGAGCATCGCTGGGATAATCCTGATAAACTGTGGTTTTTAGCAATTCGATGCTAATCTAATTCAGTTTATTAGATTAGGTAATTGGCTTGTTTGATTTTACTCGCTCTTTTCACTCTGTGAATGAAAAGCCTAGAATTTGGACTAATTCACAGACTTTTCCAAAGTGTATTTAATTTGCATTCATAATGAAAATGTATGTGTGTGGTTAATCATACAGACAGTAAAACATTTGAGGGAAAAAAAAATCAAACTAATACATACAGTCAAAAAAAAAGGAAAAGGATTAAATTTTGATATAGTGTTTGGCACTAAAAAGGTCCTAATTGCCACAAACAACATTGGGCAACTCATGGGCAGCTGTTTAGCAGCAGCAGTGTCTCATTTATAAAATATAATACAAAGACTTTCCTTTTCACAACTTAAGAGACAAGATACCAAAGCCCACATCAGTAAGGAAGTTTTCATCTGCATGTGCGTTTGACCCAGTTATGTACTCAAACAACTTTTTAACCTATATTTAGAAGCAAGGTCGAACAGATATAATTTTATACCTAATTTGTACTTTTAAACAGATAACTGCTTTGACACACACAACACGTGTAATGGTTATTCTGATAATGTCCACAGAAATATTCAACCTTCAACAAGCTATAAAAAAGACCACATAATCATGAAACCTTTATAATTATATATACTGAAATCCTGGGATTCTGAGATGTCTTTTCATATCACCTTTTAAAGTTAGTTTAAAAAACAATCATACTAGCCTTTGAGTGTGAAACTAATAATCACCAACCAAACAAGGCTGAATTTAAGTCTGAGCCAACCAACATTTCTCTATTTAGCTCGTATCAGGGATACCTACCATTAGGTGGATCCCTGTCACCTTTGACCCCATGTACATTAAAAAAGAAGCTTGGGGTAACCTTATATCCAGGCCATGAGTGGGCTGCTAATTTTAGCATCGAGTGACTTTAGAGCTAGAGAGGCCTGAAAAAATGTATGTGATAGACAAAAAGCTAATTGGAAACCGACATGTGATGATTTGGTTGTATTATATGATGAATAGAATCCCCATGTATTAAACTTTTTTTTTAAATTCACGAACAAAATTCTCCTTGAAATTGAGAGCCATTTTGATGAGTACAGCTCCTTCATTAAGTTATTTCTATCGCTTTTACCTCAAGCTGCTTAATCTTTGGTGGATGTTAAGTCAGTAAAGGTGAATGGTTGTGTTAAAAACAAGGCATGTTTTAGCGTTCATAGCTTTTAAAATTGAGGGACAAGTGGGAAAAATAAATGGTTTTAATGTAAAATGTCAATGGATGACTCTAAATCATCAAAAATGTTACACAGCATACAATAATATCCAATATTAACAAACAGTATCAAACAAAGGTTAGTCTAAAGATACAAGAACTACACTTGAGCTATGTCATCCGCAAAAAGCATTAAGTCTGTCATACAATAAAAATGACCGGATGTTTAGGTTGGCCACAGGATGTTGTTGCCGACTGTGTTCTCGGCGCTCGGCTCTTTCCGTGAGGAGACACGAAACGCCAAGCTCGTTCCACGAACGTACCTGAGCTCCGCCATTGGTTCCGACCTCCCATCCGGCGGGGAGGGGAGGCGGGGAGGAGGGGAGGGGAGGCGGGGGCGAGCTGCTCAATGACGGCCAAGCTGTGTTGACAGTTGTAAGCCGACACAATCCGCCGGTGAGGCTAACGCAGGCCCTCCCGCGTCACGCTAACGCCGTGGGTGAATATCGGACGAAAGAGGAGGAGCACCAAATCGTTTCTTTTAACGCTGCGCGCGCGACATGTTGCGGACCGCCGGCGGGCTGCGCGACAGGACGAAGCGGCATCGACTCTGCCGAGGCGGAGAGGAGGCGCCGTGCTGGGAGGTATGGTGTGAGTCTCCATAGGCTGTCCCCGGGAGCGCACGGTCAGTTTAAGAATTCCTGGAAAACACAGAATGGCACATGTAGCGACTGCAGGCTGGGATTTATTCGCTTAAGTTGACGCTCAGACTTTTCGGTTTCGAGCAGCCAGCCGGAGGCTCGCTTGACAGATAACCAATCAAATCGGTTGGTCGAATCTGCTCGAATGTCAGTGACCTGTGTCTCATGCGTGTGCGCCTAAAACTCTCGGTAACCTTTACTCCTAACCACGCAGCATGGGGACCAACGGGTTAGACAGTCAAGCCAAGCCGTCCGGCGAAGAGTTCCGGACGGAGCAGCCGGCGGCAGGTCCTCAGATGGAACCCAAAGACGCATCGCCGGAGCCCGATGGGTTCAAAGACGGCGCTGTGGAGTTGGTCGAGGACGGATGCAAGCCCCCACCGTCCTCGGCTCCCGAAGCCGAGGCCGGGGTCCAGGTGGAGGTGCACGACCCCGGAGCCCCCTTCGTCCCACCCGAAGGAGGCTGGGGGTGGCTCGTTGTTTTTGCGGCGACCTGGTGCAACGGATCCATCTTCGGGATTCAGAACTCTTTCGGGATCCTGCACATGATGCTGGTGAAGGAGCACACGGACCCGGAGGACCAGACGTCTCAGTTTAAAGTGGGTGAGTATAGCAGCCAACCTCGCCAACAGGTGGACAGCTCAGCTCAGAGGAACGGGACGAGGTGTAGCCCTAAAACAAAGAGGAAACTGGTTTATTTGAATATATTATAATATCTGCCCTTTGACATGGCTGTTGGAATAACCCAAGAATTTGAAAATATAGTGCAAAATTAAAAAAAAATCCCATCCAAGTCTTTTTTAATATTTTTAACAGTTAAAAAAGTTTAGTAAGTTTAGTCTTGTTTGTTTTTTTTGCACTGGTTTTTTCGCTTTTAGTTGAATGACTGAGGGGAATTTAGTATGTATCAGAAATACTGTTCTCCAGTCACACGCAGGCCGTAGAGTAACCAGTAGATCGTGTGCTGTGGCCTTCTCTGGATCTAACAATTAAAGTGACTCACGAATCCACCGTCAGTTAGAACATTTTTCCTGTTTTCTACGTTAGCATTGCAAGTCTGACGGGATAGTATCACAAGCTTTCACTTGCAAACGGTCACATTATTTGTCTTTTTTTTGAGTGAATGCTTCGCTCTTCACAAACCCTGAAGCAAAGACTCTCTGAAACTCTGGTATAGATCACAAAAAGACCAGATGAGATGCTGAAACTGACCCTGTGAAATTTTACAGACATCTTAATTAGCTTTGTTTCTTTTGTTTTTGTGTTTTTTTTACTTCCTCGTGCTCCTTTTACCCATGAAACCAGTCATCCCTCCAGAGAATCCAACCTCTTTAATGCAGAGTAACATCGAGGTCAGAAGATTACAACCCCTCAGTATTATCTTTTATCCTCATCTTACATAAAGAGATTCCTCTGAACTGTCTGTTCCTTTAAGGATTGGAGGTGAAATCCTTTGTAACTTCTAGTAAAAAAATGGGATTTGTAAAAACAGCAACTAAAACCAAGTGTGGAGAGTGGCTAATGAAAAGTAGCACACGTAGCACATCTGGGTTATTAGTCGAGCAAACAAGTGTGAAAAACAAAGAAATTCATCTGTAGAGCATGGAACTTAGATTAACTAACATCTAACTTAGCATTAGATATTTCACTCCAACTGAAACTAAATCTTTTTCAGGTATGACTCCAGTGTTTTCCTTTAACCTTTAGTTCACAACAGCCTCTTATGTCACCATAGTGTGTTTCCAATAGTTGAGAGAGCAGCACCTGCTGTACACAGCTCTTGATTGGTGTAACGCCGGAGAATGTGGGCCTTGGAGAACTTGTCATCCCAGGTGAAAACAGCTCAACAATGACTAAAGGGGAGCTTAAGATTAGGTTGACGGTTAGATCGCAGAGTAAAATACGACAGCTGCTCATTCACAGATGGAATGTCAGGGCTTCTGACTAAAAGACGTTGGGTATCTGATCACATTTGGCCTTTCTCCACCTCTGCCTGCAGATTACACCGAGCACATAAACACATAGATAGATGCGTTCATTAGAGTCTTCCCTTTATTCTTTTGCTTCTGTCTCCTTCAAAGGAAGGAGACAACTGGAGAATCAAGCCGTATGAGGAGGGGATATTTATCTTAAAATCTTGTTAAGTTCCACAATCCCTGACAGTGATTAAAGTCAGGATGTGGGAGGAGATTAAATGACTCCCTGATCCAAATTTACTCTTCTATTGTCACCGGTGTGAATAGGATAACACGGGGAGAGAAAATGTGTTAAAGCCATTCATTAAAAAAAATAAATGTAAATGTAGGTTATTGAATTGCATCTTAAACATTTTTTTTCTCTGTTCATCAAGGACAGTTCTATGTCAGGGTGCACTGCATTACATAAAAAGGTCCACAAAAGCCTTATGTCATGAAGGCAATAAAGGGACATTTGTTCTCAAGATAATTCTAGTCAGTTTAACCTTTCTTGAACTTGATTTCATCTTTTGCGGTTCCTTGGATTTATTTCTCGGTACCACTCACATGTAACAGGGATTAACATGCTCTGAGTTCTGACCTTTTCTCCATAGCAACAGACAAAAAACCCACAAACATTTGAAAATAGCTAATAGGCACAGCTTTGAAACTGAAAAGTTAAGTTTACATGCACATAGCAGTTTGAAAAACTTGTGTTAAAAAAGGAAATCTTTGTAAGGTACTAAGTTAAAAACAAAAGGCTGATTATGGTTAGATGTTGAGTTAAAGTTTATTCTTAATGAGCTTGTTTGTGCTGGATTTTTTTTTTTATAAGGCCTTCAGGGGTAAACAAGAGAATAAAAATGAAAAGCGCTTATTTTGGACTTTAAAATAAAGGAATGAGTGGGTAAAAGTCACAGATGGTTTTGTTTCGCTCTGCGATTACAACTGTTCTTTCCCTGGTGTGGACATGCATGCGAAGATGTTTTGAGTGGTCAGTCTTTTGAAATGCAAAACAAAAGCCCATGCTGCTTTCATTGTCAGAGGGGAGCCAGCCCTGCGTGAGGTGACCGACTGGGTGCGCTGACCGAGGGCGTTTGGGTGGGTTGTGCAGGCTACAGTGGAGTTTGGAAACAGGGAAAGTGTGTGAAGGGGCAGAAGAAAGGGACTGTGAGAGCGAGAGATGAATTTTTCATTGGTGCCTGAAATGATTTCCATCAATATGGGGCTTTTTTTTTTTTGCACTTGGTTTTAAATCCAGGCAGTTAACTAAGCAGTTTGAACCTTATTCGGGTTCTTCTGATGGGATTTTTTTCAGTTTTTATCAAAGACATTCACATAAAAGATACTGCTTGGTCTCATGACATGGGAACCCCCTTTTTATGTTGGGATTATCCCACACCTACATTTGTGCTTCTCCGTGTGGCACATTTGATTATGTTTTTTGGAAAAAGGTCACAGTATATTCATAATGTGTAGAAAAAAATAATAATTATTTTTGTGGTTTTGGCTCTTCCTGCTTCTTGGGATAAAACGTAACCACCAAGTTGTAAAATGTATCCTCCTTTCACATGATCACTAATTCATAACAGGATTGTTTTTCTCGGAGCCCTCTGAGACGGTCTGGTAAAGCTCTTCTAACCCAGATTGTATCTTATCCTGGATCCAAACAGGCTTTGTTTCTGCCACAAGTACCAACCATTTGTTTGTTCTTGTACACAGTGCACAGAGGATTTAGTATCTTCTGGAACCTCAGTGAAGCTTGAAACCTGAAGGCATTCCAGAGGCCAGGGGGATGAGTTCACATCGGGTCAGAGTCTCAGTGGGCTCCACATGCTGGTATTCATATATATAAACAGATAAGCTATATTTGTTATTTGAATGTGGGAACATTTGCTTTGGGAAGAAATGGACAGGGTGTGGTGGAAAAGGTATGCAGCACAAAGCAAAAGCCCACCAGGTTGGCCGATATTTGACTTTGTTTTACAAAAACATTATGCGTCTCCATTTATTTTGAGAATGCTTCAAAGAAGGGGCAGATAGAAGTAATTATTTAAAAAAACTAAAGCAAAGCTATCGTCCTTTTAACCATCGCTATTAACAAACAAACAAACAAACACACACACAGGCACATCCAGCATCATCTCTGATGTCCAGAGAAGCATCCTGTGTCCACTGATCTGTAAAGAGGTGTGACAGCTGGTACTCCCAATGTCTCGACTCACCCTTAAAACCCAGCTCAAACTCTTGATCTGGACCCAATGTTCTGCTTGGTAAACAGTCAGTCAGGTTACTGGTGTAGAAGCGAGACGAGGCCAGATGCGCCTCATCCCCCCCTCCCGCCACAAAGCTGTCTCTTTGTTGTTTTCAAGGATTCACTGTAAGTGCAGCGTTTCACAGACGGGTCCTTGTGTCACGTCTCTCAGAGCTACCTGTTTTAACCTCACAATAGGATCCATTTCACTCAGATTTCCCCCGAACTGTGTGTCCTCACACAGTGTCACAGCACGTGAGTGCGTCGACCTGTATTACCTGCCGAGGACAGATAGGTTAAGAGGCTAAGTGCGGTAGTCAGCGTTTATCTTCCAGGCCACATGGATGCAAGTCAACAGCACACCAGTAAAATAAATACAGCTGCATCTTGACATTGCTGCCCAACTACAGGAGCTGATCGAACACTTCTCTGTTTGGTTGGATTCCCACGCTAAAACAGCATTGTTTGGGTATTTGGAGTTTTCCGGCACAGAAAGCTGGTACGTCATACTCGGACGTATGTCCCAGCCCCGCCACCTGCTCAGGGTATTTCATGGGGCCATGGGGGAATTGCCCTCCACATCAGGTCGTCGGGCTTGTGCCTCCACGTTTCCGTTCATAGTGCAGAAATATGTATGGCTATTGTTTTATTTTCCAGCGAAAACTGGAGACAGTTCCACACACAACCTGCGGCATTGTTTTGTAGAGGGAATATTTCCGCTGGCGTCTGTGTCGGCCGCAAAACACAGTCGTTAAAGAGCGCCTCCGCGGCTCAGGGGGTTTGAACTCAGGCAGTTATTTTAGGTTTGAACTTGGCTGATGTTCTTCCTTTCTGAGTTGAGCTCTTTTGGGCCGTCCGAAGGTATTGAGAGCAAAGAGAGCAGCAACACATCTTTCGTGAGTCGGGATAATCCACGAGGAAAAAAAAAGCGCTTTGCAAAACAAGGGGCCTACAGAGCTGGTCGTCTGATATGAACTCAGATTAAAGGCTGAGAGCTGGCACTTGAATCTCATTGTTATGTTTCCCAGGCAAAGCCAAGCTTCGCTCTGCTGCTGATCTCCAATAAGCGTGGCACTCTTTGTGAACTTAATTGTGGTGGCACTGCGGTGTTTAGCCTACATAAATGCACCAATGGAGCTTTTCGGGGGATCGGGGAATGTGGCTGGCATGGATGACTCAGTGCTCACACACTGGCCGCAGCAGAAAGTTGGTTTGCTCTTACCGGATGTTTGGGATGATACGGCAGTGTGCGTACAAGTTGCATAGATCAGAGAAGACACATTTGTCCATGTTTCAAAAATTTTTAAAAAATCCTCTAAAATGATATTTGGGTTTGTTTGATCCCAGTTAGCCTACAGGACACAAAAGACAGAAATTGTCACCCATGGTGTCTGTCTGTGAGTTCAAAGCTGGAATGGCCTAATCCAAAGTAAACTTTGGATTTCTGTATAAAAGCCAGCTGAGTTTCTTGGCCACAAAACTATTGTTACTCCTCTGTGCATCTGGGCCCTGCAGAGTCTGGCCATCAAGTTGCATTTATTTTAAAGCGGGACGCTCTCTCACCGCAATGGACACACACGTCTCCTCATTTCGCTTCATTTGCTGTGTGTTTTTTTTTTAATGTCAGTCTTTTGCCCTAATCCTCTCTAATGAGCAATCTGTACTTCCTCTCTTCTAACGCAGGACTGTGTTATGGGTCTTTGTGTGTGGTCTTTGGATCATCGTGAGCTTCCTGAACGGAACAGTACTGTATTGCAAAGTGTATGAATTAAAAATGAAGGTTGTTGGGAAGCATTTTTAATTGAAATTCCGGGACACATAAAAACAGAGTGATCCGAGGATGTGACAGATCCCAGGATTTCTACAGGACGAACAGGGATTGCTGCCGGTGTTATGTGACAGAAAACACCTTTTAAGTCAGCCACTGTTGGACCGAGCACACTTTATCAATCAGATGATTAACTTTCACATTTGTGAGCTAACAGCCTGCATCTTGAGAGTAAAAAAGGGACATGGCTGAGCAGAAAGAGTAACAGACATGATTAAAAAAACGCACATGGGCTTTTAGACACTAACCTGTGCAAAGGCAGAAGCTGCTGCTCAAGCTAACAAGCTAAAAGCTATTTAGAACAGAGACAAAAGAGGAGTGGATGTGGCCATCTCAAATGACTTAAACCTTTATGAATTTGTGACAGTCCAAGAAAACGTTCCTCCTCATCATGAGACAGGTATTTACACTGGCAATATATTTGTAAGTGAAATGTTACCCATGTTGACCAACCATCGGACGAGAAGTCATTGACCTGTGGCCCCTCACTACATTGGCAATGGGCAGCTCTAAGTTAAGAAAATATATTGACCATATAATGACCTTTGTGCGACCAAAGTGAGAACAATAACTTTTTATCCACCGTATTTATCGTCTGTGAGGCCTTGCTAAACTGCCCGGCTAGAAAAAGGACAGCATTAGGAATGTAGTGCGTCAGACTTCAGACATTGTTTCACACATCCATAAACACAGAGCCCGTTAGGAAATGGGCAGCGGTGCCAGTCAGAGTGCTGACCTGAAGCCCAGAGAAAAGCTGTGTCTTGGATTGAATATATGGAAACAGTCCAATTTCCAACTGTTGCGGGCTTGATTTAAAGCCCCAGGAGAGATTTGCACGAGTAAAATAGTTGAAGTCAGTATAAATCCACAACAGCAGTTCGCTTGACGTCTCCTCTTTGAAAAATGTAAATATGAACGCAAGCCTCTCCCATTTGGACTTAACACAGTGCCAGCAGATGAATGCATGCACAGTACAGAATGTTTAACTGTGACAGTACAGAGCAGGAGAGCTCACGTTTCACTGTGGCTCTAACCAAATGAACCCCTCTTGCAGGTCTCGTTTCACTTCAAATATTGGATATCAGTGTAACCAACAACCAGACACCACGCTAGACATTCAAGCTACCTTTGTCCCCCTGGAGCCCTGGACTTTGTTTGTGTTTGCTCTGCGGATTAGACGGCCTCCCCGTTGGAGCATTTTGGCTCGTTATGCAGTACTCAAGCTCCGCCGGCATTCTTTACCTCAGGTCCTGACAAACGTGCTGTGTGCTCTTTGAACTGCTTAGTCACTGTGTGAAACTTCACAGACCGTGTCTGATCTGCTGTGAGCAAAGAAACGATGCAGAGCAGAATAAGGTCGATCGGTTTGGTAAAAAGGCAGAAAGGGAAGCTTTTGCATCCAAAGATGTGCCGTTTTCAAAGCTTCTGCAAATGTATGACAACCAATAAAGCTTTTTTGCTTAGGGTTTTTTGGCCTTTGAATCTAATAGACAAAAACAATCTTCTGTTTTCATGATGTTTCCTCTAAACAGCACGGTAGCCTCTTAAGGCTGTGCTATATATTTCAGCAGGAACCACACATGTTGTTTGTCATGTCACAAGGTCTCTGGTCTTTGCTCTGTGTACAAACAGCTTTCTATTTACTTTAGGTGAATGCTTCAGCGCTTGTTGTTCCACATAAGTCTTATGATGCTTCTCTCCCATCTGCTCTCTTTTCCAGCCTGGGTGGGGGCCCTGGCCATGGGCATGATCTTCTTCTGCTCTCCAGTGGTCAGCATGTTCACTGACCACTTTGGCTGTCGGAAGACGGCTGTGTGTGGGGCGACGCTGGCTTTTATAGGGCTGCTCAGTACTTCATTTGCAAAGTAAGAAGCATAATATGAATGCAGATAGAAGTGGACATGTTTTGAAACATTTCATTTAGAATGTAAAGCCAGACAAACTTCTAAGCAAAATGTCAAAAACTGAAATATTAAAATCAATCACATTATTCTGTGCTTGGTTAGTTTAGCATTCCAGCCCTCACAACGTTGGAAAAAAAGATCAAAAGTGATGCATGAGAAGTAGACACCAGTTTTAGTCTTCAAATAAAATTTCTGCCGCACCATGGACGATGAACTGTCAGATTCTGCTAAATGTGCCATTAGAGGTTAATGTTTCTTTGAACTGCCTGCTGAAAAGGAGGATGTAGTTTCACATGCTCAGTTCTTCATTTCAGGCTTGAACTTTAACTGTTTCAGCAATATTTTTCCTTTCTTTTGAAGCCACAAAAGAAACGATGCAACTCTCAAAGCATGGAGCAGTTCTCACTAAAGCCAATTTTGTTTCTTCCTTGTTCAGTGGTAGTACTTATGAGAAGTCAAAGTACTAAAAATTGTTTAATATGACTCAATCCTAAACAGGAAGTTTAAATTCCAGCTAAAACAGCTTAAATGTAAAACTATTGGGTAGTGTTTTGTTGTGGTTTTCTTTTGCACAGCATCAATTTAACATCAGATAGTTTTTCACTGTCCAGACATTTTTCGAAAACATGTGAACACTGCCGCTCTCTGGACCATTGTGTGAACGATGGTCAGATGTAAGTGACAGTTCTGCTGGTTTGATCCAAAAATCTTAACAAGAAGATTGTAAAAAACACTAATGACCAAAACCAAAAACAACAAAAAGAATAATTCCATATCATTAAAACAATTGTATTCAGGTCACCAGCAAACAAATGATTCTTCACCTTTGTGTCTGATTACAGACACTCAGACTAAACAATTAATTTACGTTATCCTTAACTTGTGCCTTTTATCACAAATCTTAGGAACTTCAGAATGATCTTCTACAGTAACCAAATTTCCATAATGCAGCTTGTAAGAGCCTCTGATGTGCTGTCTTTGTCTGTTTACTTGCAGCTCCTTGATTCTGCGCTATTTCACGTACGGCATTCTGTTCGGCTGCGGCTCCTCCTTCGCCTTCCAGCCCTCCTTGGTCATCCTGGGCCACTACTTCCGCCAGCGCCTGGGTCTGGCAAACGGTGTGGTGACGGCCGGGGCCAGCCTCTTCTCCATGGGCCTGCCAGTTTTCCTCGATAAAGTGGTGGAACCTCTGGGGCTCAGCAGAACCTTCCAGATCCTCAGCCTCTTCATGCTGGTCCAGGCCTTGCTGGCTCTAACGTTCATACCTCTGCTCCCTGCCGGGGGAGGCATGGGCCCGCCGGGAATGGGGCCCGAGCACGCCGAACCCCAAACCCAGCCTGCGGCTCAGGGGGGCAGCAGCAAGTGGAGCAGGGCCACGGCCAGAGTCAAAAAGTACTTCAATCTGCGCGTGTTTCACATCGTGACGTACCGCGTGTGGGCCTTCGGAGTGGCGACGGCTGTGCTCGGCTACTTTGTGCCATATGTCCATTTGGTAAGAACGCCACCAAGAGATGGTCTGTACTGGAACTGTAGTAACCAGTTAGTACTTATTGTTACACATAGTGAGTAGTAGTTTAGTTTAACAGCCTTTCAAAGAGAGGAGGGCACTCTTGTGGATTTGTTAGAATGGCAGCTGGGAGAATGTGTTCCTCTTACTATGCCACACACATGTTTTTTTTATAGCTATTTGAAAGGGAAAAAAAAGATTAAGGGGAAACATTCACATTTAGTTTCGTCCATGATGAGAAAGTTTGCATGTTTACATTAATTTTCTGGTGTACTGCCTGACCTTTCCGAAAACCACATCAGGATACTGTTTACCAGCTACAGCCAAACCCCAACGCACCCCAGCATTCCTGTTGTTTTCCCCTTTGCGTCCTTCAGTCTGGGCAGTGAATTGACGGGAAATCTGAAATCTCACTTTATTTATATTTCGTTTAAAAAGCGATAATATTTCAGCAGGACTTGCTGAAATGTTGTTGCGCTTCATCGCAGTGTGGAATTTAGCCCTCCGTAATGATGAGTTCAAAGCTACAACGTAAAAATCTGCACTTGACCTGTGACCGACGTGAAAGAGTGAAGGATGAGGACGAAGTGGAAAGCTGCAGCCCTCACCGGTGATGTCGATCTCCCTCCATCCAGATGTCGGATGTTCCAGCTCCGGCCTCCCTCTGTCAAGCCTGTTGTTTCAGGCCTGAGCCCAGATCTAAACACAGCCCCGGTCTTTGTATTGGCTCCGTCACCTCAGGAAACCTCTCCTGTATGGCCTCTCTTTATTCCTAAACATGCCTATCCTATGGCCATTGATGAATTTAGAGCTCTTCAAAGCAGTGCAAATATTTCACAAGGATCAGGAGGCTCAGGAAAGACTTCAGAGGGCGGTTTCATGTTTTGGATTAGTTTTGGGGGCTCACGGCTGAGGGGACTGGGACACTCTGACCTATTTGCATCAGGCCTTTCTGTCCTGTTGTTTTGAAGGTCTGTTGATGAAGACTGTGTTCTATTCCTACTTTCATTTGGCGTCATGGATGAACAATTGCCGTTTCCCACTAAAGTCGACTGACCCCTTAGGTAGTGGAACACAAAACGATTAGTGATTCAGCAGGTTTTGCCACACATGCACATTACTCGGCTTTACAGAAAACACAAAGCTGATGCGAGAATGGTCTGTTTTTGTGTCTTAGATCAACTTTACAAAAGAACAATTCAAGGGGACTGAAAAAGAATGGGTGCTCCTTGTCTGCATCGGGGCTTCATCTGGCGTGGGACGCCTCGCTTTTGGCAAGATCGGAGATCTAATATCTGGTCTGAGGAAGATTTACATGCAGGTAAGAGAGAATGACTAACCAAGTGCACGGTCAGTGCTTTGAGGTCTCACTTTTACCAGTTTTTTTTTTTTTTTCCTGTTTTTATTTATTGACTGCGACCAGCTTTTAGTGAGTGACCAGCTTTTTGTTGTATAATTTAGGTAAAAATGAGAAGTTTCCAGTTGTCATCTGAGGGATTTATTTTTAGGAACAGCTGTAGAAAAATAGAAGTGCTTCAGCTGCATTCACACATGTTGCCACGAACCTTAATGGCTACATGTAAGAGGACCTCAGGCCGCAGCATTAACTCCAGACTTGAGCCCTGAATACAGACTGTCCTCCTCCCCAGCCAAAAATCTCCTGCTATATAGTACATGTGCGAACAGGAACTGTGGAAAAAGTCCAGAGGCCAAATTGGGCCCACCTTCTCCTGAAGATCTACGTTTTTTCTGTGTGAAAACTGCTTTACTGTTTAAGGATGGCAAGCGGCTTCACAGCTGCGTGATGGGTTACTGGCAAGGATCGTTTAATTCTGAGAAAAACAGAAGGGGGGCACCTCACAGGTAGATCCAAAAGAATTTGTTATTTTTCCCGTGTGCATACATACAAAAACAGAGGATACTTTGGGAGTGCTTGCCAGAATCAGCAGGCTCTTTTTTTTTTTTTAACCGACATCTTGACTTCTCTTGTTTGGATAATAAATTGTCCCGGGAATAATAAAAGAAATAAACCCAGCTGAAATAAATAATTGAGCTGGTTTGCTGTTGCAGCGTGTGGAGGCGCTGCCTGAACCTGTCCTGCTGTCTGTGTCTTTGAACGTGGGACACAAAGAGCAGACAGGAAGGCCTCACGTTAAACGATAACTAAACTTGTCAGCGTTTGTCTTTTCACATTTGGCTTAATTTCTTTGCCCGACTCTTTGAATTAAAGCGAAAGCCAAGCAGTTTTGTTTGGCCCAAGTTCTGCCGATGTTCCTTTTCAAACACTTCCTGTATGTAAACACAGCAGGTAAAACTGAGATCAGCAAAAAAGGACAGGGATTATTGAATATACAGTAGAACCTCCAACATCCAAAGTGAAATTCGATCAAATATTCGATCAGACCACTTGCTGATATTCAGACGTACAAAAATTCCACAGCTTTTTATCATTTTATTCAATCAGTGTATCAGCCAGTCGGCTGCTGATTCAGCATAATGTAACACTGCCAGGAAAAAGCACTGGTGCTAACTCTTTATTTAATCTTGATCCTAAGGGAATGAAATGCAGGAAGATGCTAAAGGCTAACTGGCCACAAAGGTTCACAGAGTGAAAAAAATACATTGAAATGTTGTTGCAAGCTTGTTGCTATCTGTTTCAGGTGGTGTCCTTCATGGCTTTGGGTCTCATGTCCATGATGATTCCCCAATGCACTGTGTTCGAGGGGCTGGTGGTCGTGTGCGTGTTTCTGGGACTGTGTGATGGATGCTTCCTTACCATGATGGCTCCCATAGCTTTTGAGCTGGTTGGGCCCATGCAGGCCTCACAGGCCATAGGTTACCTTCTAGGTCTCATGTCAGTCCCGATGACAGCGGGTCCGCCCATCGCTGGTGAGGGACACACATTTCTTTTTAAATTGTTTTTTTTTTTTTTGCATTACTCCTGATTTGCATTGTTTGAGTGAACTCTCTGTGATATTTTTTTTCTGCATCAAACTCCGGATGTCGATTGTTTTCCTGCGCTAGGGGTTGATTGATATTAGATGAGAAAAACAGTTGGACGAGGGTAGAAAATATGCGGGGAGCAAAAGGACAGTAAGACGAATGCACGGCAGAGACATTTGGGCTGTCGGCCAACTGCTGACTGTTTCCAAGAATTTACGTTAAGAACAAAAGATGGCACACACAGGGTCGCATCTGAGCCCTTGGCTACCTTTAACTCTGCTGCTGCTATTTTCATCTCTGTGAAAAGGGAAGTGCAGGTTTTATGTCAAAGCAGTCTGCCATCTGGACTTTTTAAAGATTTTTTTCAAGTAGTTAAACAAGTTGAAGGTCAACTACTTTATTTAACTGAAAAGTAATTGAGTGCATTTTTTTTTTTTTTTTTGTTTTTGGCAGCCTGTATTTTTAAACTCTGTCCTAGCTGCATCCTCCTGCTTTGCTCAGTCTTTGCATGAAGCTCAGCTCGTTTTCCCCAGCGGTCCAGCTCTGTCCTTATGTAAACTTGTTTCACCAGAATTCTTCTTTGTCATGTCTTTTTTGGGTGCTTTGTAACATGGACAGTCTGAGATCCAGGAAAGCACAAAAAAAACAAATGGATTTGAGTTGATATATACACCTTGGTCTCTTTGTTTATTTTTTTTAAAACTCAGAATTTGTACAAACATTTATTGTTTTCATTTAGTTTGAAAAAGTCTTGAAATTGAATTTTTGACATAAGCCAGAATATCATAGATGGTTTCCCTTGGCTCTTCTCCACAGGTCTCTTACATGGATATTTTGGGAACTACACGGTGGCGTTCTCCCTGGCTGGGGTGCCTCCTATGGTGGGGGGTGTGGTGCTGTTCTTTGTGCCCCTGATTCACCGCAGGCTCCAAAGAGGCCAAGCGTCACCAGAAGAGACGTCCACAACTGCTCACATGTTGCCCACCACCCCACCAGCTGGGGAAGCCAAGAGCTGCTCCAATGGAGACATCCTGCCTGGATATACTGATGTAGAGACACACATCTGAGTCGCATCTTACAAAGGTTACACACATATGCCAAGTTATTCTTGTATAACAGCATGAGGTTACTCATACTGTTTGATGTGTTATTTTATCCTTTGTGTATTTTTCAGGGATTCAGCCCACCAGCACTTTTCTCATCCTTAGATCGCCTGCCTCCCAATCTGAAGGCCCAGCTGTGGACTTCTTATCGACTTTCCTTGAACTACGTACCCTCCCAAATACCCGCTGGCTGTTTACTTGTTTTCATGCAAAGTGAAGGTGAGACAGGCACTCTCGCTAAAAGCCGCACAGAGAACAAAGAGAGGGCACATCAGCATTGGATGATGGAGGAGGATAAGCACAACAAAGTCTCAACAAGAATTCTTTTAATGGTTGGGACTCTGTGGTAACACCTACCTCCAAGAAGAGAGAAAAAAGACCCCTTGGCAGTCTCTATTTTCACAACGTTTTCCTAACTGAAAGAGCTTCAAACCTGTAAAAAAACATACTGTTTCCTTTTTAAATGAAAAGGTTATTAGGATGATGATAACGAGTGAACTATTGAAGGGATACATTTGTAATTTCTGTGTACTTGTAGTACCTCATCCATCATGGTTGTTATCCCATTGCATTTTATGTTGTTAAAACGGTCTTATCTTGATTAAGGTTGGTTGCACTCACCTTTTCTCTGCGGCCCGTGCTTTCTCCTGAGACAGCTACACGAGACGTTGGGTATCTTTTGTAAATGTCACAGGAGGTAAGAGGCTGTTGTTCTGATGGATGAGCCTACAGACAGACACACTCACCTCAGCTCCGCTGCATACCAGTTTTAGAGCCTGGCTGCGAGTGTTGCCAGGCTGTAAAACCTCTGCAGCCTAACTTTGATCTCTATGCCAGTCTGCCTGCGTGGGAGACAGATGTGGGATTCTGGGAGCTGTTGGATTCCCTCCTTTCAATTTAATGTCGGTGACTTTTTAGCATCCAGGAGGTTAAGTTATGCAGTCAGAGTTAAAAGCGGTGAGCATCTGCCCCCGGAAAAGCTGATACAAGAACATCTAGTCACTGGCAGAACTCTACAGTTTTTTATCAGCCTTTCTAAAGCGGGTGCTTGTAAAGGTCACATCTATATTTACTATGTTACTTTTTCTATATAAACAAAAGGAGTTTTGTATTCTGAGTGCAAATAGTTGGAATCATGAAGTTGTTACAGAAGCTCAGTCATGGAGAAAGGCTTTTATGCCTTGTTTAAGTTGGTGTGTGTGTGTGTTTGTGAGGCATCTACATGTTGAAGCTAGAAAGTACAGTTCTCTGAAACCTGTGCAGCAGCACACATACACAGCTAACAAGTGAATGATTCTGGGACCCTCAGAGGGCTGCCGCTGAAGACTTAAGGCCTGCTGCCACAGGCCGCCTGGTTTGATGGCTGATGCGTATGGTTTTATTGTTGTGGCTGATTATTGTATGCAGCCGGTTGAAGGAACTACTGTGATTTCAAGCTGCCAAATGACCCAATCCCTCACGCGGCCATCTCTTAATCGATCCAATGACTTTGCTGCTTTAGTTTGAATGCGCTCAAGGGCACCTTTCAGTATTTGGGCAGAAATTGAACAAATATTACAGCTGTGTTGGGATTTTTGCGTCATTTGGGCAGTTTGCAGTACTGTGATTACTTACCTCTGCATCCCTTAGATTACTCTTTCTCCTCCTCAACAATCAAATTCAATAGTTAGATCTGCAGTTGAGATAAAGGCTATTTCTTACAGAATTGCAAGGCTATGTGCTTATACGTGTAACTGAATATCAAAAGCTTAGCAGGGAAAAAGGGAACGCCCTGGTGTTCAGCTGGTATTCCTTTCCTTTCCTCTGCGCTTTTGCTCTATTATTCAGTCTCCTCTTGTGTTACAATACAGCAGAGCCTGAAAGCTACACAAACCTCATTATGAGTGTAGTTCTTTGCGGACATTCCTATAGGGCTCACAGTTCTGAATGAAAAATGTACACCTATACCTCAGTAATCCTCAACAATCCACTTACACACTTCGACATTCTCCATCACTTTCTTCTTTTTTGTTGGTGGTCTGCGTGAGCCACATATACGTTAATGCCTATTGCTAATCGGACTTCCAAAACTTCACCCTTGTGTCCATTTAGGTACCATAAAATGGCAAACGGCAAGCTTTCAGCCATCCAAACAGTCAGTGCACCATCTGTACTACGCACCATACTCATCTTCCTTTTCCCTTTATACTCCTGCTCGTCCCTCCATCACACCTACTGCTCTTACTGCGGCCTGCCTTTATCATAAGGTATGCCTGGGCAAACACATTTTACCACATGCCTAAAATTTCTTACACTAAAGCCAGAGGAGACACTAGACTAACTACAGAGAGACAATCCACAGAAGATATGTGCATGCTGGAGAAAACATAGGTCAGTGGTTTGAGGTTTTGACAGTTTTCCTGGCAGTTCAACAGTCGGCAGGCTTTGCGGCTGCTTCTCAGATGAGAAGTAGCAGGTTAGGGTTGGACATTTCAAAACTACAGACTGCCTGTGTTATCCATTTTCCAGCCATATAAGCTACCACATTGCTAATTCTTATTAAAGTTAAAGTCAAAATCCCTCTGTTTAAATGAAGATGCTTCCTTCTGCCCTGCTGTAAGATTTATAACAGATTAATTTTGCATAACCAGATGCGGCAGGGGATGATTTCTAGTGAAACTGCACAAATGCAGTGACCAGTAGCCTTAATTGCTCATTTTGGGTTATGCGGACAGCAATCCACCCATATGTAAATAACACATTTTTATACAAATACCGAAAAGGAAACATTGCATTTTTATTTTGAAATTCACTGACCACTGCACTAAAAAGTTGCTGCAATCAATAAGCATCTTATGTTTAAAGTCTCACATTCTGGCAGAATAATCAATGGATGAATAACTACTCCTGGAGCCACACTGGAGGATTTCTGTGTTTGGGTAACTGGTCTGGGCCTGTTTGTTTCTAGATAAAATTTCTTGCCTGCACATTGAAAATCTGACTTATTTATGAGTTATTGCCCGCCTTTCTCAGGCCTCAGTATTGGCTTCATTTGCACCCAGTTTCTGGTCACAACCAGCTGGTCGCTCCTTTTTATGAACTACTGTAGATTTAAACTGAGGAAAAGAGACACCTATCGACCTAATTTGGAATGGTTATAACCTTAAATTATTATTGATTTTACCTTTTTATTTGTCTGTATTATTAGTTATGCTACTGTCAACAGAATTGTTTTGTTGGATTATCTTGTGGAATTTGTGATTACATTTAAAGGGGAGAGAGCTGACTTGATGAAGAATGAAAGGGTGCATGTGGATGGATGTTTGGGGTCTGCTGAACCAGTCCTTGCCGAAGTCTTTTCATCTATGCAGCATTACTGGTCTTGAGATCCTCTTCCTATGACACCTTGGCTCAAGAAGTCTGAACATATCAGACTCTGGATGATCCGTGTGGGCTTGGATTTGGAGTTTGCATTCTTGCCCCGGTAGCACACAGCTGTGGCACACAGCTACACCTTCAGTGGAGTCCTTTGTATTTTAACTGAATGTGCTACTAATATTACTACTTGTTTTACCTAATTTTTTTGATGACTGGTTTTTATAAGTGCAAATTTTGAGCTGTTACCTGCCTTGTTAAAAACATGGATTTCTCTGCTGCAGGCGAAGGCTTCGAGGCACTTTTCAGTTGTATTTCAAGCCCTGTCTGACCTATGAAAAGACAATGCAATGACGCAATCACAAAGGCTTAAATCTTAGTATTTATGGTTTTGATACCCAGATAAACAAAAAGCATTTAAACTGTGTGTATATAAAAAAAAAACAAGCATGTTTTATTCTCCATTTTTTAATATCAGCTAGAGGACAGAACTTGGCCTCTTAGCTCTATCTCATTAGAGTCTACTCTGGTAGCAAAGCCCCCTGACTTGAAGTCAGTCCAAACTTTTGCAATGCCAACCTTTGTTATTGTTCAGCGTGCCATTCCTGTGCCCCTCTGACCTCAGCCTGCTTACAGTGTAACTGATGTGCTTTACCTAAATCTGAAACCACGCAAACAACATGTGACACACGATAGCTAAAGGTCTAATTGTTGGAAAGCCGAGCCACGATTTGCCACAGACACCTCATCGACTGCCAGACTTCCAGCACAACTATACTGTAGTGCTGTTGCCAGTGAGAGTTTCTCATTTTTGTACGTGCATTTGCTCACACCCGGTCAATATGTTTTCTAGAAAGTGTTTTATGTATGATTTCATTGGGTCATATGTTCTCACTTGTGGTCCTGCAACAGCATTCAACCCAAACCTTCCTACAGCCTTACATGGTGAAATATGCATAATACTCTGGAGCAGAACTCTAAGCTCTCCTTACGGGGCCCTTGCAGGCTTCTGCGATTAAACCTTTATTGCCTCTCCGCACTTAACAAAGCTGCAAGCTTATGTCTCACACAAACGTCACCTTTTTAAAAGTATAAACACATATTTTAGTCATAGAAAAGTTGATCTAACATGGCCAGTGACATCACAGGAACTGAAATGAAGTCATGCTGCTAGAAAAATGTCTTTTTTGTGTGTGTTTCCGTTGTAATTTTGAATCTGTATCAAAAGAATAACATTTGTTTTCTATTAAACCAACAATAAATGTGTAAAATGACAAATCACACTGTTGCTGCCAGCCGCTCTTTCTTTCATTGGCGTGAGCTCAAGTCAGGTGTTTTTTTAAATTAATGAATTGATTTTATTCAGCGAACCAATAAAGACATGGATACTGGAAGAAATGCACTGTGGCTTCTAATGTATAATCTGCTCATTATCACCACAGCAACATGGCTGAGATCGCTGAAGCATTAAGTCCTCCCTGGACTCCCGGTTCCCCTCAGCATTTCACAGCCAGTCCCGCTGAGTCCTAAAGGCCACGCTTCAGTGGATCGGCTCCTGAAAGCAGAGCTCTTTATAGACAAACAGGGAACTATTGTGTACAAGTCACAAGTGTAGAATAATCATTTGAGTCCAGTGCACCTTTTCATATCTTGTTTAGATTTTTTTAAAACTAATAAGTAGAAACAAAATAAATGATCATTTTTATGGCAAATGTGCCATGATATAAAACAGCACCACTATTAAATCTGAAGTTCTCCCTTTAAACTGAGTGTCTGTTCTTCAAAAACCATGTCCATAAAAGGTTTTACATGTCCCAACAAGCTGACGTTTTTCATCTGAAACAGAAATGAAAATACGAATTACAGGTATCCTAGTTCTCACAGAAACAGTTACTTAAGTGGTTAAACTTGGGTAAAACCATGTTAAGATGGCAGCAACATGGATCACAAAGATGATCAATTGTTCAAATGATCAGTAATTGTATTTGAGGGCAAAAAATAAAATATGAGGATTCAGTGTAAACAGGAAATTTGATCTGTTTTTAATACTTTTAATAGGCGGATTTGAAATATCTTTTCAGGTTAATTTACTGAAGTTGCATTTTTAATATAGAAATTGCACCGTAGTTCTTTCTGCTTGAAATGATTAAATAAATGATGTGTCTGAGGACCCTCTGATCAGTTTGGTCATAAATGAAGAAGTTTAAATTCTTTCAGAGTTTTTTTTAATAGTGACATCACTAATTTGAACTAATTAGAATAAAATATATTTTCATAAACTTTACTTGTAAGCTAATGTCTGTATTAGTTATTTTATTTTATTCAAATAAATGGTTAATTAACTTGTCCTGATACAGCAGTGTAGTGTAACACTGGGCCTAGTCCAGTAGGAGTCCCCACAATGCCATTTTAGAGTGAAGGTGGTGATAGTGATTGAGCTATTGCACGATAGATGTCGCCATAAGAGGTTCCACTTTCGCAAAAATATAACCTTTTTTATCGCGGTTACCCATTCCGGTTAAATAGACATGCCATTTTAGTCAAAATTCAGAACTTTCTTCTGATGTTCTTCTGATAAAAGTAATTTAAAACATGTGGAGTGTTGTTGAAATAAGTCATGTTGCTTACGGTCACATTTTGGGCTGCACATGCTCCATAAAATAACCCAACAAACACAAAAGTTTATGTCAGTGATCATGTGTTATAGTCTTTAATTTAGCAATTCTTAAATCTACAGTTTCCATCCTATTATTTGTGTGGGAAATTGAATGTGTTAATGTTTAATCGTGATTTTTGGTTCTGAGTAAGGTCTGATGACAAGGGGTATTTTGAAACAGTTTTCTTTTCAGAAGAATTTTCATTTCCAGATCAGTGGCATCACATTGGAAATCAGCTAAATTCGAAAAGCTGAAAGTCCCTGATCTCAAGAAAAACTGAAACCAAACAGTGGAAATGATTAATCAATTTTACAAGAAATGTATGTGTCAGATCATTGACCAAAGATGGTGCAATTTTAGGGTATGTTTTCTCCTACGCAAGATATCTGTGGGGGGGACTGGTCCAGTGGATGATCTTTTTTTAGCAGACCTGGAAATAAAAACAGAACGTACACACAGTTGTGGTCACCTGATACTGCTGTAATTACCACAAATAAGAAGGGAAACAAAAAGAAAACACCTCAGCTTTTTCTTCGATTTAGAGGCCTGCTGTATCAAGGAAGTGATGTCAGGAACAGTGATAAATCTCATTTTTTTTAGTTGTGTCACACACAGTTTTCCATTTTATGAAAGCCAGGTCACAGAGAGGCTAATACATGTGTTTTGTGTGGTGCTGTGGCAATCAAACGCAGCTATGACATCACAGAAAGCCTTAACTACACATAAAAAGTTTGTTATGTTCGGAATTTTTTCTTCTTTCACTAGATGGTTTTCTACGTACTTTTTGTTTGAAAGGTCACATGTTTTAAAACGAATCCCACCTACTCTTTAAAAGACATCTTAAAATAATTAGAATCTCAAAATTCCTTCTATTATTTTTTCTCTCCCTATGTCAATCTGTGTTGTGGTTAATGACATGCGCTGATTCAATTTGAAAGAACAGTATGAAGGGCGCTATCGCATCAAGGAATTCTGACTCACTATTTTTGCCCTTTAACCACAAAACTCTCAGTAAATTTGATGTCTTACGCAAAAAGGGCTTAAACTGGAGATTTTTGTCTTACACCGCCTCAGTTTTGAACTTCTCTTAAAAGCCCAAAATCAACCTACATTCTTAAAATGTGAGATGCAGGTCTTGAATTTGAGAAAATATTCATTTCAATCATCTTTGTTAGTCGTTAGTTAGTTAGTTGTTGAGACGACCGTTTACCAGTTATTTTATCGAACTGTTCTAACTCTTCTGAAAGAGTTTATAAATTATACAAGCAGCTGAAAGTGTTCTCTGAGCTTCTGTCACAGTGTTGAAAAATCTGAAGCCATAAGTCAGTTGCTTGCATATTGCTTCGTAATGTAGGTGCATATTAGGCAAAAGCAGTTGCAAGTCAAACATCAAGATCAGAAATGATCACATAGGATTCATCCCTAGAGAAGTCCAGAAGAAGTCCACTTTTTGTATCATTTGGCATACCTTAACCTTTTCTGCTTGTTTTTGCTGCTTTAATAACGACTACTTGACAGCCACCCTTCCATGGAAGCCCTTTTGAATTTGTTGGCCTGTGACATCTTTGTTTATCCTCCACTTATCCAGTTTTCTACAGTTTTCTGCACACCTTGCCTATGGAGAATAGGTTTCATCTGATAGATCTTTGAGAATTGCCTTATTGGCTCATTTAGTGTCTGTCGAGGTGTTATCTTTGCCAATAGATTGCTGAATGCCATTAAAATAATGAAAACATATTATGTAGATTGTTATATAGATTTATATGAACTATTAGAAAAAGCTAAATTACTGTTGATTTGTAAAAGATTTGAATGGATTGGTTGGAACAGACTGACGAGATCATCAGAAATGTCTCATAGGTCAGTGTCACGCAGCTTAGTGAAAGGCAAGCAGAAAAGACAGGGAGAAAAAAACAGGAAGCCCTTTAAATGACCGAATAAAAAACAAGGGATGGATCTCCAAGGTCCCCTCCTTGTGTTGGAGTCCGCTCCGGAGCAATAAACGGACAGCGATGCCTGTGATTGGCCTGTAATTGTTGTTGTTGCTGCTTTCACACGCTGTGAACACATTCCCCGCTGATAGGTGATCCTACCACAGGATTCTGCTCTCCTGTTCACCAGCTCTCTCCTGTACGTCTTTACCACGATCTAGCCCAAAGTGGGGACAGGTTCTTTGTCTGTTTTTTGAGATTACAGGCAGCGTGTTGTTGTTTCTGGAGAGATTCGGTGTGACAGTCACACACACAATGTGCGACTGCCACATCTCTGCCAATGCGTGTCCTTTCCAGCATCACTCTGTCCCTCCAAACAAAACACATGCACACACTCCCTCCTCCTCCCCGCTGGAAACTTCCTGACTGATAATGAAGTGATAAAGATTGTGCGTAACAGTAGAAACACACAGAAACCAACACACAAAAAACTAACACATGCTTCTTTGATAGAGGCGCGCTCGCACCTTGTTGATCTTGCCACTTCCCTTGCATTCCTCCGACCCAGCCTTTTTGCCTGTGAACCAACTCGTTCTTCCTCTGTTTAACACGCATACTTCAACAGACGCATACTTTTAACAGAACAATGTTGGAGCTGAGCTACTCATTGTTTCTGCCAGGGGGGCCTGGTAGAGGAGGATAAGCCCTTATAACAGTTCAGGAAAGTTCTGGCCTGAAGATATATGGGATGAAAAAAATAGGAAATGGAAAATGTTCTGGAAAGAGGTAGGAACAAACTGGAGGGAACGAGGCTGGTTTGTGTCTTTGTGTTTATGTGTTTGCATAATAAATTCCACCAAGAGTAAATTCAGTAGATTCTTATTTTATAAGGCTTCAAATAAAACACAAAAATACAAACTTTTTCAATGATATACAGCTGTCCAACAGCTCACATCCATCTGGGTCAGAAATATTTACACTTACATTCAAAAGGTTTGATCTTAGTTAAATACTGTTTCCCAACATATTCATCTTAACATGACCTCAAACACAACATAAAAAACTGTATCTCAGTTGTGATGAAACAACTAGCTATCACACTGCTGAGAAAAAAACAAATGTAGCCAGAAGTAAACAAAGTTGTGGCTACAGAGGAAATAGCTTCTTATAGTTTATATATAATTTAAGATCTCTTCTGAACAATTTAGCATTTCCATTTCCATTTCCTGTAGCAGTCTCGGGGAAAACAACTAAAATGCTCCGGCAATCTGCTGGCGCTTCTGCCTGGCTCCTGGCTACGTGTTGCATCCCAGCACCTCCAGCCGGAGGGCGATGTCGTTGATCCAGCCCCGCGGGTGGATGCGGATGTAGCGGCCAAACACGGGAGGGTCAAAAACGGCAAGAGCTTCATCATCGGCATCACTGTTCCCAGTGAAAATCTGATCGTGGAAAAGGGAGGCATGAAGTGACAAAACAGACAGATCTTGAAATAAATACATTTGATAGCTTGACGCTAAACGTCATAATCTGTAGATCTATTTAATGGGGGCCTGTGATGTGATCTTCCACAGATGGACATTTTTGTGATCATTTAGTAGAATGTAGGCCACTGAAAAATTTCAAGATTTCTGTGTACCTGTTCCTTTTGGGAGCTTTTCTCTAGCACGCTGCTCCAGGAACGCCCATCCTGACTGAAGGTGACCGAGAACTCTGTCACCATCATCTGGGTCATTAACGACCGCGCTCCCTGCGTGATGACACCTGTGACGCGTCGGACTTTGCCCAGGTCCACCTGCAGCCACTCGTGGGGGTTGTTGTTCTGAGGAGAGGAGGACACAGGAAACATTTTCAGCTAGAAAAACAATAAAAAAAGAGATAAAGAGATAAAGAGAAGGGAGAGACATTTCAAACAGCCATCTTTCTGCAAAACAGCACTTGGGATACTCAGAACATTCAGAGTTAAAAGCTTCTGCAAGTCTGAAGCCTGTTGTGAAAAAAGACTTGCATCAAGCTGAGTCTGTAACTTTAGTACATTAGGTGAAAGCTAAAAAAGAGGACTGAAACCTGAACCAAAACAGAACTTTTATTTCTTATTTAGAACTACTACAGAAGTTATAAGAAGTCACCAATAGAAAACCCAAGATTGAAGCAGCAGTCGAGTAGAATGAAAGAACCACGTCTGTTTCCCCCTCAGTGTTTCCACTTGACTTATAAACTGGAAAAATGTGTCTGGCACAGCTTAATTTTTCCACTGCTCTTTGCTGATGTACTAATGCATTTGAATGGTTAATATGTCAGTTCCTGTATTCGTCATTAATGGAATTCATATGGTTTTGACTAACGGGGTAGGGTTTAAGACAGTTGGAATGAAAATTAAACCCAAAAGTCTACTTTTTCTGCTCAAAGGTTTAAAAGTTGTTCTGAAATCCACACTGCCCACATTTACGGAATTTAAGTAACAAAAGGTAAGTAATCTTAAATCCTAGAGGGATTTCACAGATGTATGTATATAAATATGCCATAAACAATAATAAAAAAAACTGGGCAGGAGAACAGACAAGGTCAGATCCAGGATGAATAAGCTAAGATTCTGAGTTATAGGTCTGCCAGATTCTGAGAAATATGCTGGGCAGCAGCACAAAAAAAAAGCAAAGAAGAAGAAGAAGAAGTATTGGCAAGTTTAGAGAAGTCACATCAGTGTCTGGAAGAGTCTGGTCTGAGAGACAGCATGGAAGCTCTAATCATTGGCTATATATGAGCCTCCGAACTGGGTTGGTGGCATTGCCATATCCATGAAACAGAATCTGAGTTTTCATCTGTACACGGTTCATGAATGATGTGTGCAACCTTTAAAAGCAGGTCAATAGTTTGCCATCGAGACACTTCACACCTCAACAGTTCAGTGCTGCAAAGTGGGAAACTGACAAGCTAAAGTGGAGGAGAGGAGACACCTCAGCCCAGCCTGATTAAAGCGCAGAGAGAGAATGAAAGAAAGGTTGGTTATCTCCATTATTTGCATCAGTGGTTCCCATCACACCGCGACTGAGCCCAAATAGCACTGCTGGGGCGCGTGGAAATAATGGCAACTCTCAAGTTAATCGTAACAAGTCATTCAAACATTAACTTCAATCACTGTTTGCCACTGTGGGTCTGCAGGCCACAGGATAAGGATCTACCTTCCACTGTTCTGCCTGATTACTCTGGATGTCGGGTCTAATCATGGTGGAGAGTTTTGGTAACTCACATCTCTGACATCAGATGTCAGAGATCTATGATACCAGCCTTCAGCTGCAAACCACTCAACATTCAAATCAGTTGCTCGAAATGAGCAACTGATTAGCCAAAAAGCAAAGACAGCTTCTCTTTTGATAATTCTCTTCATCTATAACTTGAATGATTTCAATGTGTGAAACTCAAGGCAGATCAGTCGATTACTCCCTATTTCCATGTCTGTTGCCGAAAGACCATGCTCTAAATCAAGTTGAGTAGCCAAATGATTTGCTGCCATCAGATCAAGCCATAAACTTGATCTGTTGGTTTGATGTGCTTACGCTGCCGGGGGAGTATCCTTCCTCTGTGTGCATGACTGGATGTGAGCTCACCTTTGGCCTCCAGGCGTTGGTGCTCCCGCTCTGATGGAGACGGGCGAGGCTGGGTTTCCAGCTGCGCATCAGGGGGGAATAATATGAGGAGGCATCAAAGCTGCTGTCGGGAATCAGCCCTCTCTGGAGTCCCAGAGGCAGGGAGCAGCCTGGTCGCATGCAACAAAACACGCATGAGCGAGACCATTCTGTGCAGTGCAACGGAACAGGACACGACCCGGACAACTCACTGTTGAGATCGCATCCCAGCAGCTCCAGTCGGAGCGCGGGCTTTTGCACATAGCGGTGTGGATTAATCCTGATGTAGCGAGCCACGAATGGTGGAGAGAAGCTGTTTTCTTTCACCTTGGAGCTGTCCAGGTTGCCATGAAAGAGCTAAAACAGAACCACACAAAGAACAAAGCTCACACTTCCTTAATAACAGCTTACAAGCTGTTATTATGTTCCAGCATATTACAACGAAACACGTCTTTGAACCAACTTATGCTGCACTGGAGCTGATTTTACTGGATATACTAACAACTTGTGTCCCTGGTCCAGCTTTTGCCATGCTGCAGAATTAATCTAAATCCCAATTCTAACCTGCTATGTGAACATACCTTGATGTTCCTGGGACTTGTTCCTTTGTAAGTGGTCCATGTTTCTCCGTCCAGGCTGTAGGAGACTGTGAAGAGTGTGATGTAGTGGTCCCTCAGCCTCGACCTGACTCCCTGTGTCATCGCGCCATGCAACAGTGTGGGCTTCTGAAGATCAACCTGAACACACAAGACCATTGACTCACTTTTTAACACAAAAAAATACTGACATGCTTTTTAAAAAAAGTTTCCTTCAGGAACACACACAGCATATAAGCTCAGAAATCGGCGTCTCTAACCTGTAACCATGACTGGGTGCTTCTGCCCATCCAGGCATTGATATACCCAGACTGATCCAGCCTGGCTAGCCTTGGCTCCCAGTTACCTGGCCGGAAAACATTGACATGATCATTTAATAAACAGGAGGTATTTATTTTGACTGGGCTGTGATAAAACCTTCTGTGTCCAGAACAGACTTTTCCAAATAAAAACACAAAACCAGCTGCCTTACCTATGTGATCTGATGATGTGATTTGAGTATCCTCAATTCTTTCTGACTTCATTCCCAGAGGAAAGGAGCACTCTGCGTGTCAGAACAGCAACACATAAGATCAGTAAAGCATGTCAGAATTGCAGGTACACACAAACGATGACTGAATACATTTCCTATTTAGGTAACAACAACCAGACACGGAACACTTACTGCGAATATCTATAATATAAAGTCTTGTTTTTTTTTTACATTCTGCGAATGATGCAACTTTAGTTTTCCCCTAGTGTTGGAATTACATTGTTACTCAACACTTTACAATGAGAACACAGTTGGAAAAACATTTAACATTATTAATCCCTGTCTCTGCGCCCCAGATGTTCAAATGTTGGCTGGGAGTTTCTGAACATGTTAACTGCTGAGAGTAATGCAATATTCATCATCTAATTACCTTATTTTTCAAATATTGAAAGTAAACAGCATTTAAAACCCTAATGAAGTATATCTTAATTTGACTAAATGGAAAATGGCAACAAAGGATACAGAAAAATCAGGGGGGGGGGGGGGGGTCAAACACAATCTAATGGTTCTGAGGTTTTTTTACAACAGGATAATAAACAATGTCCCATATTTGAGATGTGTACCTACCAGGGTTATACACCAACAGTTTAGCCCTCATTCCAGCCAGTTGGTAGTCTCCTATCGTGCACTCCACCAGCCATGTGCCGACTGTTGGGGGTCTCATCTCCACTGTACCATAAACACCTTGAGAAACAAGTGAGAGACAAGTTTAATGCAATCCATGAGACAGCATGTGATGCTAGGATGATGTTACACAGCAAACATAGTGAAAGGTTAATTCTTACATCATTAAAAAGAGGAATTCACACTGAGAGCATAGAGCAAAACAATGTGGTTTGCATGCTTAACATTCAGCCAGTTCTGTGAATAGTGTTAAGCAAAGATAGACTGTTTGTTTGTCCGTGTCCACAATGTCAGCCCGTCTATGTTTGATGTTTTGGGGATGGAGCAGGAAGGTATCAACTATAACAATTTCGAAAAACAAATGCATTTACCTGGGAAAAGGTTGAAGACACCCATTCGGTGCTCCTGCTTTGCGTGCACAGTGAAAGGCAAACCATGGAAGTGCACGGCATGGTACTCTTTGTCGCTTCCCACATTCAGAAGGTGCCACCTCACCGGCTGGTGCTGAGCGACCACCAAACCGGGGAGAGTTTCAGCCACATACCCGTTAATCGCTGAGGGAGACAAAAACACTGGTGCTATTTCTGAAAAAACAATCATGGCTTGAAGGCAGTAGCAGCCCACATTACATGAACAATCACCCACCTGCAAACCGATTGCTGGTGTGGTACCAGGGATCCTCTGTGTTGGCCTGACAGGGAGGGGCACAGTATCGCTGGAGGTTCTCCTCCAGGTACCAGCTTTTAGTTTCATCAAAGGTGTGGAAGAGCAAGGAAAATTCCTGGATGCCCTTTTGGTTGTTCTGACGACTTTGCAGTTTCCCAGACTTACAGATCACCAGTGGACCAATCAGACCTGAGTGGAGGTCCTTCTCCTGGAAAATTGTAAAGAAATATGCATTTCATCTCAGTTACATGAATACAAATAATGTTTTGATATGGAGACACTGATATGGGAATGCAAATGCTTTGTGTCTGAGTCAAATTGGTGCAGACCTGGTCCACGGTGGAGTAGTAAGCTCCAGTCTTGCAGTCAAATTCGGGGTCAGAGGGTCCCTGTTTCTTGGTTATTCTCCAGTTATAGGTGCGGGCTTCTCCAGGAGGCACAGGCTCTCCCGGAACCCCCGGCGGAGCAGAGTAAGAACTAGTTTGTGCAATGCCGGCCCCCTGGCTTCGGTCATAGACTCCATGGAGGTGAAACGAATAGGGTCTGTTTGCGTTGTTCTTGAAAATCACCTGAGTTAAGACAACAGAGACAGAGTTTTACAAAAACAGCAGTACTAAACATCACATCCCCATCCTCATCACATCCCCACATTTCTTGGGTAAGTGAGCCTTAATAAACAGGAAGTAGTTGCTAGTAGTTTAGATAACAGTTGTATTGTGCTGGTTTCCTTGCAACAAGGAGCAGAAACACTCACAGTAAGGAGGTCATTAATCTCTGTTCTGATAAAAGGTCCCATTATGCCCAAGTGTTCTTCAAGCTCCCCTCTTCCCACGGGATGCTGGAAGTCTTTATCCAAGTAATGTCGAAACACCACCTTCTTATACTCAGGCAAGAACTTCCTCATGCCCCGACGCATCTCCCTGAAAGGAGCAAGAGTCCACACTTCTGTCAGCCCAGACTGCATGACATGGAATATTTTGTGTTCACTGAATAACAACATTATAACTGAATATTTAGGGTAGTAGGAGGGTAAGGAAGATTAAGAAAACACATAGTTAGGTGCTTTGTCATTAAGATTAATGAAATGGACCAAAAAAAAAAAAAATAGTTGAAAACAGTCATTGCATTGATGGATTACTGCATGGTTTTTGCCAAGCACAAGAGAAAGGCATCTTAAATCTATAAATCTTAGGTTAGGGGTAAAGTTCAATAGATTATACAGAGAAAGTAACTCTAATGGAGGAGCAAAAACCAAGAGCTACTCAGAAGGGGGGCATGTGAAGAATGAATTTTTCAATAATCTAAAACCTTCAAGATACAACACCTGTACAAGCAAATGCTTAACTGGGTTCCACATCAATTTCTTAACTGCGACTAGAGGAAACATTTACGCTGCAACTCAGTCTGTAGCAATGTGGTGTAGGTTGCTACACTGTGTTGCACCCTGGACCGCTTTAGTGCAACTGTCTGGTGCATGAAGGCGTGAAGACCCCCAGTTAAGAACTGATCTGTTTTGTTTTTCTTTTTACACTCCCCTTCAGAGTAGTTTTTGTCGGTGCATTGAAACTTGTATGAAATCTTTTTCCCACCTTGGTTTGATGAGCTGATGTGGCATTCTGATACCATAGTCCCAGGTGATCTCCTCCGCTGCAATGTAATAGTGGCGAGGTCTAATTTCTCCAGAACGGGGGTTTATGTAATCTGAACCAAAAATATCTGAGGTGCCGTTGACCTGTACACAAAGTTTGAACATTTATTTTGGTGAACGTTAGCAGCATTTTAAATTCTATTCAATGAGACTCCCAGATAGATTCCAGTACCTCATAACTGTAGTCATCGTACTCAAGAGACAGATCAAGGTGTGTTGTATTGGCGTCTGTGAAGTTGTAGTCAAGATCCATAAGATCAACTTTAAGCCTTTCTGGTTTAGCGTCATCATAAGTTGGAGATACAAAGCTTTCCATGTCCTCTGAAGAGTCTAAGTCTATAGCTGAGACTTCACTAGTTGCTGGTGCTTTGATGTTGTCACTCCCTTCAAGTTCTATTGTGGTGCCATTTGTTTCAGTGAGCATATCCCTCCTCTCTTCAGTCTTTACCTCTGAATCTGTGTCAGTCACATTGTCTACATCTTCTGCAACAATCTCTATCGTTGTTCCTTCCTCTCCCAAGAGTCGGAAACTTGCATCTCCATCTGTCCAATTCCCATCGGCTTGTCTTCGCTGTCTGCTACCTCTGTTTTTGTCAAGGTAAGTCTGATTTTGGGCCCACTCTTCTTCCCTTGCTATTTTCTCCAGGATGTCGTCTGGGATTCCTCCATCCGTGGAAGGCTTTGTCCTCTCTAGTGACATCGCCGGCACTCTCCTCAGCTGGCACGCTGCACCTGAACCCTCAGCTTTGTCCACAGTGACATTTTGATCATTGGGGTTTCTGACTGAAGGTTTCTTGCACACCTTTACCAATACCGTGCCATTTTTAGGTCTCAAGCCCCTTGGCTGGAAATTTAATTCATCAAAATAGTCTGAGATATCTTCATCAAAGTCTTGATCGACTACAGGCAGATCTCCGTTGTTGCAGGGACGAACAGTGTAGTGGATGGTCATGCCCCGGTTCTTGAGGCTGCTGTCAAAGGCACTGATTTCCCATTCGCCTATGAAAAGACAAAGATTACACCCAATATGAGTCATCTGTGATCAGACACAACACCCACATCAGCAGGTTCCCATTGTGGCCCCACTGGGAGTACAAGAAGTATAAATACCCCTACAAATTGGGACATTTTCTGTGTCTTGGACAGTTACTAGTAAAGCAAAACCAATCCTTGGTTGTATTTGCTCTCACCAAGCAGCTCGGTTTCCATGGGGACAGTGACTGCAGTCATGGGGAAGAGGGTGAGGACAGATTGGTGTAGGTCTTGATACTGAAACAAGTTTCCAGTGAAATAGACAGAGAGGAAGTCACTCTGGGTTCCCACGTTTGCCACATGCCAGAAGGGGACATCCGTTTGACACATGACAAACTGACGTCCACTGAACATGATCCCGTTTATACCTAGAGGAAAAGGAAAAAGAGAGTGCCTCACTTCCGTTCTGCTGAACACCATGCTTATTCCTCATGTAAATTCTGTTATATATTATCTTATGGTATAGGATAGTGACTGCTCCACTCACAAAAGTTAGGAAATGTGACTCACTGTAAATGACATTAGACTCATAGAATTCAGGGTCTGTGGTGTTGAAGGACCTTTGGCTGGACTTCTGCATATTTTCCTTGAAGTACCAACTTTGATTCTCATCAAACACAGCAAATATGAGGTTTAGCTTCTCATCGGGTCCCAACTGCAAAGAGCAAAATATTTAATTAAGGAAAGACACAAACAAAAGCATGAGTAAGTCAGACGCTTCACCAGATGAATATTTATCTCACCAGTCGTCCTCTGACATCGAAGGCATTGTACTTGCAGATGAGAAGGGTGCCAACAAGCCCAGAGGCCAAATCCCTCTCTGGCGAAATGGTGCTTTGATATAGCTGAGTCAGACACTGAGGGTCTCCCTCCAAGGGCCCATCATTGGTTGTCAGCATCCAAATGTAACTAAACGTGCCATTGGGGGGAATTCCCACTGAGCGCAAGTCGTTCTCTGCAGCTAAGGAGATTTGGGAAGACTTGTTTCAAATCAGCACAGACAAACACTCCATAACTACATTTAGCTGTTTATAATATGTTTCTTAGGATAAGGATGTGCCAACTGTAGTTACAACTCAGTTGTTGCAGATTATCCATTCAGAGTAGTGTGGCTTTACTGGCTTATGTCCATGCTCACACTCACCATTAGAGGATCTCTGTAATGGAAGGATCTTGGTGAGGCCATTCGGATAAATATTAAAAGTACGACTGGCCAGGTTTTTAAAGATGATCTGGAAAGAATGACAGTGAAAGTGTGATCAATGGACTAAAATCGCAACTACAATTGTGTTAACTTCTGTAAATGTGAGATGTCCATGTGAAAACTGATTTAGTTTGATGCATATGTGGTGAGCCCTCATATGCACCATGTGAAGTCACTCACATGGAGCTGATCGTTGACTTTTCCTTTCAGTAAAGGACCCAGAAGTGTCCTGTTCGGGCTTTTCCTTTGAGTGAAGGATCCGTCTGTGTATTCCACATAGGCGACTTTTTTATACTCGTAGCCCAGGTGATGGGGAGCAGCAGGAAAATATCTGGACTTCAACTCACTGATGTAGGACAGAGGAGAGTTACAATCAGTTCATCGGTCAACTTTCCCCCCCTCTTCTTTCACTTCATAACTGCATTTCCTACCTGTCCGTGGGTTTGAGATGAGGAGCGTAGTTCCAGGTGACCTCTTCAGCAGCAATGAAATGTGTCCATGTTTTGGGCTGCTGTCCTCTGCTGGATCTGGCCTGGAAGTAGGGCTTTTGCGGTATAACATTGATGGTGTTGAACTTGTAATCATAATCGTCCTCTTGGGGCTCCTCTTTGCTGTAATCTTCATCTATGACCTGGCGCAGGTTGGGTCTCGGCACAGGAACAGGTTCAGGGCATTTCTCCACGGTGAACAACGCATTCATGCCATCTGAGAACGCCACATGAATGACAGGAGTCATCTCTCAGGTAACTAGTTAGTGCAAGGTTACAAATGAAACAGTTTTGTGTTGGAATGGGAGAGTGGGTGGGTTGGTTTTACCGTGGCGGTGAGCATTAATCTGACAGCTAATGAGGAATTGTCCGAGGTTGGTAGGTCTCAATTCTGCTGTGACAAACGTCATCGGGGTCACTTCCACAGTGACTTTACGATGATTCATTACCTAAAAAACACCCATTTACAGGACTTAATGAACACATATACTTTATTAATATTCTATTAATTTATACTTAACCTATTTAATCTAACTTTTCACTGTTGAACTGCAAAATAAATCATAAAATGTTATTAAGAATAAAATAAATAATGGCACATGAGTCTATGAAGATGGTACACAGATGAAAAACACACAATATTTGTCCTTTCGGGTATCATTTGTGTACATTTACAGTAGATTGTAAAGACATTCATGGAAGAAGTAAATACCCTAATCTGAGCCTTTTAATAGTATTACTGCCATCAAATAGAAACACAATTTTTACAATTCTCTCAATTTAAAATGCTGTCAAAAGTCTATATCCAAAAGACTCTAAAGTTCAAATGGTTCTCCAACCAATGTCTCTGTTAATATTAGTGTGTAACAGAAAAAAGGAGTGACTTCAATTCAGCATGGGTTTACTTTATCATTATATCTATGACATAGACAACCAATAATTTTGACAAATCTACATCCAGACTACAGCCCTCCAGGATTTGTCTACATGATACTCTGCTGGTTTTTGCCACAGACCCCAAACTAAGTTTGAAGTGAGCATCTTTAATCCGACACGTTTCTTCACCTGTAAAGAGTGATCCTGGAACCTAATGGAGTGGATTTCTGGAGCCGTGCCCATCCCGATCATGTGCCAAACCACAGGATGACGGCCCTGACACACCGTCAAACCTACACACACAAACAGAGAGAGGTGGAGATGGGAAAATGGGGCCAAATTCCTGTGCACACCAGATGTAATGCTGCAGCTGATACACAGTGTTAGCAGCTCTTAACATTACAGCACATATTACATCATCACGGAACAGCCGCTCTGAGGCCCGCTGCTTCTTACCGGGTAAAGTGGAGTTGACATATCCATTGATGGTGTGGTATTCCTTCCTGCCATCGCTCCTCTTGAATTTCTCTCTGATCAACCTCTCTCCTGCTTCTCCGTACCAGCTTTTAGTCTCATCAAACACCGTAAAGAGCAGGACGAACGCTTGATCTCTCCTCTGGCCATCTTCTGTGAAGGCACCTGATAGGAACACGTACAAAACACACGCGACAGAGGATGAGTGAACATTTACAGGAAATACAACAGTATAATCATGTTACTTTCCTTCATTCTATTAATGAATTTGGTATTTTATGAAATTCTATAATTTTATGGATGGTAGTGTCTAATGTCTGGATGAGTGCATTAGTCTATCCATTCAAATGAACAGATATGAGAATTTTTTGTGGGCTTATAGGAAGTGATCAAGTGCAAAAAGCTGTGTGGTCACACTGTGTGATGGTACCACACGTAGGTATAAAAATGTGGAGGACCAAAACTTTCAAAGAATATTTACTAATTTTTGCCTGAACTGTGGGAGTGCAGTAGGCTGTCGTGCAGGCCGGTTTAACCTGATCTATTGTGCCCCTTTCTGTCGTTGAAAGGAATACCACTACAGCTGTTGGTGTGAATGTCATCAACACTAATATGTGTTAACACACTGAAAGCTACCACAACTTTTCCTCCACCAAGCGGCTGAACTGTCTACCTGAAGTGACTATTTTCACATCCTGGTCCACCCACACTCACGTTTACAGCCTTTCTTTTTGTTTGTGTCTCACATCAATGACTGAATGTGAGACAATTCAACTTCAGCATTCAATTTGAACTATTTTTAAACTTGAAATGAGATTCTAGAAAATGATCTTTGATTACAAGACCGTTCTGTTCATGCATTAACATTTAATGCAACTACAAGATAAGACGATTGTCTGTCACTGTGTCTGTCTCATTTAAGCAGTAAAGAAAGAATAACTGAGCTCCGGCTCACTGACTTGGTTTACAGATCAGCAGGGCGCCCACGAGTCCTGAGTTCATGTCTCTGACCGTGTCCACCCGGGACGAGTATGAGTAGGTGAGACAGTCGGGGTCGCTGCTGGTGGGGCCGTCTTTGGGGCTGATGTCCCACACGTATTCATAGTATCCTCCCGGAGAGACGGCGTCATCCTCCTTCTCCTGGCCTGTCGTAGAGTCATCATATCCAGCTCCTGGAAGATCAACACACAGCATGACTCCCAAAGCAGACCAGTTAAACTGCTGTATCTGCAGAAAAACAAGCTGTTGGACACACTAGCTTACACAGTTTCCTGTAAGGTACAACTTACATGAAACAAAAATTAACAAACAAAAAAAAGAAGTAAAATTCTCCTTTTAAATACAGAGACAACCACACAAAACTCACAATTAAAAACGGTTTATGGGAATAAAAAGTGGAAAAATGTCAATACAGTTAAACAGAACTCTTCAAAATGACTTAAAAATAAGTCAGAAAATATATAAATATTCTATAATGACACAAAGCCAGAGTGAAAAAGTGGACTTCTGATTCCCATTTAAAGATAAAAATATTTGTCTTCTGGAAGCTTGTTCAAGGAGTTTGGACAATAAAAGACTAAACCAAAGCACAGGCAGCTGTTTTTGTTCAGCTTTTAACAGCTAAAATAGAAAGAAAGGGTTGGAAGATGTCAGAGGCCTTCGGGCTCATGAAATGTCAACATATCAGACAGCGAGTGCAAAACCATGCTGCACCTTATGAAGCAATGAAGTCATTTTGAAATTAACATGAATCATAAGAATTTATGCCGATTTTCATATTAATCATCGCTGATTTTTGCAATCTGTGAAAACCAGTGATTGTTACAATAGTCTCAATAATTCATTTTAAAATCCTGGATCAGACTCTCTTTCCTGTCCAGTGACATAAAGAGCTCATTTCTGAAGATATTTTTCAAATGATACGAACCTGTTTTATTACAACTTGAATTTCCCTCAGGATGAGTAAAGTATCTGTCTCTATCGATCTGTTAATACACCAAACATGAACTGCCCCTTGATCATTTTGCATGTAGGCCGTGACAGTCTTCAAGTCACTACTCTGTGGATTCGTTTTTCTTTACAAACCTTTGAATTTATCGTCTAAATATCTGTTTGGTCTTCTTTTAGCTGTGTCACATTAGGTAACATTCAAATTATGGTAATGAGGCCTTAAAAAAATACACTTCCACACAAGTCCAACATATTCAGTAGCCTTTTCATCATCCTCATTAACAAAGGTTTATTCCTACTCAGGACATGAGCTGCTTTTCAGAATATGACAGGCTCGGTTTTTGGAATTTGCCCTGTGGCAGGAATACAGGAACCGCTTACAGGAAGAGACTTCTTGGGATTTATAGGAGCATTAGAACAAATGTCAATCTTTTTATAGAGGAGATTGAGCGTCAAAAGGTTCTCATGTGTGGAATATTATCCTCAGGCACAGCACAGGCCAAAAACCCTTGAAGAATGACTGTGCCCCCAACAGTCTCCATAAGACCTGCACACATGAGATAATGACAACCGTTGCTCTGAGTAGTTTCTGAGGAAAAAGGAGGCAGTTCTTTGTAAGTTTTATTTTCCTATGAATTCCTAAATACCTTATCTCTTTGTTCCTTGAGTAGCTTAAGAAAAACTACTGACTTTTACAAAGTATTTCCTTTTGGCTGTTTGATGTTCAAAGTTAAATGGACACAATCTAAAAGCGATTTCAGTTTTAAGAAAACCACATGGGGGTGTAAGGCGTTTTTTTGTTGCACATGCTCTTTCCATTGTTTTTTTTTTAACCTTAAAATGGACCATGAGTCATTGACTTGAGTCAGGTTCTTCACTATTTGACCCAGAGGATCAGAATGCTGCTGACTAACATTAGAGTTAGGGGGCACTAAGATTAGATTTTTGCTCAAGATGAAAATTCAGAGCGGACATGGCCGCAGACAGCATTGGAATCCTCACCCTCAGACTGTTTAGAGTAGGTGATCCCCACAGGGCTGATGCTGTAGGGCTGAGACGCCAAGTTCTTAAAGTGGACCACCACTCTGTCGCCAGCCTGGGCGACAATCACGGGGCCTTGAATACCTGCAAACATAAAACACCATGCTTCTTACCTGTTCAGCCATTGAATCTCTTCAGTTCAAACAATTCAAATGTGTTGGAGGTTTTTTTTTCTCTGAGGAGAAGACTTACCTGTCCAAGCTGGTCTCGGCTTGGGGACGGTATATGTGGAATCAATATATTCTCTATAGACTGCTTTGATGTATTTTTGAGGAATAGTTTTGGATTTCCCTCTAAGAAAAGAAACAGAAAAGAAAAAAAGAACAGAGATTCAACTAAGGTTCAACTTTGAGAACTCAAGACTTGAGACCACAGCACTCTCATGAACCACAAAAACTCAAAAAAAGGCTTTAAAATAACTCAAGCAATGAGGATTTTCTATGACCTACAGTAGTATTCATTTGATTTTTTTCCCCAGAAAAACTCAGAGAAGCGCTCACCCCTGATCGGAGGCTCGGTCAGCATCTCCCAGGTGGATGTAGTCCCAGCCGATCTCCACCGCCGCGATGTGGTAGTCCCGCACGGCGGGCGGGGACCAGCGCGGCCCCGGGAGGCAGCAGCCCAGCACCGGCAGCAGCAGCAGCACCAGGGCGCCTGTTTGCTCCATCTCACAGGGTCCAGAGGGCAGAATGAGTTCTGCTGCTCAGCCCAGCGGCTGAAACATTTAAAGGGAGGGAAGTGGAGGGAGGATGGAACACGTGGGGGGCTAGAAGGGGGCGTACTATAAAAATGAGACTCCAAGTGACGCAAATAATAGAATGAACTGCTAATAATGAAACAGTTGATAAACAAATAAGTTAGTAAATGTATTAACTCAATGTTGTTTTTGCGTTTTCTCTCAAAATGAATATTTTCTGGATGATTTATTATTTATTTGGTCTATTTTTCTGGTCATTTAGCCAGGGTGTGTCCTAATATTGAATTAATTTTCTATCTAGAATTCAGGGGTGGCCATTCGGTCATCTAATTTGTCCTATTTTGTAGGCTATGTGGTGGAATAAACCGGTGGGAGTCCAACTCCATGAAGACAATGCCTTCATAAGACATTAAATGAGATGACAGAAAATATGTATCCAGCCTCATAATCCACATTTACCTTTTATTAAAAACGTTGTTGCTGTAAAAAATGTGTAATGTAACTAATCTAATGGCCTGAATACTTAAACACTTAAAAGTGTTAAACAAAAGGAAGATCTATACATACAAGTGTAAGATTTGGTTTTAATACCTACCTTTACTGACTCCTAGTGGTAAAACTTAGGATGGTATTATGCATTCACTTCAAAAATGAAAAAAACTGAGCACAGCATATGTTTCTAAACTGAAAAACAAATATTAAGGGTTGTTTTATTAAAGGCATGTAATCTTAACAAAAAATGTCACTCATTTACAGAATACAGATGCTACGAAGAACAAGCAATAAACAGAAACGGGAGGTCAAAACAGACAAAATCCACAAGTATCACATCACACGTTGAAAAACGAAAATAGTTTGAGATAAAAATGTTTGTATTTGTAGGGCTCAGAGGGTAACGACAGAACGTCTTAACACACTCTGAAGCGCTGGGTTACGTGTGTTATATGTACAGTGGAGTATTAACAGCCAGCAGGAGGCAAACTGGGTATTTCACCCATTTTGAGAGTATAAAGATGATAAATTACATTGCAAATGTTATTGTTAATAGTATATCAGGCTCAATATATGGACTTCTTGTACAAAGATCTGAGCTGGTATGAATGGACACATATTACCAGAATTAGCTGAAGCAGCGTAACTTTATATTTGACTTTACCAAGCGTATCTGGCAGCTCATCAAGTAATGGAACCTTCATAAGAGGATTACACGACTTTCCTGTAGCGCAGGATTCCCGCCTGGTTCAATCAGCACACACTGTTCAAAAGAATGCGACACAAAGAACTGACAGCCATCTGCGGGAGCTCCTCATAGTTTCAGAGAGTTGACGTCTATGATCTGCTGCAGGATGTTGTCCACGTCTGCCGTCTCCAGACTGATGCCGCTCAGGTCCAGCTGGGGCAGCAGGGCCGTGAGCAGCACCACCACGTTGTTACGGATATCTGACAGATTCTGCTGGGCTGATCTGATGGAGGAAAGAACAACTAGGATCCTTAGCCGTCTGGGATTTCATATTTTGTCGTGCAAAAAGAAAAAATAGTTCAAATAAAAAAGGAAAACAGGGAAAGAAAAGACATAAAAGCTGAAACTTACTGGAAAAAGACATGAAGAAAAACTGTTTTATAACTATATACTAGTCTCCTTTCTTTTTTATTTGAACAAAATCATTTGATATATGTCAATGCACACACAAATGTAACAGCACTCACCTGCTGTTGTCACAGGCCTCGCTGTTGCCCGCTGTCATCCTGCCTTGCCCCTCACTCCGCTCCTTCCTGGGTCTGTTAGTCTCCGCCGGCTCCTTTGGATCACACACAGCTCTGTGGCCCTGCATGAGCAGCCCCTGAGGCCCGGGACCCTGAACCACTGTGCCAGTGGCTGAAGATGACCGCTGGTGGACAGAGGAGGTTCATCAGAGCCTGCTTTTAGGCGGACTAAAATAAAGCCTGCCATATTTCTCTTTTATTCAATAAGCAACAACGGTATTGTTTTTTTTTGGTGACTTCTATCATAATTCAGCATCTTCTATATTTAAAAGGAAATGCCTTTAGACTTTTTTTGTTATTCATTTTCCTAACACAGCATACTGACCTCAGCCAGGTAGGTTTGACAGCCGACCTCTCTGGATGCTTTTGGTCTAATGGGACCCTGTTTCAGCTTTTCAGCACCGCTGTCATCAGTCGTCATCGTGCCTTGGGTCGTCTTGGTGACCTCCTGGCCCAGAATGCTCCGGAGCTTCTGAACCTCCTTCTCCAGCGCAGCCAGCCTCAACACTTTGGCCTCCGTATCTCCTCCCTCTGAAGGCAGCACCCTGCTCTGTGAGGCCTCTCTTCTGCTCAGAGGGGACACCACCATGGTCTGGGTGGCAGGGAGAGACTGGACCCTGGGGTGGGAGGCGGGGATTTGCTGCAAAGTGTCCGAATGTTCTACTGGGCCACTGCTGTTCCTCCTGATTATTTTTGTCGGTTTGACGAGATGGGGATCCTTGGTGGCATTTCCTGGGTCAAACTGTTGTCCATCCACATGCTTCTTGTTGATCACACAGTAATACACAGATTCTGACTTCCTTTTGAGGCTACAGAGAACAAAGAGTTAATACACATGTTTTTTCCAACATGCATTCCTATGTAACTGTATATTCTTTATATAATTCCAAATCCATCAATTTAACTTTTATAGTTATAATTTTATAGTCTCTCATGTCAGACAGGGGCAGTTTGTGTATTTAATGACCGGTCTGTGCCTTTTAGCTCAAAGAACTGCCACCTTTTGGTGATTCCACTGTTGCTCTACATGAGTCTGAACCCACCTTAAAGAGTTGATGCGCTCGTCCTGTCTCTCCAGGCATGTGTCCCCCCTTTTGTCACTCCCCGTCGTTTCAAGCCTCTGACCATTTCCCAAATGTGTTTGTGCCTCCATGAGTTCATTCTTATCTTTAATGACGGAGTCTCTTCCAATAAGCTTCTCTTTTGGTTGTGTGGATGGCTGTGTCTTTGCATCATCACTTGTGTAGGTGTCTACATGGTGATCTGAGAGGTCTTGTGTGTTTAAGTCATCATTTTCAAATGTCTTTTCCTCAGTTTGGCGACTCATGGGTGAAGGCGAATGCTCAGGCGTATATTTAAACTGGAATGTAGGCTGAAAAGGCTCTGATGAACTGCGTGACAAAATTTTATGTTTAACCATTTCCTCTTCGTAGTGACAGACCTACAAAACAACAAAACACTCATGATATATCTCTTGTCTATGTATAAAATCAGAACTGAGAGAAAAAAACACCACATACCTGTAATGATTTCTCTCGTTTTCTGAGTTTGGATTGCTCTCTATAAGGGAAACAAATAATGATAAATTTTTTAATACATTTTTTCACTTTTACCTTTAAATTCAAGTCAACAGAACACACCATCTTCGTTCAACATCTTTCTTTTAAATAGCATGGAGGGCACATGTGTTAAAATAGTCGCAGAACCTACCCCACATCTGCCAGTTTCACTGTGTTTTAAGCACATGCTCGCATGCAGACTTATTCTGTCCTGACACTGCTAAGCTGTAGCTTGGTGTTAACTCTATTTCTTACAATCAAGAAGTGCATCGAATAATGACACATTATTAAAAAATGAGGTGCAGGCCCAGTATCAATGCTGACATTAATGCAGTTCAGCTCAGTATTTGTATCGTGTCAGCAGGATTATTGTTATGGTAACTAGAGAAGAACTTGGACAGTAGCGCACAAACAATATCTTGTTATAAAGGTTATTTTCTTTAAAAAATGTCTTTTCTAATCTAACTGACCTGGACTCTGTGTAAAAAAGGAATGAATCATATTAAAACTCTTTAGATTTCATCAGAAAAGATGTTGTAAAATACTGAGTTAAAACTGTTTTTAGTAAAACTCTACACCTATGGCCAACAGCACAAGCTAAACTTTTCTCTGAATGTCAGAAACAGTCTCTGTCACATGGACAATTGCCGGAAGTTAGAGCATGAAAGTGGCAGATGGAAACCACAAAATGCCTCTTGAGCCTACACGCACACAAAGAGGCGCGTACTAAGAGAAACCATCCCTTCATATGCGAGTTCGGGTAAAAACAGTCAAAATGTGAGAGATCTTGAGAAATGAGAATTTACGGTTTCTTGTGGTTTTTCTGGTAGCTTGGTGTTAACTGCTCTTCTCTCTCCTCTGCTTCCTCTGGTGACGAGCAGCTTCTGCAAAGACGAAGAGGCCCGACTTAGCAAGTCAAATTGTGTATAGTAAAGCAATATAACACACACACACACCCCAGGTGAAGAGAGAGCCTAATGTGTTGTGGTTTTCACAGTTTGAGCAGAGATATGCATTTTCTTTCCTATATATAAGGACAGAGGTTCCATTTCAACAAAGGTGAACATAATGAAGGTGAAAAGCCCCCCCCCCCCAGTTTCTGCATTCATTTGAAGAAACGGTGCCCCAAGTTGAGTTATTTTTTGCTTTAAACACAACACGACTGAAAAGACTGACCTGTATCGGGGATTGGGGTTCTGGCTGCAGTTCCAACTTTCAGGAGTCACTTTATAATAGTGTGAGGGGACGCTTCGCCATTTCAGACACTCTTCACACTGTAACCACATGGGGCCCCTGTAAATACCAACAAGTCAGAACCGACAGTTAAAGAAGGAATTAAAATAGCACATATCTCATCGAAGACAATCAGAACATGAAACTATCTCTCAGCAGTTCTGGTTACATTGAACTAAAACATCTTCTGTTCAACTACTTTAGATTTTCTACGCCAGAACATCATATCAGTTATGACGTTCAAAAGTTTCTTGCTTCAACAAGTTAGCTCCAGAGTCTCAAATCTCAGATTTCAAGCTTTGAAAAGTAAAACTGATGATTTTTTAGGCATTATGTTTGACGACTGGACAGGTTACAGCGTGAGAAGTTATCTAACTGACATGCAGCTTCTAAATGGGGCTAAATGGGGCTAAATGCTTATAGGGAAATAGAACGTGCACTTTCTCAGTGGTAGTTACAGTTTCTGCCACACCAGGGCAGATACACCAAGACTCAATGAACGATGACATCCTCTGAACAATATCAACCCTGCAGTGTTCAGTTTTCAAGAATATTTTAGAATAAAAAGAAACTATGACATTTTCTTGATTACATATTGCTAATAAGATTAGTCCTCTGTCCAGTCTTCAATATAGAGCATTGAGAGCTTAGCCAGATAGAGTTTCAGATCAAAGATGCAGCTCTGAATCTGCCCATACAGAACAAACCCTGTAAACATGGACACAGATCAAACACTCTGAGAGCAGGTTTCACAGGTAGGAAGATGGAAAAGATATGTCAGAGCCAAGTATACGTGTCACTTGCAAGTAGCAGGGATTTCTTCAACAAGAACAGGCTGACACTCACTCGTCAGCTTCTTCTTTGTCTTCGTTGTCATCTTTGTCTAGAGCCTGAAACTCTCGCTCTCTGGCTTTTTTCTCTGTCACCTCCTTCCAGTAGTCGTTCAACTTTAGGCCCAAAGCTCCAAGGGTGAGTCTTGAGAGTAAAAACAAGGGAATAAAAAATCATTTTCATTACAAAAAAAGCAGTTGCGGGAGAACTACGTCGATCAAATCTTTGGAAGAAGTGTTCTCCAAACCTGTATTCTTTGGTGTACTCAAAGTCCTGCTTGTTGTGAGCAGGTTTGAGAAAGTTACACTCGATGACGCCGATGACCCCAATCCCTGCTCTCTGACCGGAGGTCTGGAAGGGTGTGAGGAACAAGATGTAAGAGGGGGCAACGCTCCAGCTGCTCCAGCAGAAACCTTTCCCCTTACCTTGAGCTGGCAGCCCACTTTCTCGTATGCCTTAATGAGTCGGTTCTTGTGGTACATCATGATGCCATAGTGGTCCTTGTTCTTGGGGTTTAAGCCAAAAGTCACCTTCACTTTTTCTTTCTGGCAGACACCAGTTAAGGATGGCAGCGCTAAATGTTTAGAGGTCAGTTTCATTGCAAAGTCCAACAATTCAAATAAAGCTTAATACCCAAAAAACCTCCAGCATTAGCGTTGGTTCTAACTGCTGATTGTAAATCTTCTCTACTATCATCTTGCTTCAGGTCTATCTGGGAGCGTTTGGCTGGTTTTCAAAACATTCACGTGAGCTGGAGAAAAAAAAACTACATTCCACAATCATTATCACTTCAAAGGAAATATCGGTCAAACTTGCAGATGAAAGTGAAAAAAAAAAGTGAAATGCAACAATTTTGTTGTACCTTCTCATTTCATCTCAGTAAGTAAAGTAGTTTAATTTAGCCCCCAAAAATCACATTGCTCATAATTCTTCCTTCGTTTCAAAGTATACATGCGGCATGAGTAAAGATACACTGAACTGCGGTTTGTACACGTCATGCTCAATGTATGTCAGCCTCTTTGAGACAAGTTTGGCAAGGATCTTCTTCCCTCTCAAAATGATCTGAGTCCTCGGCTTCAGGTACAAGATACTGAGGTAGGCCTGAGATAAAAAGCAAACAAACAAACAAACAAACAAAAAGAGAGTAAAAAAGTGAGAGTTTTAAAATCTAAATTTCTACATATCTTGTTCTATTTAGTTATTTTTATCTGTCCAACGGTGTCTCCCCCCCACCCCCCACCCCACACCACCCCCCATAGCCACTGCATCTGCCACCACCTGCACCTGCATTCACCTTTCCTTAAAATAACAATTTTCTCATAAAAAATGTACTGACATGGTCAAAGTACTGTGACAAAGCGAACCCTGACCTGTAAAAATAAAACCTATAAAATGTGATATGCAGACTGACCTGATAGCTGCAGAAGTTTAAGAAAATCTTAAACTGTATATTTTGCTGTACACAGACAACATATATGTGCATTCCAGTCGATTTTTAACTGCCTCATCCCCCCCTGATTAAGATATCCTAATCAGACATATAATTAGGAAAATGTACACACAAAAGTGAATAACTTTTCAAATGTGTTTTGTAGGACTATGTGAAGTATGAAGAGCCTGAAGGTGTTGAGATGTTTTACCAACTCACCCTAAGGCTGTAATACATGTCTGGAACATTCTGCTCAGGTCTCAGGGATCCACTGTTCCTCAGACCCTTCTTGAGTTCTTCAACATGGATGTCAGGCAAGCGAAAGTCTGCTTCATCACTCTCAAAGTCGATCTCCGTCTTACCGTCTTTGGCTCTTTAGGTGAAGGAACAGAAAACGGTTGTGAGAACAGCTTGTGACAGCTCGTCTGCTTGTGCTGTGAGGCTACCCCAAAGGAAGCCCAATCTGCCATAGCTACATTTTGTTTGTTTGCAACAAATTATAATTCACTTTTTCACCCTTGTGAATTAATTAGGCCCATATCTTTAAATACCTTCCACAGGATGGGTGAATATGCTCATTTGGTCGCCTTTTTTTAATTTTTTTTTTTTATAATTTAGTGTTAAGAGGAATTTAAATAAAAGGTATGAGAAACATAAACAAATTTCTTGGACACCAAGTTTTCTTAATTCTCATAGATTAAATCTATGAAAATGAAGAAATCTTCCCATTGGCAGATGCAAATGTGGCTCTGCTCCTCTAATAATGACGTCAGTTTGATTTTGAATATGTTTTGTTCACCATTGATTTGCCTAAAGCAATGTCTAAACAAATGTGAGTCTGCGCAGTCTGTGACTGCATGCTCAGCAGTGTCGTGGGCTACATTTAAACTCAGCTCAACAAACACCTGACACTTAAACCGGAGTTTGGAGTGCACTAAAAATACAACACCATATTGCTCTATAAAAGAAATGTGTTTTTCATAACCAGGATTTACATAACTAACACAGTTTGAGCAAAGAAGAACAATTTCATCATTCATAATTCTCCAATCATCTAAAACAACATATTTTTACCTGCGGACACTCCAGATTAATATCTTGGTGCCTTTTTTGGAGGGAATGGAGTCAAAGTGAGCATGGATCTGTTCCTCGGAGTTGACGATGGAGTGTTGGAAGATGGCTGCCAGGCTGGCCTCTGAGTCCTCGGTCACAACCAGCGACTGTGATGTCAAATTAAGGTCTGGACATAACAGAGTCTGAATACACCTCGTGTCCTGACTCACGCTGACATACCTGACATACCAATTCTCAACAACAAACACACAAATGCGGAAGATGTCCAAATACCGCTCTTATGTTGACTCTGTACGTCACATTTATTTGCAAAGGATATTGGTTTGCTGGTTGAAGGGAACGATAGGGATGATGACAGCCTGGGCTTTGATGTTTTCCAGGTAGGTCTGAGACAGCAGGCCCACCGTCTGACAGCCCCCGTTCTTGGTGAAGATGAGCGCGTCGCGGCCCAGGCGCATGGAGCCCGACTTGAAGCCGTTCCCATACACCCCGATGGCCTGCAGGCTGGCCTTACCCGAGCCCTTCTCTGTGAAGCCAAAGCTACACCCAACGATGAAGACCGATTAAACGACGATGCTCATGTATATATGATGAAAAACAACTTTTACTGTAGTGTTTTTTTTTTTTTTACTAACTACATTGATTAAATGTTAGGAAAAGACACACAAATATTCCACAATGATCTGAGGTTGGGAAAATATAAGTGTGAGGCTGAATAAGTTGAGAAAAGACCACACTGAACTTTGATCCCTCCGGTGTTCGACGTGATCTGTGATTTGTTTTATGTGTGCACGTCACGTGGATCTGCTTGAGGCTCACCTGAGCATCTTGTGCAGTTTGCTGGGAGTCATGCCACTGCCATTATCAGTAAAAGTCAGACAGAGCTGGTCGCCGGCATGAACAGCATCTATCCAGATCTGTCTGGCGGACACACCGGGGTCTAACGCATTATCTGGAATGTGAAGGACAGAATGAAACGGCCAAGTGTGGAGCCAGGAGGACACAAGAAAGAGAAAAGGTTCCATCCGTAAAACTTAACAATCAAAAGGTTTTAGATTAAAATAAAAAAAAGCTTTACACAGTCTTTCACTGCAATGGCCCTCAAAAGCAGGTTTGTTGAAAATGCAACGCTCATAATAAACCATCAAACTTCAGCAAGTCAAAAACTAAATCTAAAGCTAATGCAACTAATCTAAAACTATGAACTGAAACTCAGGCCTGGACATGTTGATGCTCAGACCAAACGAGGCCGTTTAATTGCTGCAGAGAGATTATAGTCTGGTGGATGTTAGCGCTGATGCTTTGAGAATTGCCCTTTTTCTGTTACTGTTTGGCTGTTTGGCGCTTTGACCTCCAGCTTCTCACTGTGTCACTGGATCAATCACAACCTCACATAACTTCTAAATGTTTCCCCCACCCGAGCTCTTTGGACAAGTGTTTGCAACGACCACCAGCTCCTCTGCATGGTAAGAAATGAATTAAAAATGTGTCCTGTCCCAACAATATGTGTCTGTTGGGTTTGGTTTCTATGTTCTTTACGGTCTTTTTCACAACTCTGACAGGCCAGGCTGAAATGGGGGGGTTGGTTTTGGAAACACACTGTTCCCCTTTTTCTTTCCGAAAGAATGATCTAATCTGCTGAATGACTGAATTCTTTTTTCCCCCCCCAGTAGGACCAGAGACGGCTCGCTCCGATGTGCCAAGCGCTGCACCTTGTTTTGGACTGATCTCAGCAGAGGCGCCACAGGAACGACAGACAACTGGCCCAAGCGGTTCCTGCTAAAAAAAACCCTCAGGCGACAAAGCCCGTCTCTCGTGAGCCAATGAGAGCTCACAGAGTGGAGGAACCACGGCGGTGACAGCTCACACACCGAGTCACATGCAGGCACGGCCCGACCGATTTAATGGTTTAAACAAACTTGAACACAATGAGGAATTAGACTGAAAGCGAGGACAGAAAACGCTGGCACAGGAAGTGTCGTGAAAAAAAATGCATGGAAACTTTTTTAAAAGCGCATCCTGCATCACAAAAGCCCAAAACGCGCACTTGTTATTGCGTTATTTCTCTATTGTAACACCCTGAGTGGCAACAAGCGGCCCTGTGAGGCTATTTAGGGGACGGATGCTGCCACTGTGAAAGAGGAAGTCCGTTGGTCTGTTTCTGGCCTCACCAGGGTCTGTTTAACACCCAAGTTTGCTCCGTTTCTGCGCGCTGGCGGAAGAGCGTGCAAAATGAAACCATGAAAACATGCAGTCGCACGACAACAGAGTGCAGGTGCGCAGGTCCCGAGCGACTTTTTCTTTCTTCCCTTCATCAACGAGCACCCACCTATTAACTCTGCCACCGCGCTGAACGGCCAGGTGTGACTCGTGGAGTTGCTGTTCAGGAAGGACGGACTCATCTGCAAAAGAGAGCAATAACTACTCGTGAGTCTGTTTCCGCTTCCATTGCGCTGCAGCCAAACGGAGCAATTGCGCGCGGCCTGGAGGGATAAACCCCCAAAAAGTATGACAATTCGACAAAAACAAAAACTTACGGAACTCAGGCGAATCCCATGCTCGCTCAGCCTGGCCATGTTTTGTCGCTGACTGCTTTTAATGCCACATGGAGTGTGCGCTCGCACAGCGCAGGTACGTCAGTGCGCAGAGCAGTGGGTGCGTCCTGTGGGTCCCGGCCAGAGGAAGTCAGACTGACTGTGCAGAGACAGGCGCCCAGAGGCTGCGCTCTCAGCTTCCTGCATGTTTCAGTGAGGACAAACGCACCACGCTATCCAACTATTCGATACTCGTGTGTGATTTCTTTGGCGATTGTTTTCCGTGTCAGATTCTGTGTTCGTCTGAAAGCTCTGTGTTAGTTTGAAAAGACACCCAAACGGAGACGGTGTCATGCTCTGAATCACCTGCTTTATGTCAGAAATATTCCCCAGGAAGGATTACAATGATAAAAATCACTTCCACTGCCTGTCAATAGCACGAGAATTAGTTAATTGAATAGTAGAAATATCTACTAATAAATGTTAACTAACTATATGGGGCCAATTCATTGCAGAGGACCAGACAAAAAGAAATATTTTTTGTGGAGTCTTTTATTCCCCAACTGTATTCAGAGAGAACGCAGCCTTCATTTATCATTTTGAGGAGATAGGAGAATAAATCAAAAACACTTTCCCTCTCAGTAAAGTTAATTTAGCTACTTTAACCTTTAATAACAAAGACAGAGAACAGTAGTGCCTGCTCTCCTACATAAACAGAAAATAAGACACTCAGCCACATCACTAGAACATATTACAGGGATATTTCATAAATAAACAGTATGATACAATTTCATCGCTCCAACATGTTATTACAACCAATCCTGCACGAACTTAAATAACTTATTTTGAATATATCAATGAGAAACGTCCAGTGGATAGCCTGCAGCTTTGATTTATGGACACAGCATACAAACACTCCTCTTTCTCCCTTCTGTGACGGACATCAATATACAAAATATACTTTTAGTAAAATAAACTATTTATGACGCCGTAACAAGGATTTTTATCATTAAATGTGTCACTCCGCCACTCCGCCACTGAACTTTGAACTCATGGAGACAGCGCACACACACACCTGATGATGTCCTTCCACTTACAAAGTACATTTATTCGTCACACACCAGCTTATTGATATTGTAACTCTCATCTATCTACTTTTCTAACTGTTACCTCTGTGATTTACCATTTTCGGTCTGTTCAGAATAATTCAGTTGCCAATAACGGTCATTAGCTGTCACTAGCTTCCCAGTGGGCAATATTTCGCAGATCTGATGGGACTTCTGAGTTCTCGCAAGATTTGTAGGTGCTAGTCTCAAGGTAATGATATGGTATTTTACTCCCCTATTCCTCAACCAATGCACGAAAAGCACTGTAGCCCCAGTTCACCCGGCTACATTTCTCCCCTGCTACGAGTCAACGTCCTTTATGCATTAACGGTCCCTTTCAGTTGTGATGAATTTAGAACCATACCGGCTAGAGCCTGAGAGAGTACGTCTGGGCTAAAGATCACTGTGTTGCATGCAGATATAGGCAAGTTAAAAGGGTTTCTGTTTTTCCCAGATGTTGCTCTCGGACTTCTGCGTGGGGTGGGAACGGGTGTGTCACCCTGGCCAGTTCGCTCTTTTCTCTTTCCGGGAACAGGCACGGGCCTCTCCTCTGGCCCCGGAGGAGAACAGGGGAGTGGTTCCTCCTCCCAGTCCTCATCAGGACTGTCACTCACTTCCTGCTCTAGTCCCTTGTCATTCTCCACCCTGCTCTTAGCTTTACCACACGGATAGCTGTCTGTCTCAACAGTCATCGAATGCAAATCCTCTGGTTCTTGAGTTTCTTCATGGGTAGCTGTGACACAGTGGGTTATTATCTGAGATGATGGTGAACTTTGACCCCAGGAGATAACTCTGCCCACTTTATGGCTAGGAGCTCCAATGTCATGTTGCTGTAATTTTGAGAATTATTTTCTGCCCCTCTGAGCGTCCGGCTAACATAGGCTATGACTTTCTTTTTGCCCCCTTGTTCCTGATACAGAACCACCCTTAGGCCTGGACTGCTGGCATCGGTCTGTAGAATAAACGGGAGGATGAAATCTGCAAAGCCTAGTGTCAGCAGTCATGAATTTACATAGAATGGAGCTTCATCTTAATAACATGGGCTGATGAATTTATTTACTTAACTCTTCAAACTGACAAACAAAAACTCAAATGTAATGACAGATGTCTTCATATTGAAACACCTGACCTATTAGTTTGTCTCAGTGGCAATGACAGGAAAGCGGTTTTAAACTTTCAGAAGCGTTATAATTTAGTGTAATGTATTTTTAAGTATGATGTCTGTTTCATCATGCATGTACATTAACTGATTACACATCATACCAACGTGTTCATGCTTATTTTTATTTAAAAAAACATAACACAAAAAGCAGAGCAAAGTTAATGGCTCCTTGTATGTTGATATTAGGTATTAAGAATCAATGGCCATAATAACAGAGTTAATTTGTTTGAGGTGTGCGTTACACTATTTCTAAAATAAGATTACTTCCTTGTTAAGTCAGTGCCTGACAACACTGCCACGTTTCAATGATGACGTGCTATCACCGAATTACTGAATGTGTACACCATTCACAAAAGCACACGCTATTTGCCTCAGCATGTGAGATGTCCTATGATTGGAAGAGTTCTTCCACACAGCTGCCTCCCAAGAAGGTGTGTTTATGGAAAGTGGTGGTGCATGGGTGGGGGGAAAAACCACTGTGCTCACTGGAGGTACAAGACTAACAAGTTTTGAAGGTTTCCACTGGGCCAACAAACTACAACAGGTAGTTCAGTGTAACAATATTCAACTTTAGTTTTTTCAAACAACGGAATTGTGTGTTTGTATTTTGAAGATCAAAATTGGGATTTTTTGATAACAAGAAAGTGTGAAAAATAGAGGGGGGATTTCCATTTCTAATCAGTGAAACCACCATCATATGAAATTTTGCACATATGTTTCTGGAAGGCCACATCTGACTGAACTACAGGGAAACTGTTGCTCTCAGACTGCCGGTTTACTAGTTTCTAAAGGTATCGGTCCTCTGTGGGACCATCTGCCAGTATATATCCAGGGCTTAGAACTTTCCTTGTTGACAAAGCTTACATTTAGGGATGGTTCCAGTGACCCCAGTGTGGCTAATTGGACACTCCAAAGCCCCAGCTGGTTACGGCAGACAGCCACAACCAGTTCTGCCAGAGGTTACTTCCTGTTGAAAGGGGATTCTTTTTCGTTCCACAGAAACCTCATGCATGACAAACATTTTCAACTGGCTTGTAAATCAGTTGGACAAATTGGGAAATGAATTAACTGTGTGTATTACTATTGTATCACATTGAATTTTTGTAGGCTTGAACTAGATGGTTTGTTGTGATGGTTATTATAGTCCAACACAACACAATTGGAGCATCCAAAATTTCAGTCCTGGGAAGGTTTCTGTAAACTAACAAAGCAGCTGCTATCAAAGATAACTAAAGATAAAGAAATAAGGAATCTGTAATAACATTTGAAAAAATAAAAAGAAGAAGAAAAGCCATAATTTTATTTTATCCTTCATTTGTTAATTAAGTCAATTCCTTGTGGCATGAAACAGTCCCCATCGTTGGTCTCCACTGTTGGAACGTTCCAGTTTCTCTTTCCATCCATTAACTATCGCTAAATAATCCTCCTCAGAGAATTCCTGCAGGGAACAGAGACAACATTTACTGTCCTAATATCGTGTCTTTCATGGCACAAATCATCTGTGTGAGGGTGTGTGCACTTGTGCATTAACCTGGATGAATTCCTCCTTGATGGCCTCTGCTCTCTGCAGCTCAGTCTGAATGACTTGGATGAACTGGGCTGTCCGATCCTCAGCCCGAACATTAGAGAAACCAGCCTCCTGAATAAACTACATGGACAGTCAGAATGAGGATGAGTTGAAACAGCACCACCTCCTGAAGGGTCATCGTAATACAAGAGCACCAGATTTATGTAGGGCCTTTATGAAAGACAGTAGAGACTTAACAAAAATATAAAGCTTTAAAAGGAGCCAAATCCACATGATTTAAATATCTTGTACAATTTTCATATGTAGAACACATGATGAATAAACTGTTTTCTCAACTTTTCCATCCGTGTTAATGCTCATTTGCTACAATTTTTTCCCCGATTTGCTTCAAGGGATGTGGTTCCACCAGGCAATAAGTGGATAACACATATGGGCAAAATGATGAGGAACAAGATGAAAAGAAGTATTATATAGATGCAATAATTTGTGTAAATAAAATTCAGCTCAAGAACAATTATTCAAAATGTTTTTGTCTGATATATTCCCACAACATCGGGTGCAGAGATCAGCATCCTTGCATGCACGTGGACAACAACAGTATATATTAATTCTATATCGGTTTGATTAATCTGTAATTTAAGGTGAAAACACAACTAACATGTACAAAAATATTGAAACTACATTAACTATAACAGTCTAACTGGTAGACAGTCCTCTATATTCAGGAGTAGTTAAACAATTTGTTAAGTGAATAAACACAGTTTGTTCCATGACTAAAGAAAGCTTAATAGCCTCATTTAACAGTTAACGATAGAGCCCCCCTCATAATTGGTCACAGTAAAACTCCACTTAATTGTTTTTTTTTTTCTTTGTGTCACGGTTTATTTCAGGTTTTATTTGTTTTGTTCTAATCAATGTTAGGCTTTAACTCCCTCATTCTTTTAGGGTGAAATGGATGACTCTGGTTCAATGGTTTTTCATATTACTGTGGTCATGTGGTCTGGAGGGTAGCAGCCACTCTTCTAAAACTGCTATACTGTTCCCTAAAATTGTTAGTGGTTTTGTGGATGCAATCGCTTGCTTGCTATGATGTTCCTCTGGTAGTCAGTTTAAAGGTTGTAGTGGTTAATGACATTTTTTGACCGCTGCGTGTCATTTTGATGGTTTTACAGCAGTCATTTAAATGTTATTTCAACTGTCATTAGTTGTCATTTATATTTTAAAGTCAAACATTTGTTGATGGCAGCTAATGCAGTGATGTTTAAACATATGTGTTGGGATGTAAGGATATTCAGCTGATATAATATTCAATTTATTCGTATTGTTTCTCAGCTCTTCCTTTTGTGTCACTTGGATACCACTGTTTCTAAAATTTGAGTCTAAATGAACACTTTTAACTTGATGGGAGCTACACCCTATTCCATCTTGACTTAAACTCTTGGTTTTTAAAATAAAATGAGACAGAAGATCAAAGTATTATTGAAAAGTATTAGGACTGATATAGCAGTGGAAGGTGGTCATATCTAAACTTCCACGAGCCATGAGCTCTGTTTCAGGTTTACCTTGCCGTATTCAGAGGGTGTATAGAGGACGTAGCCTCTCTGTTTCACATAGGCCTCAAACGTTGGCGTCCAGGGCTTCTTCCCACAGCAGTAGTCACTGATAAGAAGCTGGCCTCCTGGCTTTAACCATGACTGGATACAAAGAAACAGAGTTAGTGATAAAGAGTATTATTTACTTTTCCTCCATAACAAATTCTGGATAAACTATCTCAATGTAATGTTTTAACACAATGCTACAGTAAAAAAATGGAGAGACTGCTCACATGGAAGCGTTTAAAGAGAGACAGTTTGTCATCTATGTGCAGGATTGTGTCTCTGCTGTAGATCACATCAAATGAACCATCAGGAAATGTCCTTTTGGTGGCATCAGCCACCTCAAACTGCACCTGAAGTTAAAGCAACATCGTTCAGATGTTTCTAACAAACTGACAAATTATTTAATCAAATCGAACAGTTTGGCGATAAAACACAATTGATGACAAAACACATACTGATGGGAGTTTTTCGGTTGCTGCCCTCTCCATGGCAATTTCCACCATGTTGTCGGACAGATCCAGGCCGAGCACCTCCACTCCAAATGTCTGCAAAAAATACGATCCATATCTACATTTAGATTCTTGTAATTATGACGTACACACTGCAGAATCTCACTGTTGCCACTAGCTGCTGTCTCTGATTTGTGCCTGTTACCTTTGCCATGTAGAAGTCTCCTCCCCCGATACCACAACCAACATCCAGAACCTTCTGCCCCGGCTTTAAGTTCAGCAAATCCACAAACACCTGTTAGCATACACATTTAATTTTATTTTCATATTCTATCCAGGATGCATTTTTGTGCACGCTCTGTATAAAGTTATATTGTTTTATCCAACCACAGATTTTTTTTTGTACATATAAAAGAAGCATCCACTTGGCTGCTCACCATAAAGGCTTCAATGATTGCGATGTAGCAGTAATCATTATCTCAAAGGGAGCTTCTCCCGTCAATAAAAATAAAGCTGGCTTCAGGATATTTTTCTGGATATTTTGGGCCCAGAAATGACGATGCACTTCACATCAGAACACTTTCTACTGGCAAAGCACACTCACAGCTGAAAATGGGATAAAATGGTTGAAAGTGTTGTTGCTCAGCTTCCCTTTTTGGTGGCCACCATCTATTATGCTTTATGTTTCCCTGCTTAGACAAACTTGATTCAAATTTAATGGCTCTAGTCATCATCTTGCCCTCAAGGTCTGCAGCAATCCTGACCAGCATGAGCAATCACTGCAAATGTCAGGAACTTTCACCTGGTCCTATATTCCTGAAAACCTCAATTGATGCCTCAGTTCCATAGATTGTTGTAGACTTGCTGTTTGTCTTGTGGATTTCCCCTATATTGGTCTCTCCTTTCATTCATTAAATACTCCTAATGTTCTCTTGGAGGGCTGCTGCCTAACCCGACAACTTAAACCTGAAGAGGTACAAAAGTTCTCAAATTGTATCCAAAAGCAGAACATGAGTAGTGGCAGGGTCTGAATACCCCCCGAGGAGCTGAATAAAGGGTTCACCTGAGAAAAACAAGGCTAGTGATTACAGTGAAAGCACCAATGTGTGCAGGTTTTCCACGTTTGTTTTGACCTTACATTCAGTGTCTTTCAAAGGATTGATTTCTTTTGCGTTATTGCCAGGTCACTGTCAGACATTTGTGCAGCTTCACAGATAATCAATGATGAACTTTGCCATTGCTGGAAATTCTTAGATTTTGTTGAAAAAATAATCTCTCGAGGGTCACGGCGTCCCTTGGTTCATGTCTCTTTCTTTGGAAAAAAGAGAGCGAGTCTTACAGCTTGTCAAGCACAAATATAATAGATGGTTTAACAGAGAACAGAGGAAGCAGAAGAGTTTCCTCTGACACAGCTGATAAGGTAAAGTTAATTTGTAAGTCGTGTAGCATTTGTTGTCTTTAGTTGGCTTTTGTGATACTTTAAAAAATGACTGAGAAATTAAAGGAATGTGAGGATTTTACCAATTTTACCTGAAAAACAGACTAAAAAGAAAGGGTTCCTTTCACTAACATGCTTGACTCCTTTCAGCCGTTTTCTTGTCTTACTGACTTCTTTCCTACCCTGGTGGTGCCGGGGCCGCCCGTGCTGACGTAACCAGCCCCGAACATCTTCTCGTAGCGCAGGATGCCTCGTCTGGTGTACTGCTGGTTGTCCAGGAACTGCTGGAAGGTGGTGAATCCCGTCTGGGCACTGGAGCAGCGGGGGACCTTCTGCAGCAGCCAACAGATCTGATTTGGATTGTTTTTCATCTGAAAGAGGAGGAGGATGAGGACAGATGGGTGTAAACCACATAGCAAAGTGCAGTATTGTGATCGTTTGATTTATTTGGCATTTGGTTGCCCTTACGGTACCTCAACATAGGTCTGGACTTTCTTTCTCATCACAGTTTCAAAACCAAACTTTTGTCCTCCGTCCGGGCCCTCCACTTGCACTGAAGATGCCGTGTGACTGTACTGGGCCTCACTGCGGTAGTAAGTGGGGTTAAAGTCCCTCTTGCTGTCACCTGTGAAGAGATTTAAAAAACTTAACCGTCTTTCCGTCTGTTTTGAATTTGTAAATAAGTTACAGTGACCTCTGTAGCTAAATATTCATGATCCTATACAGAAGAATGTCAGATTTAAATGGGATACTTGTTGAACTATTAAAATCAATGACAGTTAGCCCACTACCTGACCGATGGTTACAAGACTCTCTGAAAAAGAGAAAGCCGCCAGGCTGCAGCCAGTTTAGCATTTTCTCCATGCAGGTCTTTAACTCCTGGTCACTCAGGTACATCAGCAGCCAGTTGGAGAAGATGAAGTCGATGCTGAGGACAAAAACAAATAACACCTTTAGAAAATAAGGGATGAAATATATTTCTGTTCTTCTTTCTCAGAGACTTTGTGAGTTATGAGCTATTGCTTTGAATCCACAACCTTGTGGATTCATTGGGAATGAAATGCACTGAAACTGGTCATAAATCTCAAGAATAGAACAACCGTAACACATCAGACATATAATATGTAAGAGTGTGTAACAGATCAACCTGCACCGGGATGACTGATGGAGCTTCAACAACTCCCTTAATTTGTGTGAAGGTTGTTAGATGGCACGGCCGGGTATGACCTTAAACGCCACTGGTGTACTAGTGTTTACTGTTGATGTGATGGAACACAGAAGCAAGCTTTTTATGTTTTGCTAATAATTTATGTGCACACCCTGAAATTTAATCCAACTACTGTGTGCAAACCTAAAGTTCTCACACAGTATTCAAATTATCCAAATTTTTGGTTAAATTATCAGACCTGATTATCTGTGTTTAGGAGAGATTGGTTTTAACAAAGGTGCTCAATCAAAATGACATCAGAAATATATTGTGCAAAACACAATAAAGCAAAGCTTAATTGGTCAGAGTAGAGCAGCGGTGCAAGATAATACTGATTCACCGATAAGGGTGAAAAAATGATGATTAAAATCATTCAAATGAATCCTGAATACTGTGGAAATTAATTCATTAGGTGGCAGATGATGAGAAAGTTATTGGATCACAGAACAAGCTTCATCTCATTGGTGACAAAAAGTTGAAAATGAAAGTTTCACAATTTTTTTTTAACATTTAGTCTTCTCCATAAAACATTTCTATCATTTGAACAAACATAGAGCTACATTTAAACATGTTTATGGACTGCAGGCATCTACACACACACACACCTGTGTTGGGGGACGTCCAGCTTTGTGACATCGGCTTGGATGAAGGTAGCGTTACCATGGTGACCGTTGTTTTGCCTGTTCTTCTCCACAAAGCTCTCCATAAAGTCCACTGCTGTCACGTGGGCAGCCTTGGTCAGCAGGTGTCTGGTGTAACGGCTGAAGAGAAACACGGTAACTGTCACATATGTAAAGTCCACTCAAATGTAGAAAAGTGTACCTCATTTTACTTTTTTTTCTTGCAGGAATACATTTAGAATTTTAAAAATACACTTGGCTTTTGGGGCTATGTATTTCTGTCATGACCTAAAATAAATAATGAAATCAGTGAAAGCGTTTCGGATGCAGCTGCATTCTTACCCAATCCCAGCTCCCAGCTCCAGCACTCTGTATCCGTCCAGAGGTGGCAGCATGGAGAGGATCTCTGGCAGCTCGTGCTCAGTCAGCTCGCTGGCACGAGAATCCAGCATCATCTCCTCCACTGTGGCCAGCTTGGAGTGCTCCTTCCAAAACTCTGTCATGTTGCAGCGAACTGTGAATACAAAAGTGTGTGATTAAAGTGGATGCTAACTATGATAGTTTAAGTACCATCAATGAAGAAGCAACTTTTAATTATCAGCATATGACTGAATGATCAAACAAAAATGACAAATACTACAAATAAATCATAGTACTGTAAGCCTCTGAATGATAGTGTCCCTTTACGATGAAGTGATTGTGGATAATAAGTGACCGATTAATTTGAACTATTGAACTATCCTGTGGCAGTAAGGTAAAAACTTAAATATAATTGTGTGCATAATTAACATTTAAGTTACGTTAAATCTAGTGACATATTTGACTGTCTTTTATTCTCAAAATGACATTTCATAAGCCAGAGTGATTATTACCAAACGTTTGGGAAATAATTCTTTAAAAATAAATATCCAGGGACAGTTTGACCAGCATTCAAATTAATCATTAGACAAACATGCTGAAGCAATCTTACAGTAACGCTGTGACGTGGAACATAAACATCTAGCAATTTCCTGCGTTCCATAAATATGAAGCTTTTATGGTTCTCAACAAGTTTAGACTTGCTCTCTGACAAAAACAAATCAAGAGATTCAGCAGAAAATCATTCTGTAAATGTGGTGACACCTCTAAAAGGTCTTTTGAGATTTCTATGATGTTTTTAGAAAGTGATGTCACTTGCAAGTAATAAAAGACTACTGTGCATTTCTTACAAAATAATAAAAACACTGGACTACAAATAGGAGACAAAATTTTCCCTCTGAAAATGTCCTGATTTTGTGTTGCTTTACAAAGTAGGCTCTAAACCTCGAAGAAAAGGTGACATCCATAGAAAAGATCTGTCCACAGAGCGTAACGCACAAAAGAAGGGATAACAGCAGTGAGGCTAACAAAGCTAGAGGATAATTTGACAGCTTTAGTCCCATCACTGATGCAATCCAGCCCAGCGCTTACACTGGGATTACTTCCACCAGCTGAGTGAACAATTACAACAAAGCAGCACGTGGTAGATTCCACCAAACAATACTTGGGTGCCATCATGTGCATCAGTCAAAAATCAAAAATCTCCAAAATGAAAGTTTAACAGTGGTCAGACATTGTGCTCATACCTTTCTCCATGGTGGTCTTTAGTCAATAACTGCAGCCAACAAATAAGATTCAAAACTCATTCAATCTGGCAATTATTTATAAACACTATACTATTACTGGCCCATTTGTCATTATTTGTTCATGTGTGGGCCTTTTTAAATAATGATGGCGCACGGAGGAGGTGGTCGTCAGGTAGGTGTCTGACCATTAGGATGCGCCCAATACGAGGCGAGGGGAGGGGATGGACATGAATAATTACACCGGCACAAGGGTGGACAGACTGGGAGAGCTTTCTCCTCTACGTGTGCTTTAACGCTACGTGAGGACATCAGATAGCAGTCAGCTGAGAGAGGATGGAGGCTCAGTGACGCGCACTTACGTCTTTCTGGACGACGGCTGCTCTGAACGGGTCTCCCAGCGACAGTCAGCCTCGGTTTGGTTTGGTCTCTCCTCTTCGGACTCGCGCTGACGCGCTGGAAATGTCCCGTGGCGCGCCACAATTACGCAACATTGCCTCACATTTGTTAAAGTGGAAAGGCGGGACTGCACAGTGGAGAACACAGAATGGATTTTACTTACAGATAGTTTACAATACTGTATGTCAAATATGGCTGTTGTGGATTTGATTCCTTTCTAAACTTTAAATAGACTGTTTCGAGGGGCTGTGAAAATCATATGTTGACAACTAAACAAAGTTTTTAAATAATTGATCCAGCTTCCACATAATCAGTGCATGAAAGATGATTTTAGGAAAGGAAAGAAAAAAGTTTGAATACTAGGATTTTCGGAGAAAATAAATAAACAATGAAAACGTGATGTGTTAAAAAAAAAAAACTGTTAAAAAACTTTTAACGGTTCAAACGCACCGTCTGTTGTGACCACTATATTTCAAATAAGTGTTGCACCAACTGATGGCAGCAGGAAACACAAACTGAAATCACACCCACAGAAAAACAAAATATAAGTGACTGAAGCCAGGGATGATTTTCTAAGCAACTTCATAAGAGACCCTAAAAAGCAGAAATCCCTCCAATGGCCACACCAGCATGAAAAATATCTGCTTCATCGTGAAAAAGTAGACTTGATTCAAGTGATTCAGTCACTAACATTAACATTACTGCTGTCACTTCCTGGTTGGGTTTAGACAACAACATTGTAAAAACAGATCTATTGGCTTCATGGATGCACCATTAATCCACCTGTAGCTACTTCTACCATCACCAGAGGTAGCACATTTTCTTAGTTTGATTATATAATTGATGTTTTCAGACATTCGCTAGAAGAGGAAACTTTAGATTTTATTGTTCCTAATGATGCTGTTTGTGTAGAAGACAGAGCTCCATGTCCATCATTACGTGAGCTTGATTTAGTTTCTCATCTTGTGTAGTTGGTGTAAACTTGGGTGGGGGAGGTGTGAGCATGTTCACGCTCACACAGACTATTACAAAAGTTCTCCGGGGAGTGGGTGGGTGGTTTCCTGTCCCCACACATGTCACCACAGTCATATTGGGTTGTAAATTTTGAACATTAGCAGTGTCACCTATCTCGGCTAATAATATCATCATTTTTATTCTGTGCTCTTGTGCTTTTACTGCTTGTACAGTTGTTGAATCCTCACTGCTGCAGGCCTGCACTGTACCTTGACCCCAGTGAGAATGAGTTAGGCCCAAAGTTTGCTCTCAGTTGTCCAAATTTAGATGAGAACGGATCAAGATGTTGTAACACAGGACCATTTGCTCTAATGTTAAGCAATTTTCTGATGGTGTGTTTAAAAAAAGAATGCATATGTTTCTCAGTGAAAACTGCATGACTGGTAACAAAAGTTTAAAACTGTAAGAGGATATTTCCAAATTATGTAATGGAATATTTGAAACCATGTTTTGCTCATGGTTGTCTTAAAATTTCTTCAACAGGTGAATTTTCTCATGCTGTTTGATTTGCTACTTTAAGAAATAAAATGATAGTAAAGATGAAGATGATAGTAAAGTAAAGACTGCTGGTCATCCCATATGAATTTGAATAAAAAACAGTTAATTGTTAAAAATGAGCTCGGGATATTAAACTTAGCCAACATGTTTCCAAGATCTACTCACACAGGTAATTTATTTATTTATTTTTTTGCATAAGAAATGGTGGCATTGTCATTTAGTGAAAGTAAACCCTTTCAAGGAACCAATCTGTGTACATTTGTACAAGTTCAAGCCTGATCTCAGTTATCAGTGTGTCAGTTTAGAGTTCGAGGACAAGTCAAGGGTCACCATCTGCCTTTCTTGGAAAAAGTGGGCTAGTTGACAACTAGTTTACTAGTCTCTGAGATATTTCTGGGACGTTTCTGACTTATGTAAACAAGTTGAAAACTGGACGAAGAAAGAAAACAGTTTAGAGGAAATACAAAGTCAAAATTTATTCCTACTGTATCTTACAGTGAACACATTTAACACTTTAAAATTTAACTATTTTTAGTCCATAAGATAAATTGTAAAGCATCCATCTACATTACCATGGACTCAACAGTAAATTACACAGAGAGAGGAGGTCCTCGGCATGTAGGCTGTATTGTCAGCATGTGATCTAAAAAGGTCAGTGTGTTTGACTTTTTGCACAGTTTCGACATAACCACGTCCAAAGTTCACTCGCCCCACAAACGAAGTGAGTGAGGTCAGCCACTGCCAGTGACATATCAGGTGCAAACAGACGCTCTGCGTATGCCTTAAAAAACACACTGTTTAGGGACTTTCAAAGTGCTCTGTGTTCTCTTAATGTGTTGACCCAATCTTTGAATATTAAACAACTCCAAATGATGAATTATTACCATTTTTGTTAATGAAACTGAAGTGTTTCCAAAACCAGTTTGTTACCGTACTTTTACTTCAACTATGCGACAAATGCAGCACCCCCACCACAGTTCATTTGCAAGATCTTTTTTTATTTATTATTAAATATTTATTTTAAGGGAAAGACACCTCATCAGTTCTTTTTTTAACACAGTTCCACTGCACTCACTGATTATCATGTTGCATTTCAGCCAGTAGATAGTCCTAAATGTTACAGCCTGACACTTAGTTCTGGCAGGGTGTGGTTTGGCTCGGGGCATCAGACGGGTTGATGGAGCGGTGCCGGATGACTGCAGCTGTGGAGCAGTACCAATCATTTCCCCCTCTTTCTCTGAACTGCGTGCCGTTCAGCGCTGAAATGTGCTGTAGCCCTGAGACAGCCACTCACCAGCTAGTGGGCCTATCCTCTTAGAACTCTTTCTGTTTCCGCAGTGTAAATTGGCAGGCAGAAATTGTGTGTTTTGTTGTGCGGGTCAAATTAACACGCTGTCTGAGGGAGACTTCATGTTAACAAGCAAATGTGGAACATGAGGGCAAAGAAAAATTCATGTCCAGAGACGATCGAGCGGAGTACCCTGCTCTTTTTTTTTTTTTTTTTTTAACAGAATAAGGCTTGTCAGAATGCAAAATCTGCCAAAGCCAATGCAGCATTTTAGCAGTTTAAAGAGATGTAGTTCATTTAAATGACTCTTTGTCTGCCCATGCTCTCAATCTTAGCTGTGAATGAAATAACTTTTGTCCACTAGATGTCAGTAAGTGTTAGAACAATTCAGAGGGGACTGAACTACAGCTACACAAGGTCAGTGGTTGCAGACTGATATTTACCTACTGTAGTGATTTTTTAAATATAACAAATTATTCAGGGATTCAGAAACTCCAGTTTTAACATTTTTTTGGGAAAACATGTAAAATAACAGATAATGTGATTCTACAAATCATCTGTCCGGTCAAGTTTTAGAGATTCAGATGCTGTATCGGACCCGTCAACCTGTATGCAGTCCAAAGGGCTGGTCCGAAACTGTTTACTGTATTCCAGTAGGAGTGAGTATCTGAGTTAGACAGGATTGTTCATGCTTTTGTCTCCT